AGTTGTGATACTGTGGAGTCATTCCCAACTTTGGGTTTGCTGCCGCAGCTTCCCTCTCTTACCAGTCTTTATCTGTATAAATTTGAAAGTATGGAGACATTGGATTGCAAGGGCCTATCCCATCTCCCCTCCCTTCAAGTTTTGACCATGGATAAATGCTCCAAGCTGAAGAGTGTAGTGGGAGAAAGGCTGCCTCCCTCTCTGTTAAAACTGCAAATAATTCTAAGTCCTTTGCTGGGAAAACGGTGTCAAAAGAAGCACGATGAAATTTGGCACAAAATTTGCCACATCCGTGGAATTCGAATTGATTATAGATGGATTTCGTGAACTTGGGGTTACCAACAGCAACTGGTATTTTGTCTGTCTGCACTTCCCATTTCAATCATTTTCTGCATCTTTTTCATTATCTTTAATATTTAAAGAAGCTATTCAGCCAACATATCAATCAAGTTCAAGTCCTGTGTCCAAAAAGACTCGAGGATATTTTTCACGTCTTTTTCTCTCTACTTTGAAATTACTCCTGAATTTGTATAATTAGTTGAAACTGAAAGTAGCAAGCAAATTTATTTGCAAAAATTCTTCTTTACCGCAAGTTTTATTTTTTTTCTAAAAATGCAAAAGATTTTATGGCGAACTTTGACTGATTTCAGCTAAAACTATTGCATATCATCCTTTGACTTGCAAGAAGAAATGAACGTACAGGCATTGATTTTACAAAGTCAAGAAATAATAAATAAATTGTGATAAAGAAAATTTAATTACAAATTAGAGAAGTTTAACCGGCACTCGGCAGTGGCTGTTTCTTAAACCATGTTTTTGAAATTAGGAAAAGGTAACCCGGTGTTCACTATAGTTCAATGTCCTTTTACTGGATTTATTTCATCGAAATTCATATTGAAATTTGTATTTCTAGGTATCACGGTTTGTTGTTCAGATAAGTTATTTTCGTTTGGTCTTGGAGGATATGCCCCGATTGATGGAGATGAAGAGGGCTTTTGATTTAACTGTCGTGATAGAACATATTCAGTTGCTGAATATTTTACTCAAGAACCTTGGCTTTTGATAATAATGGTACAGCAGACCAACTATAAACAATAACAGTAATGGTTTGATATATAATTATCTTTCTATGCGGCTTTGGCATTTTAAGCTGTTCATTGTACTTCACATGGTTGCATGACATTTCTAGTACATTTGTCTATGTATTTTTTATATTTAGTTGATTGTGAATATATTATTCATGGCTGTCCATTTTAGTTATGCTATTCAGATGTTACAAGCTGAGGCTTACTATTCTGTTTGATTTTTCCTTTGCAGGAAATTATAATTCTTCGCCACCTGAACATTTACTTCCATGGCAGAAAAATAGTAGGCAATGATCTTGTTTTATGCCTTGGCAATCATTCATAGTTGACAACTTATTCTTAGGAGCTCTACCGATGTTTCTATTTATTTTGCTTTTACAGGACAGTGACTAAAATTGTGTTTGTCAAGCTGACTTCAGTTGATAAGTCATGTGAGTTCTTTAACATCCCATAAATTCTTTGTTGTAACACTCTTGGCTCTCTTGTTTTATAATTTTTGGTTATAAAGTAAGTTTATTGGATGTTGTCTCACTTGGTCTTGAACCTGAGTGTCTCTCTTATCTTTTAACAGTTCTATCTCTAATTAAGGAATTAATAGAACTTTGGGTGCTTAGTATTTGAATTTGTTTTTTCAAATCTACTTGTCATCGATCATTTCTTAAAAATGTCTTTCATGAAGAAATTTCTTCCAGCAGAGATCTCTTTCAGTGGTGTTAATATCTCTGGGTGCTTTGATGCATTTTATTAAGTTGGGAATATTAATTTCAGTGCTGGTGACTCGGACACATTATTGAAAAGGACAAGGTACGCGTCTGACTTATTTTTTGTAGATTTATTAAAACTATTCTAATTTTGACCATAATACTCTGAAAGTACATTTTCGGTGGCTTTTCTTATGTACGGTGAAATCTGCTAACATATGTATTCACTGTGTTTTGAATGTCCCTACCGTTGTTAAAGTAAAATATATATCTGGCATGATCCTGTTTCACAGTGTAACTGCATTCTGTTCAATGTCCTTGAAGTGTAATATTCTTGATCATAATAACAGTTGCTTATATAAATAAACTAAGAATTAATATTGATTCATTAGCACAATAAAAAAGAGTTAGCTTGTCAAAGAACTGAATGATGCCATGTGTATTAAAGAACTCTTAGAAAGCTTTTATTGTACATGAAAACGTTAATTACCATAATGACATGACATTTTTTTGTTTGCTGATTTTGGAATAAGTTTTGCAATGAAAGTGAATCGGGTTTTAACTTATTGTAGAAAGTAATATATATTTGGACATTATATCTTTTGTAAACCAATTTAACATTTTGATTTCATAAAAATTGCTACGTCTGCTATTGTCACTTTAAGTGTAAGAAACGTAAAATCTCAGCTCAATAGCTGAAGCTTGTGTTTTGATTACATATCATCTACTATGCATGTATTGGTTTCATTAATCAAAGGACTTCCTTATCAACTATGATGTTACCATGGCTTAGTTAATTCTCAGCTCATTCCTACTAGTAATAATTTTTTTATAGAAATTCTTGTAAGTGATAATTAACTAATATTTACTAATCTTACTCTTTTAGGTTCTTAAAAGCATGTCTTGACAGCAAGATTTTCACAACTTGTTTGCTGTGAGCAGGTAATTTATTGTTTCTACAATAATCAAAGGTTTCATTTACATAATGAAATGGGATATTGCACCAAAGTCATTGAGAACTACTTGGCACAGTTCCATATTCAAAAGATTAGCCACTAAAGAGCTTGTAATATATACACTCTGCTGTTGAACAATTTTTCTTTTTAGTTCATATAATTCTAATTGCTACTAAAGAGACCCACCTTTGATTAAATAAGAATCCCTTGATTTTATCAGTTGGAAGTTTGAGGAGCTCTTGCTGACTAATTCCAACTTCCAAACACAATTGATGGCTCTTTCACCATAACCATCTCATAATGCCGTTGTCGGGATTCTTGGAGATACTTTCTTCAGGGCAGTGAAGCTTTAAAAGTATGTCTTGTGCAGTACTCAGTTCTGTAGGAAGAAAGCAACAATTCTATGAAAATGAATAATGATATTCATGTTCTCCTACTTTGCTTTGATGCAACGTCCCTGTATTTGTTTGCAATTGACTCCATTTGTTTGTGCAGTATATTGTTTGAATTCCTGGGTCCTACATGAAGAGAAATACCAAATATGTTTATTTATTATGTATACAACAGGTGGAAAAAGTTCAAGTTCCCTCATATCATCTACACACGTTCTTGAACAATTAACGTGTGTGTTTGTGTGTCATATATATATATATATATATAGACACACATATATTCTACAGTATCTTTTTTTAAGTATTTATTATATTATAAACTTTACATAGACATGCATAATGTTATAAGTGTGTGACGAATACTTTTTAATTTAAAAAATGAATTAATTTTTTAATTAAAATTAAGACAGTGAAAATAAAATAATTTACAATTTTAGGATCACCAAACTACTACAACATAGGTATTTTTAATTAAATTAGAAATAGAATTAACAAGGTGCCTTTCTTAAATTAATGAATGATTTAAATCAAACAATTTAAATAAATTATATAATATGTATTAAAAATATAAAATATAAATAATTATAAATTAAATAAGTTTCAAAATAAAAATGAGTCTATGAAGTCATGAACTCTTTCAAACACTTTCCAAAAAATATATTTAATCTTAGTAATAATCTTTTTAAAAAAGTTATTAGGAGTAATAACATTATTCCTAAAAAACCATTTATTTTTCCTTTTGTATAGATTACACGTCCCGTCATTTCACCTATTAATTGAGTATATTCTCTCTTCTTTTCCTTTCATTTTTGTACTCTCCCATCACTAAAAAAAAAAATTTAATATTTTCTTTCACTTGATAGAAATCTTACATTACAGTTAAGAGAAGTTGTAGATAGCAAGAATCAAAATTTCCCTTAACATCACATCTACTAAGGAAACATCACCTTGAAGTAAATATAAGAAGTTTTTTATAACTAAAATTAATTAAATCTCACTTAAGATCAATCATGCATAAAGAAATAAATAAAAGTTGACTTTATTATCAATTGGAAGAAGAAATGTTAAATACGATTAAATGTGATAATTTAATAAAAAAATTTACATCTCAAGATACTTTAAAGATAAATTTAAATAAAACTATAATAATTATATTTATTTTTATTAAGTTAAAAGATAACGTTTAAAATTAGCTTTAAATCTAGATAAATATTGGATTGATTCGTTGATAAGTTCCATCTAAATAAAAGGCTGTCAGAAGGAACAACCTGAAACCAAATTGGATGTTGTTTGGAGCTTTTTGCTTTTGTTGTCACGACAACTGCACAAGCAAATGGTATATGGAAGTGGCTTCACAAACACTACATTACGCCATATTCAACAGAAAAAATAATAGTTTTTCCCTAAATATCTTTGAAAATGGATGCACTTTACCCTCCTGAATTTTGGATGTCAAGGAACTAATGCTCACAAGGGCCCATTCTTTTATGATAAAGTGCTAATAGTTGGACATCACTGCCAAGGGCTTGAAATAAGCCAAGTATTTGAAGGCTAATCATGAGTTCACTTGTTCACCATGTACCTTAAAAAGGTGCATACCCAGAGAACTAGTGGTTTCAATTTGCCAAGCAATTCTCAATCTCTCATAATTACGAGACGTGTAACATAATGGGCCAACACGTAAATAAAATCTAGATGAAAAGGATTTTTTTTGTTAATTGTCACTAGTGAATTATACTTAACGAATCTGTGTTCAATAAATAGGATTGCACAATTAGATAAAAGGGTAAAGATAAACATAAAAGGATCCCACAGATGATAAAGTGAAGTTGAAGGGGAATTGTGGACCAATAAACACCGAAATTGAATTGAAGGCACATCTTTAAATTGAATTGATGGGGTTGAACACCCAAATCTAAAGATTTCCAATCATATTCAATATTGCAATAACAGAAAGACAAGGACCTTTTTTTTTATGTTTTTTCACTTTTTTAACCCAAAATCTCAAAGACAATTTTTTAGACTTTTTTAAATCGGAAACCTAATCACAATCAAAATCAATGGCGTTATTTGTAAATTCTCCATAAGACTCCAAATAACCAAAAGCCGGTTTCTCCAACACTCTTCTCTTCAGCCTTGATTTTTACTCTTCAACAGCAAGGGGCACAGACTCAGCCTGAGGTCACGAGAATGACATAATATATCAGTAAGTTCACATTTCAAAGAAAGAAAAGGAAAATAAAAAAGGTCAAGACATAGGTGTTGTAAATGTTGTGCATTTAGAATTAAACCCACCTCAATTAAATCTGAACTTTCATTTTAAAATTAGTGCAAACCATTATTTTAATTATTATTGTACAAAATATGGAAGAAAAACTTCAATTTTAATTAAATGATAACCCCAAAATTGCTTAATATAGTGTTTTGTTCAAAAACTATCCCTTTTGTTCAATAGCACTTTTAGCTATGCTGAATTTTATTTGTAAAAATAAATAAATTGATAACAGACTACGCATTGCTTTGAGGAAAAATAGTACCCTGACCTATTTCAGTAACTCCAAATATCAAATTTAATTCATTAATGAAACAATTGAATAATGTAATGAGTAGAATGCATATATACCAATTTGCGGTACTTTAGGGCGTAGAACATCTCGAGGTAGCGTTTGCTCTCACGGCGATCAAGGTTGGTGACATGCTTCCAGAAGCCATAGACACCAGTGAGAGTCAGAAGCCTATCAGAGTAAATTTGCCATGTGTACCTGTGGAGCAAATGAGACAAAAGATAAACCTCAATCACAAAATCAAAACTCACTCAAACTAACATATGTTCTGTGCAAAACACAATGTGGTGATGTTTTAGTGAAATTTTGGTGTTGCTGTCTTGTGCTCCTAAATGGTTAGCTAAGGAATTAGAATTTTTTCTATATAAATTATACTGATAGTACATTGAAAATTATTTTTAATAATTTTTTTAATTTTAATTTCTAAACTAATGTTAGCAAAGATTAACATTTGAGCGAAATTTTTTGAAAGAAAAATATTAGTAATTATCTGAACACATTCTGCAACATATCTTTTTAAAAAGTGTATTGAAGAATGGATTTAAAGTATGATTTAGGTGCTTACTTCTCATGAATACGCTTGAGGCCACCCTGGGAGATTTTGTCCCAATGAGATGGGTCAGCCTTGCTCTTCTCAAAGAAGTCAACAAGGATCTCAGCAGCTTGATCACCATGGTAAGGGTCAATGTGGTAGCCAGATTTTCCATGCACAATGATCTCAGCAGGACCACCATTGCAAGTGGCAAATGTTGGCAACCCACAAGTCATGGCCTCAACAACAGTCAAACCAAAAGCTTCATAAATTGCAGGCTGGACAAAAGCACCCTTTGTGTCACAAATCACACGGTACAGCTCTCCATTCCTCACTCTGTTCATCTGAGAGGATATCCATCTGAATTGTCCATTCAACTTGTAGGTCTCAATGAGGCCATACATTTTCTTCATCTCAGCTTTCTCTTCCAAGTCCTTTGACTCCTTCCTCCTGTCTCCTGCCACAACCACCAGGTTTACCAACTCACGGAGCCGCTCGTTCTTGCCGTACCACTCAACAAGCCCTGTGATGTTCTTCACACGGTCCAGCCTTGCCATGGTAAAGATGATTGGCTTGTTGCGGTCCTTCAATACACATCTGTTACAATGGCATTATGTTAAACAAACAGAAATGCCAGTACCATTCACAACCCAAGAAACATTTTCTTTAAACAAATGTTCTATGACAACATTGGGAAGGGGTTGAGGGAATAAGAGAGGGAAACTTACATGTGCTCCTCATTCTCCACAGAGCTGTAAAGAAGCTCTTCAATCTCAGGGTGGAAGGATGTCAATCTACGCTTAGTTTCAGTGTATGGGAAGTATATGTTCATGTCAGCTCCAGGTGAGACAATGTTGAACTTTGGATCAAAGACATCAATACCATGAACAACACGGTAAAGTCCTGGAAGGGTGAAGGCGGTGTGACTCTCATACTGTCCAACGGTATCCTTGCTGTAGATGAAAGAACACAGATACAAGAATTTAAGTAAGCTAATCAATAGTTAGAATGGTGCATATAAAACATAGTGAACAATGGGATATGATAGCTCACCTCCCAGCAATCTCTTGGAATGTGCTAGTGATGATGAAGTCTGTGTGGTTCATTGCAAAAAGATCAGCAGTAAATTGGCATGAAAAGTGATATTTGTCTTCAAATTTTTTCCAGTAAATGTCAGACTCGGGGTATTTGGTCTTCTCAAGTGCATGAGCAATGGTACACTGAATTTAGGTAGGAACTTTATCAGGTCCCATGCTGTAGTATAAACAAAATGTAACAACTTGAACTAGAAACTAACCTGAGTTACGCCCAATTTGTGTGCTAACAAAGAGGCAACAATGTTTCCATCACTGTAGTTTCCAACGATCAGATCAGGCTTGCCTTCCAACTCTTTGGCAAGTTCATGGGCAACATCCTAATAATGACAAGAAATACAGTAAAATTCAAGTGAAGAGAAAACATCACCATGCTTGAACGATCCATGTCCAAATTGTGAGAAAAATTTAAAATTTACCTCAGTGTAAGTCTCTAGGTAGGGCCAGACTTCAAATCTTGAGATCCACTTGCGAACAATTCCCTTCTCTGTTCTAAATGGAACTCGAAGAATGTGGCAATATTCGGTATCGTACACCTTCTCGAGGCGTTGGCCACAAGTAGTTCCTACTGCATCAGGGAGAAGACGGGTAATCTGCATTTAACAGAATCACAGGCTCCAGTTAGAGAAATATCCATAAGCTACAGCACTTAACTATGTTAAACTCTCACAACTATACTAGGACATACAATGAGAATACGAGGGGTGATATCCAAGCCTTGTTTCTTGATGCGGTTGAGCATCTCATTCTCCAAGGCACGAACTTGATCCAAGATGTAAACAACCTGAACCAACAAGTTAAAGCATGTCACAAAACCTTGATAAGTACTAAAATAGTATGAAAAATGATACAATTGTTGTCTCAACTAACCTGTCCACCAGTGTCAGGGTACCCCAAGACATTGTCTTGGGCAAAGTAACCATGTGGAGAAAGGATAACAACATTAAAGACCATTGGGATTCTTCCAAGGAATGTCTCGAGGGTGCAAGGGTCAGGTGCCTCAAGAAGATCCAACAGAAGCTGAATCATCTCAAGGACACGCTCAGCGGTGTCACCCCAGCCTCTCTCCAAACCAATCTCACGGAATTTTTGTTCAAATTCTGAGTAGGGCGTTGCAGGAGCAATTGTGCTCAGATAGTCTTCTGCCTTTCTCAAAACATGTTGGAGAGAGTTAAGATTTTGAATCCTGTCATTCAACATCATAGTCTGCAACAAACCCACCAAAATTCATTAAAATAAAATAAAAATGTAAGAGAATGAACAATGCATATATTTTATATAGAAAAGCTACAGAATTCTCAGATTTGCATTCTTGATTAAGTAATCAAACAATGAAGAATTTGCCTTATAGAGCAATTACTGTTAATTGTCTTATAGAAGGGTAATACTAGTACCAAATAAGGATTGAATTCATGCAATACAATGTCAAGCACTGCTAATTTGGATAATTCACAAGCATACGCTTCCAAACAAAAAAGTATACCTTTCCCTTGTAGCTGTGAAGCCTGAGGAATTCAAGCAGTGGCTGCATGCTCTCCTTGTCATGGAAGAGCTTAGCAGAAAGATGGCGATTGAGAAACTCGACACCATTCCCAATTGACTTGTTCAAAGTTGGACGGGGAAAGGATGCATTAAATGGTTCAAAGTCCAACTCAAGCACAAAGTTGCCATTAGCACTGCATCAAGAATAAGAAAAACATGTTAAATTGTCTTGATGGATATGCAAAGGACATCAACAACTCTTCATTAGAAACTCAAAACCTTAACTAATTACCTTCCCTCAACAAGTTCCTCCTTGAAACGCAGATACTCAGCTGGACGCAACTCATCAACAACAAGCATGTGCACATTCACTCGCAGATACTCCCAGACACCAGGCCTTGGACGAACAGCCAGAGCAACATATGGTGGCAACACTATGGCTTCCTACACGCAACAAAAACCGCTCAAATGAGATTACTTTAACAAAACCCACAAATTATAGCTTGAAGTTGAATATAACCCCACAAAAACCAAAAATATAAATAAAAATTACCTGTGTAGATCTCAAAACTTCTCCAAAGGCCCCATCAAGTAGTTTTTTCCTTTTCTCCTCAGGGATTTCCTCAAACTCTGCAATAACCTGGTGGTGTTGCAGGATTCCCTTGCCCTTGGCTTCAATCCTTTTAATACCATGAGATTTTTAGTGTTATGCCACATCCTCGTACCAAAGTTAGTTATTAAGAAGGTAAAAAAATAAGATTTTTGAGCTAGCTACCTTGAGAGAAGGGCCACAATTTCATTCCTTTGACCACTGAGAGTCTCATCAAGCCTCTCCCGGAAAGAGGAAGAGTGGGTCAGATGATGCACATTAGCCATTGCTTCAGAGGAGGAACTTTCAACTGTAACAACAAAAGCAGAATACGAAACAAGTTAAGAATTGTATGCAATAAGCCACCATAAAAAGGATAAGGATAATCACCAAAAGTCAAAAACCAAAACCAAAACAATGTGGAAAATAAATTCCAGAAGACTGGATTGGATTTCAAGACCTACCCACCGTCCCTCACCAACCACTTCCCCAGAAAAATATTAATTGTTGATCCTGTACCTTATTTGAACTATTATCTCTGCCTCACATAGTGCAAGGGGAATAATCCGAAGATGCAGTTTCTTTTAGCAGCATAATCAGTTATATTATATTTTTAATAGTCTCATTTATTAGAACTCCAAGAGCAAACCAAAAGTTTAAATGTTCAAACTTCAATTAAAAGCTAAAATTAATTGGTTAATCCAAGGTCAAACATCTTAAACCCCGGCGTCAGCATGCATAAAAAAAATTAACTAACATAATGAGAAACCAATGAAGAAGATCTTAGTTCTACAGACAAAAATAATAAATGTTATTTTTATCTTCATTTGTTTATTTATTTAATTTAATATATTTAACCCAGGAAACGCATTTGAGTTTGAAGTTTGTTTTAGCAGAGAAAACAGAATGGCTAACCGACAAAACCACAGAACTGTATTTCCAGAAACCAAGCATGAACTGCGGAATGGCAATTCCCAAGTAAAATGAGCCAAAACTCAACAAAGACAACACCCCAAAACAGAGCTACAACTCCCCAAGTTCTCTGACATGGAGATGATAACAAAAAGTACTCGAGATCCAGGATCATGTACCGACTCTGATCCAATGGTAGTGTTGAAAACAAGGTGTTAGATCTTTTAGAGTGAAAACTAGGTGGCAGTGTTGAACAGCCAAAGAGATGAAAGTAATGAGATGAAAAGGAATGAACAGAATAAGGACAAAAAAGAGAGAAAAAATGAAGCAGAATAAAGAGAAAGAGAGGAGAGTAAAAGAATACCTATAGAAACAGAATAAACGCAAAAAATGAAAGGGTGATGGAGGAGAAGGAATGAATGAATGGAGAATGAAGGGGTGGAAGTGTTAATTTATAGACAAGGAGCGCCAAACAGAGAGAGAAAGGTACAAAAGAAATGGAGGAGACAAGTTTCCACGAATTCAATTATTCAACAAAGTCCAAATCCTTCTCTCTCTGCCAAGGATGAATTTGTAAATGCAGCACGTAAAAATTATATTCTACACGTAGCTTCCCATGTATTAAAAGGTTTTTTTCGAGGGTACAATGGAACATTACGTATCATAAGACTAAAGTTGGTCTGGTCTATCTTCGGTTTTTATAAGGTTAAAATTTATTCTGAGAGATAAAATCCAGTGTTAGCAGAAGAAGTTATTTTATTTTTTAAAACAGACGTAAAAGTGTTAAGATCATATAAATTATTTTGTAAAAAGGTGCTTGATTAAAGTAAATTTGTCTGGTTTAACAAAATGTTATTGTAATGGTAAAATTGGTCTTCTGTCTAATTTTATTAATTAATAATAGTAAATATAAAATAGTTATTTATCTGATCAATTGTCGGAAAAACAATATCTTTTTTCTCATTTAAATAAAACAATTTGACCAAAACATTAGTTATATAATTGCTTTAAAATTATTATTTTTAGGAACGTAAAATAGAAGGAACAATCATTTTAGCGCATGTCAAAATGCTACATTCGATTGATTGTAGATATCTCATTTTTATTCTCCTAGATTAAAGTATTTGCTTTTCATTATAAACTCGCATATAAATATTAAATAAACACATACTATTTAACATATGTGCAACAATAAACATAATAAAAAATTATAAATAATAAATTTTTATTAAAAATTACAAAATTTAATATATTACAACTATTAAATATTATAATTTTATTAAAAATTTAATACATATAATTTTTTTATTGTGTGAAATATTATACAAGCTAAAAAAAATTGAATAAAAATGTAGTTTCGCAATAAATATTTAAAGTATAATTACGCTTAAATGGAATAATCAATGCAAACATTCCATTAATATGAGAAAATCATGATGCTGTCCATTATTGCTAATTGACACATTTATCCAACATTATTCAAATATTATATTATTAAAAAAAATTAAACTTGCCCAAATGATTTTTGAATTGGTGATGAAGAAACTTATTTATCATTTCTTCGTTCATGTATTCTGATGTGAGTAAAAAACATTGCTTCCTTTTAGGTAATAGATTTATTTGCAGCTCAATTTTTTATCTAGACAAGAAATAATAGTAATAATCAAGGCAGATACTGTATATCCGACAAATCCAAGGCATTTTTCTATATGCTTAAGACATGTTTTCCAATAAAGCAAACATTACACAACCCAAAACATTTCAAACTTTCCCATTAAGATATTTATTATCTCTTTGTTTATTTCAAAGCAAATTAAACATGAATATTGCACATGGGACTTGCCCAAGATTCAAGAAACTTATCAACTATCACAAAAATGCATTAAATTTTTATATCAATCTATGATAATTATTTATAAACAATGAAAAACAAAAAACACTAATATCAATTTAAAAATTAAAAAAGGTATTGGTTTTAACACTAAGTTAATTTCGGATATCAATATGCTGATTCAAGCTATATAATGTCCATTTCAATTACTGAAAGGGAAAGATTATTTTACCTCAAATAGCACTGATTCATTCTTATCTACATAATGTAAGTATGTTGACTTATTTCTTAGTGGAATTTTTGAATTGTTCTCTTTCTTCGTTTTAGTTTTTATCTTCTTCTTTTTTTCCTTTGATTTTGTGTGTGTGGTGGTCGTAGCTGTGGGTACATTTTCGTGTAGATAACAAGCAATAACTTTTTGGAGTTACATGTTACCTACTAGACCCCATGCCTAGTTGTTGGAGTATTCGTTTAATAGAAGTCTGGTCCAGCCCTTGGCCACTGACATTGTTCATGCAGTGTATAGCACTATAGTACTACTGTATAAGCAGATCATATAAAAACAACACTTAAAAACAAAGAGTAACAACTAATTAGATATCGTCGGGGTGAGGTAGATATTGTAGGGATGAGGTAGATGTTTTTCAAAGAAAATATATTAAAAAAAACAATATAAAGATTTTAGGTAAATAAATATTGACATTCATGTTCAAATAAAAAAACAGAATTGTAGATAATAAGTTACTCACCTCAAATTTGAAGGCTTGCACCAGGGGAAAGGAACAAAATAAATGTAATGTGACAATGCTAAGAGAGGAAGCTGAGGAAGAGAAACACAACAGAGATAAAGAAAACGCAAAACAAATGAAAATATCTGAAGCAAACGAAATGGGGATTGAATGGTGAAGAAGAAGGGTTGGGAAGGGGCTTTTATAGTGAAATGAGGAAGAGAATTATTAATGATAAATAAGAAAAGGGTAAAATGAAAAGGAGTTAACTTTTCTCCTCTGTAATCCATTGTGGGCACCGCTGTTGGAATTTGAGATTAAATGCAAACGTTATTTACATCTGTTTCTGTGAAAGAACCGTCCATTACTACCCTCAACCTTCCTGTGGTTTCCTTGTTGTTTTCACAAAACCACTTTTCACTGTCAACCCTTTCTTCTCTCTCTCTCATAATCCTTTTTTTTAATTTCATAACTCTTTTATTTGATAATTAATATTGTACTTTCTGCTTTGCATTGTACGATGCATTTGACTAAGAAGCCTTGGTTTTTCTTGGTGGTGCCTGTAGTATCTGACTTCATGCCCTGTTTTCAACCAAAGCTTTTGCATGGGTTTATCATTTTAAACAGTGGGTCTACTCTATTAAATTATTTTTAAAAAGTTAATTAATAAATTTATGAAATTCAAAATAGTAAATTTTATAATTATTACTAAAATATTTATTGCATTATTTCATTTAAATACACATTCATTGCATTATTTTATTTTAATGTATATGTCTGCATAATTAGTACACACATTGGTTGGTGAACAGAAGGTATCAGGAGAAAGCCACTCGGCGGTGGGTGTGGAGATTGATTCATTATGTCGAGAAGCCAAATATTACAAACAAAACAAATGATAAGACCTTCCTCTTCACTCACATCTCATTCTTCTGCTCCACACCAAACAAGCATTCGCGTAAGATACAAAATTAATTCACTCTGTTAATAATACTTTAAAATTAATCATTGTACTCTTAATTTGATGAAATTAATAACTATAATTTTATTCTTAAAAAATAATTTATTGATTTTAATAATAAATGAGTTGATTTTAAAAAATGTATTAACTAATTACTAAATTATAATATGAAACTACGTATACTTCTTTTGTAGGCCCGAGCCATGGACATGTCACCAACGGGTCCCACACACTGATAAATCCACTGTAAACAACACAAATATGGTGGCGAGTCGTCCGCGTCTGTCTGACATGGGAAAAGTACCCCACATTGATATCTGATCTTATTATTATAAGCTATTTTTTAACCTGCTTTTTTCAATGTCAAAATTAAAATAATATTTTTTATTAAAAATTATGATATTTAATATTATTAATATATTTTATTATTTATAATAAAAATTTATTATAAAACGTGCTTTAATGATGTAATGCAAGATATTTTGATTGCAAACGAAATAGACATGACAACCAGAGGGGTTCTAGAATTAGAAAATGGGATGGGTAGGGGAGAAAATGCAAAAAGCGGCAAAACCGATGGAAGAAGGGGAACGAGGAAGTTGATCCGAATTTGTGGTGAATCGCGTCAGCAAAATGAAATAGCTTTTACCCTTCGAATAAGGAAAACGTGACCGTTCAGTGGTTTGGATAAGGCGTTGAAATCCATTGTTTACGACATTCAAATTTGGAATTACAAGGAGGCTCCACTGTTTGGCCAGGTTGTTGTGTCTGCTTCCCTTGACACCATTATAGAAGAGATTCACCCCTTTAAGCTCCATTTCAAACTCTCTTATTTTACTGATCTCACTAATTCGTGATTCAATCCATCAACTACCTCATTAAGTGATATATTAGCTGGACAAAATGGGTGATTAACGAACTCAGTATTCTAGAAGCATCGCCTAATAAATTTTGAATATAATATATGGTCGTATCCAAGATATCCAAGTCCAAGATTTTGAACATTTTGAAGAAAAGTCTAATAACAACTCTGATTTCTCAATTGACCCCAATTCTTATTTTAGTTTCAATTCCTTTTCAAAAGAGCCTCATTATTCAGCAGCGGTTTTTACGTAGCATTTCCTTTTTTTTTAACATGAAGTTTAATGTATATATAATAAGCTAATCTGGTAAAAAGAAGTATACGCATTATAATTTGTTTTCTGATTTTATTAGATCATATGAACGACACATATTAGATAAGAAGACAGTAAAAATATTCTCAACATTTTAGAAAGCATGAAATTGCAAGTTGAAAAGAGTCTTTTTCTTTATATTCCCTCATTTTTGTTGATTAAATTGCAAGACTTAATTATGAGTAAGCAAATACCCCTCAATTATTTTAATATCTAATTTTACCAAAAATTTACTTTTATCTTTTGACTTTATAAAATGACATTTATTTTATATTTTATAAAAAAATAAAATATAAAAGATTAAAGTGAAAATTTTATAAAATTAAAAATTAAAGTGACTACTTGTTACAAGTTACTTCCTCGGATAAATTTTATAAGGAACAAAACAAAGTTTTTTTTTAGTCCTAATTATAAAAAATATAAGATAAACACGTGATATAATATAAATATGTGATAGAATAATTATGGTTGATTTTCTAAGCCAAATATAAACATAAAAATGAGTGTAATTTGGAAAGAGTCAGCGTGCCTCAGAGATGGTGACATTGCATGGGATTGTAGATTGTCTACAATTACAGAGAGATGAATTTGGGAGCATTTTTGTTTTATTTTTCAAGAAATAGAGAGAGTTCGTTATCTATTCTCATTCTTTCCTCTCTAAAATAAAATTGAAAAAAAATTCAACCTCATATGTATTATTCTTGACAATAGCTTGGTTTTAACAATTATTAATCACACTAGAAAAAGTTGTCAACGTTAACAGATTTTCAGTGAAACTTGCTCCTTTTAAAAATAAAAACAACACAAAATAAAAAGAGAGAACAAATTAGGGAGAATTACTTAAAGAGCACATGTGTGGGCGTGCATTTTAAGCAAGATTAAGTAAATCTCTCAAATAAATTCTGTGATAAATATATTTATAGAACAGGTGGGACCATTGACCACTGAGTATATCATAATTTTCCTAAATTGATAATCAATGGGTCACAAATATGGTTTTATGGGGACAGAGATCTCTCGAATAATTGTGTTATCCAAAATCACTTTTCTTACATTCAAAGCATCGCCTAATAAATTACTGATTGGGAATGGCATATGGCAACATTAATAAATTGCTTACTTTGTGAACTAAGCAATTTATTAGCACATGATTCATCAGTTTTTAACATAAAGTGGGCCTTTAAGGGAGGGTGCACTGATAGTTGCCAACCAATAGCTGCTTTTTCTTCCCTTTATTTTTGGTAAGGAAATATCAATTAGGCATAGAATCCAAATCCCCAAGTCGGGTTGCGTTTAGGGGAAGTTCTGTTCAAAATGATAGCTGTTTCTTCTTCTTAATTAGTTGGTTAGCATGAGTTCATGCATAAATATCCACAAGGGTTCTTCGTTTTGATTTTGGATCTAGATATGTTGTATTTACATACTCCTTTTTTTAATTATAAAAACATACAGTTAATGTATAATATCATTATCAAAACATATTCTTCCTCGTAAAGATTCCTAGTTCTAGCTTTTTATATTCATAAGTGAAATGCACAAGATTTCTTTAAATATAATTTTATCACTGTAAAGTCCAAGCTTAACATGATCTCATTCCTTAAAAAATATATATATAAATATTAAAAAAATATTTAATATGCTTTTATAACTTTAATGTAATAAAAGCATATATTTTTTTAATAATAATTTACTGTTTGTAAATGCTTAAACTCAATTCTGAAAATTGAAATTACTAAAATTCATTAAAAAAATGTGTGACAACCAGAATACCCACAGAAGAAAATAAGAAAAACCTCATCAATAATTATGTGTTGGGACATAAAACAGCAAAGGCCACATTCGTTAAGAGCCTATATTTGCGAGAAGACCTAACCAAGAAGGAGTGGAATAAGATTGTCGAGTCAGATTAGCTTGGGCCCAACACAGCAACAATTTAAAGATGCTCTAAAATGGAAGAATTTATGATCATGATGGATACGTAGCATAGCATGTTAGGGGGTTGTGATTCGAGAAATTCCCATCAGGATCACTTCAATTTCGTTAAGTTCCACGGTGTTGTTGGACTTGGAAAGCTGCTTCTAGACCTTTCCTTTTAGTTATTGTTCGGATAACTCTTACTCGATCAATGACATGGAGTCTCAGAAAGTGTTCTGTTTTGTATGATACAAATAAAGATACGGCAAAAGAGAGGCCATTATTTCTGTGGGGATTTTGACCATTTTGGTATCGTCAATTTGTTCCATCCATCATATGTGGCCTCCAAAAGCCAATAAATTAATGTTGTAAAGCATTGAAAATGAGTCCAACCAAATTGGTTGGTTAACTAGGCTTAGAACTACGTACCCAGGTTGATAAGACGTGAATCGTTGCCATTTGTCGATAAGGAATAATTGACCTAGCTCAATTTTCTTTCCTTTTGCTATGCTAAATGTGAGGTCCAGCACATTTTCAATTTCGGTGCTCCCTTTTTTGACTTCATAAATAATTAATAATATTTTATTAAATGAATAGTAACTTTATTTGGCTATAAATAGCCGTGAAATGAAATTGAAGGAAGCACAAGCAGCAACACACACAAGATTTCATCAAGCATTGTGAGTGTTTGTGAGAGAAAAAGAAATAGAGTGTTGAGTAAATCCTAAGAGTGTGAGAAAAATACACTGGGGTGGGTATCATCTCTATTTCTTCTTGGTATTACAAAATTTGTAATATTTGAATAGGAGTGGGTCTCACTGTGTACACTATATTTTACACCTCTTGTGTGATAGAGTGTTGAAAAGATATTGTAAATATCCTGAGATATAGTGGAATATTTTTCGGAGTTTGTCCCGTGGTTTTTCCTCCACATTGGAGGTTTTTCCACGTTAAATAGTGGTGTTCTTTATCTGCTTATTTTATTCAGTTAAAGTATGCTCTGTGGTTGCAGTTTAGTCTGATCTTCCACATCAGAAAAGAATTATTTTTGTTATCCTTCCGTGGCTGATTGTTGGATTGCTGGAGATGTGTGTATTTGTATTAGTGTTGTAACTGGAAAGATTCTGGCTAAGGAAAGACCTGGTATTTAAGTGATCCGTTGTGATCCACCTCTCTTTCCTGGGAAGTATTTCAGTGCACACTTTACAAGTTACACCGCTGCGCTGCTAGATCTATTTATTAGGTCTGAATTATTGCTCGCCAGTTTACGTCAGAATTTTAATTTACACGTCCAAGTTATTCCGCATTTGAGCTCAACACTAAAATCATTAGCAATTTGAAAAGTTAATGTGCTGAATTTGTGTATCATCCACTTTTTTCTGCTGTGTTTGGAATTTCAGATATTATTTGAATGAGTTGTAAAAAAGAGTTATATATTATTAAGGTGAGTTATATATTATCTCTTGTTTTGTTATTAAACGTATGTCAAGTTAATCAGTTAATATTTGTATATTTTTCTTCTTCCTATCACTGTTTTGGTGAACCCAGAAATTTTAATATTTGTTGATGAAAAACAGAGAAAGTTGAAATTGGAGCAATGATGGGGTGATATGCTTTCGGAGTCAGATTCCCCCAACGAACGAAGGAAGTGATGGCATGGTGTTTATCCATTCCGTCCTTTTTTATTGAATAAATTCCACATAAAAATAATTTCATTTTACAGGTTTTATCAGTCTTAATTTATTCGATCCAATTACCACATTATACCAAATTTGATATTTGTATAGAGGAAATTATTCACGTTATTTATTAAAGAGTATCACTTCTCAACGTGTAATTATAAGCTATTTCACACACTTTCTTTAAATTATTATTATTCATATTAACAATAATACTTTAGTATCGACGGAAGAAACTGCGAGTTGAGTAATGTATTCCTCTCAACATAAAAAGTAATCCATTGAGACGAGAAGGGTAAAGCATGAATATCTCCTCACAAATCATATTGTAAAATACAATAACTACAAATTAGAAACTTGAACACACAGTAACAATGCATTTTGATGATTTATTTATTTACTACAAAAAAGGAAGAGAGTGAACACAGAAAATGAATCAGTGACAACGGGATCGGCCTTGTTTGGGGGCGTGAGAGTGAGAGAAGCCCATGGAATGTTCGAGCGCATAAACCAACTCAGCCTCCCTAAACCCAATAAGGAACTGGGCCAGCCCTTCAAAGAACAACGCCGCCTGGTACACACTCGTCGCACTAATAATATCCGAAAGAACGTTACGCCGTAGCCGATTGGCATAAAGAAAAACGTTGACCAACTCGTCCAAGTGTCCCTTCAGGTTAGCACTAACAGCCGCATGGGCTGCACCTTTACGGTCTCTGCAGGGGAACCAATCTCCTACGATGCGGTCCATGAAAGCGTCCTCGGCGCGCTTCAAGCGGTCGGTGAGAGTGGGAACAATGACTCTAAGGCCGAACTCGATCTGGTCCATGCGAGAGTTCAAGACTTCGGAGGCATTGCGCCAAGCTAAGGACACTTGCCAGGGGCGATCGATGGTTTGGGAGTTATCGGGGAGAGGGAGAGGGAGAGGGAGAGGGAAGTCTTTGTCATCGTCTTCGTTGTTGTCGGTTTCTTCTTGGAGGAAGGAGCGAGCGAGGTTGATGAAGAGGAAGGGGTGGAGGTCGCCGAGGCAGAGGAGGGGTTTTTCGAGTGAGTTACGCCACTCTTGGGAGAGGAGTTGTAAGGGGTCAGAGGTGGCCACGGCGTCTAGGACGTAGTAATAGGCTTGGAAGTGTTGGTTTAGAAGCTCCACGTTGGTTGAGAGGATTGTTGGCGATTCGCCGCCCATTGAGCGACGGAGGAGGGGGAGGAGGTTGTTCTTTAGGGTGCTCAACCACCCTGCGTAGTACTCCTTGAATGCCCGCGACTGCTTCTGACGGTTGAACAGTGGGGCTACTGCTTTTAGCATCTTCTTGGAATCTTGGCCGGCCCAGGGACTCGCTTCAACCGTTTTTCGTTTTGCCCGCGGGATTTCCAATCATTTTATTTTTCTGTTATTTATACCTACCTGTACGGCTGTACCTAGCCCAACTCAGCTTATTGCTCACATCCTCTTTTCGATATGAAGGAAAACAAAAAGAGAGAAAGAGAGTAAAAAATACAACTCTCCATGCGTTAGAAAGAATAAATAAAAGGAGATACAATAAGCGTAAAAAATGTATAAAAGGTCAACAGTAAAGTTACTATAAGAGATCCTGACCAACATATATTTTTGTAGTTTTATTATTTCAACTAAAAGTTAACACTATACGTGATATATTCTTATTAACTTTTCAACGGTGTGTTTATATATATATATCTATATCAAAGTCTCTTTAAATTAGACTGTAATTTTGTTTTTAAAAAAAATCTCACATATTCAAATTATAGAAATATTTTTTTGTCAACAACTTATTTCTACGAATCCCTTTCACGTTTTCTTGCAAGTTTGAATAACACCTTCTTTTTTCTCTTTTTCGTGCTATGACACGTGAATAATCATTCCAAATCCACCTTTATAAAATGCGTGTACTCAAAATGCAATTTTAACTTGTCAGAACAATGCACGGATAAGAGTAAGAAACTTGTATAAAATAATGCATGTTCGAATTTGTTTACATTTTATAAATTATTGTAAATACAATCACGACATTGGTGTGAAAACCTGTTTACAATGTTGGATTAAAACTCAGCAAGAAAACCAATAATTAGCAAATTAACAAGATAATAAGAGACCCCAGGAAAATGCACCAGTAAAAAACGGAATACAATAGCGTGAAAACTCACATGAAAACTGAAATCACTGCTGTAGGAAAACGGAAAGCCGCACAGCAGTGCAGTGTTAAGGATGATAGCGTGACAGAATTACACATTACAAGAAGCAAAATTATTTAAAAGAATTAATTATTTGCAATTCTAGAAGTGGAGCTCAGACCTGGAGGGTAACAATATTTACAAGAAATACTCCTAATATGATCATGAACTGATGAAAGAAGTATGGAATTGAGCTCCATAGGTGAGGAAAACAAAAACAATTTTACAACAGTTTGCTATTTACCCTTCCTACTATACCTCAAGATTTGATTGAGAATATTACGACAGAATTAATGCTGCAAGTCATTACCAAGAAAGCCGGTAGGAAATCTTCTTCTATCAGCACCTCACAGAAGACTACGCGAAAGCCTGTGTTATTTCTTTATCCTGCCTCTTCTGTATGATAAGCCCACTCTAGTCTCTTCTACCCAGCATCTTTCGGGCAAGCCAAGTCAATTAAATAAATTTACATTATATACTAACGAAAGGGATCATTATGCGAATATTCAATGGCAAAGTGTCTGTCCATAAGTCACCCAGTGTGCAAAAGTATCAGGAAATTCCTCAAGAACTTTGGACTGTGCATCGCCATAGGATAACTCTGGCCCAGTCCCCTCGCTTCCCTGAGAATATTACAAAGAATTAGCATATATATGAAACAAAGACCAAGGCATTTAGAAGTCAAAAACGTTTTCAACTATTGCAGGACTAATTTGTAGCGGCATAATAGGATCCCAAATGAAGAATAATGCACGCCAAATACATTTCTACCATCAAACCACAGCAAGCAGCAACATCAGCCACTAGTCCAAGAACTGCCCAAACGTGTTACTCTTTCTTTTCAGTCAAAACAAAAGGATTTCAAACTTGTAACTGCAAATTATGCACAAGGGCATCCATAGAATGAAGTCCAGTATGGATAATTAGATGATCTATTAGATCAAAGGTCCAATCAGTCCATTGGTAAAGTAAGTTGTGAATGTGATGTAATATTGTGTTAAGAAGCACAAACCCTGACATGAGCATCGACACAGACACAAACCAAGAGACACCCCAACTTCTAAAAAAGATTAGGACACCCAGACATACACAAACAAAAAATTTAAGGGAAAAATTCATAAATTCATAGTATCATGTATATAAGTTTTAATATTTCCAATATCTTAATATATGTCATGTAGCAAGTCTCCCCCAAAAAACATAAACTGCATTTCTGTTGACATTTCTTTAAGAAATATTTTAACTTGACATAATAGAATTAAACATGCAGAAGTACAAAAACAAAGATTTAACATAGGCACGTATCTGAGTTGTATATTAACTGAAAATAAGAAAACGTGTGTCATCTATCCATCATGTGAGTGTCTGTTGGACATGCAAACACACAACAATAGTATGTCCATACATTATAAATACTATGTCAGAGGGGGGGGGGGGTACCTTAATGTTTGAGTCTAAATCACTAGTGGAGGGAGTTGTATCTCCTTCCATAATAACTCCATTAACAACATTTTCTGAAGAAAGCCCAGTAATCAGAGAGTTGGTAATCGGTGACCTGCATTCAGTATAAATAGGCCTTATAAAATATTATATCTGGAGATATTCTACAATGCATTAATAGGAAGATGGGACCCAATTAAAGCCACTTTGAATCCTATTTTAAGAATGTGCTACTTATGTATATCATACACCGCCAGACACGGATGATATTCACACCCCAAATTTGTAATTCTTAATTATTCCTCGTTTACTCTTCACTACCCTGTCTTGCTGCTTACATAGCTCTCCCCATAAAATATTCTTGCAAGTTGCAACCAACTAATCTTTCTAGTTTCTAGGTATTTGTATAATTACTTCACTGGAACGCAACACATTACCTTCCATATGGCTCGTCGTCACATGAATTTCCTGAAGAAGACAGCCAATCCAGGTCAACAAAGTTGGAACAGCTGAATGAATCCCCATGTCCAGAACAAGAAATAAGATCATTATTGAGGAAGCGCTCTCTTTGTACGTCTCCAAAAAGTTGTCTCCGAGGCATTGGGGAAGTGTACCTATACAAACAAAAAGAATATCAAAGTCAAACCATTCATATGATGACTAGATAAACAAAAAGCATAAAATAACTGAATATGCCATCATGCAAGCCAGAAGCATAAGGAGGTCTTCGGTTTATTTTTCTAATTCCATTTTCTAGTTCATATGTTTTCAGTATAATTACAAAAATGCACCTTTTTATTCCATATCATGTCCTAAGAGCTTTTTATGCCCTAAACACCCGCTAAGGTGGCAACTTGTACCAGTACTGTATGGTGTGTCATGGACACAATTTAGATACAAATTTTGCACTGTAATTTGGTCTATTCACTGCAAACACAGCAGAGAATATAAGGACAAGGGAAGACTCTCTCAAATAGAATAACAGTTTGCCATATTCCAGAATATAAGTTGAGAATATTTATTTCAGCTGCTCTGCTACATTTTCATACAGAAAGTCCAGCTATGAGAAGACAAAAAAACATTTGAGAATAAGATTGCTAATAATAACGATTGTAAAGCCAAACAATAAAATGTACTATCAACAATCTATCTTTTTCTCTGTAAAATGGATTAGTAAAGTGATTCTATATTAACATCGGTGATCAAAGCTAGATTATCCAGCTGGGTAATGGTGAGAGGATATTTGAATCTGGGACTTTCCCTTACAGGTTACAGGAGAATCATTTGGAGTATATATGCAGTGTGTGCACTTATCTCTTCCTACATGCCATGAACTGGATTACATATTTAAATTCATATTAAATAATACAGATACAGACCTTGAAAATGACATGTCACTCTCAGAAATTGATATTTCAGGTGATGACTCAGAAAAAGCCTTGCTTACTTCTGATTGGTCCAACAAACCTAACTTGGAGAATTTTTCAAGCTTCAGATTTTGGGCTGACTTAGGTGTAGAGCTGTCACGAAGGATGCTTCCATCTGAGAAACATCTTTTGACAAATGACCTAAAAAACAATATTTCAGAGTTACCACATAAGCTGCATAAACAGGAATTTCCCAAGTATATGCTTCACATTATAAGGATATTCACAATGAGCCCATAATGATTGTGTAGTACAATAAATCTAAATTTTATGCTATATCATTTAACAGAAAGCAGAAGACCATGTCACAGTGCTAATTCTCAGCAACATCCTATTCAAGGTTTGAACAACTTAAACTCTAAAATCAGAAAGTTTCAGCTTCTGTAAACCATCCAAGACAAATGGATTTTAAAAGCAATCCCCAAAAATCATCGAAGAAAGGTATGGAATCCTAATAATAAATTCTAGTAGCTCCTTGATGACTGTTATACCAGTTAAAAAGTATGACTTTGTTGGAATGGTTTGCACACAAGTGAAAATGCAAAATCAGAATTCATGATAAATCTTCTACTCTTACTGCTGCATTCAACTTTGACAGTGGAGTGGGTTGTATAAAAAGGATTCATATATCTCGTGCCTAATTTCTTTAATATGTAATAGTAGCAAACAGTTCAGTAAGTATGTTGTCAAAAATACTTTCGTGTTAGGCACTTTCATGATAAACCTTACATTAATGAAGGAACAAAGAATGCTTCAGTCGAGTAAAGAAATCAACATACTTCTAAGACTAAGATTCCATTTTTTCCACATATGGAAAAACCATGACCTATGTAAGCATGGACACCGAGAAAGAAGTCCTGTTCAATGTGTATCATCAGAAGGTTAACACTTGACACTCATGGTGACAGCTAATTATTCCACACCTCTATATATTGCCCTTTCTCTCTTATGGTATGCTTGGATGGGAGGAAAAGAAATAAGGAGAAATGGAAAAGATGCTGTGTTTGGATGTGTAGGAATTAAGAGAGGTAATTAAAATATGTGCGGCCCACTAACAAAAAAAATCCTACAAATGGGGCCAAGGAGGGGAAGAGGGGAGGTTATGGGCCAGGAGGTTTTTTTTTATTTTTGTTTTATATTTTTAAAAATATTTATATAATATAAAAAAATATTATAATAAAAAATTAAAAATTTTAAATTATTTTTAATTTATTAGAATTATTTTTAATATAATTTAATTATTTCTTTTCACTCTCTTTCTATTCATTCAAACAAGTGAACGAAATTATTTTATTTTATTCAAACATCAAATTTTTACTTTATTTTCTACCCTCATAATTCTTCTGTATTTCTTTCCTCTTTATTTCATCCCTCGTCCAAATGAAACCTAATGGATGATTACATTAATGTCCCCTAAAGCTAGGGTTTTACACCCAACACCTCTCATTTACGATTTTACACCTACTTACTTCCCTTATCTTTGTTATGTACGAGGGCATGCGTTGAACGAACTGTACCTAAAGTAGGAGGGAGGATGTATGAATAATTACTAAAACAAAGAAAAGTGAAAACGAATAATGCAAGGGGATAGCTCAAGTTTTCTTAATTTAACAAACTTCTATTTCCCTGGATAATAACCAGAAGATCAGCTCCCTATTGACTGTTTACCTGATCTCTTTTTTTCCTTCCTTTTCTGTCCAATATCTCAAGAATACTGTATTCCTAATTATCCTACATCACACTGTATTTTAGATTTTTTAATTTTGAAGTGTCCACACCGATATCTATGCTGCATTCATGAAAATATAGAAGGGCACTGGACTGGAAGTTCCAGATTGACAAACCCTAAAAAAAATTAAAAGAAAAAAGTGTTTCATTCTCCATAAATTAAATTCAAATACCTTGCATCATCATCCCCATTTCTCCCTATATCATAATGTTCATCTGAGCCCAACTCCCATAGAGCGGGCTTACCCAGTTGTGGCTGAAAATGCCCCAGGAATCTGTGCCAAGAAAATAGGAAGACTACTTTATGATTAAAACAGAACAATTAGTTAATCTTGGCAAACAGGAGATATATAATAATAGTACAAGATAAAAAATTTAACTAGTAAAGATAATATAAACTAGAAATTCAATAATGTCGTAAATTAAGTAAAAAAAAAAAAAAGGACTTCAGCAGATTCAGAAACAGAATACAATCTATATAAGACAAAATAAAATTAGTAAATTTATATATTAGATAAAATTCAATTTGCTTAAAATTTGGCTTTCATTAGTTCCAATTTCTAATGTGAAATACTGTTTGGTGATTAATCTTTAAAAAATTATATCACATAAATTTTAGAACCACAGGATACTTGCATATTTTAGTGTAATAGGGCGTTTAACCAGCCATGAAATAGGATTATGGGGTGTTCTAATAATGACCATTTCAAGGAAGATCCAATTTGAATTATAAAATTTTAGGATACATTGCTGTAATTTTATTTTGGGGATAATGTTGTTCGCTTTGTCTGTTTGGAAGCTATCTTCCTTACAGATGTACGGTCCCTCCTCTCTTTTCCAATGAATTTTTCTTGGAAATCAATATTAAACTAATCTACTATACCTAGTTATAATCCTAAAAATATTTCAGTAGTGAGTTCATATGGCACCAAATCATAAAATGTAGAGTAAATGGGATGCCAATACAACAACCTCAGCAACTCATTTCAATCAAAGGAAATTCTTTTATCATGGATACATTGATGGACAACTCATACAACGACTTTTCCTCAACGCTGTCATCTTATTTACATTATTTTCCAATCATGAGATTTTAAAGCTATCAAGGTTCAACATTTCTTTGATTAGTGTTGAGATTTTGGTAGGAGTAAAGAGGGGATCCTACATGATAATGCATAACTCATGCTGTCCTATGTGCACTTTGGAGTTCAGCACACATCTTTTACAGAGTTACAGAGGGATTGGAAAGTCTTTTGTATGTCACTGTTTATTATTATTATTATTATTATTATTATTATTATTATTATTATTATGTGCAATGTGGGAAAAGGATTTCTAATCCTACAGTACAATACATGTTTTCCTCTAATAAAATTTCTTCCAATGTCCCCAATAAAAGGCCCTTCAGGGGGACAGACATGTTATAAATCCAAAAACCGGAAATAATATTAGTTGGAGGCAGTAAACAACTATGAAAAGCATGTCTGTGGCACATACATGTTAATTGCATTTTGCTTCTCAGCGTCCATGTAAGCATTGCTGTAATAGCGTTGAAGAGTTCTGAAAAACTCTTGGGATTGTGTTGCAGCTTTCCATTGTCCCCTCCTCTCAGAGAATATCTACAAGGCAGGTAGCAATAGATGTTAAAGAAAAAGACAATTTGAAATGGTTAAAAAACTATACAATTGCAATAATAACAATAATAAAGTCTTATCTTATTAAGTGAAGTCAACTACATGGATTGTATGAATTCACTTACCTCAGTCAAATACCAAATTTTCAAAGATAATATTTACCAAGAGATTCCTTTTTGATAAACCAATTTCACATTTTTCAACATGACCATATACAGCAACTTTACCCATTTAACAACAAAGAAAAATGTAACAGCCAAGAAAGAAAGAAAATTGTGATTTGACTCCTCCAAAGTGTGGGTAAACTGAAGAGTATTAGTTGAATGAAAAATCAACTATTAGGGTTGTGATTATGTACAAGGGCAACAATTTAAGAAGTTTTTAAAATCTCAATCATCAATTACCACTCCACACTATACCACTAAGGTGCACCTTACAATTTAGAGGAGCCAAATCCAAAATTCTGAAAATCAACCAATTACCGGTCTATCAATGGTGTAACCCCAGTTTGATGAAAGCAAAATTAACTTTAATAGTGGTCATGGGGTTTTCAACATTTCATAGATTGTGGTGGTAATTGAACTAAATCAGTACTCCATGTTTGTTAACATATTCACAAATTGATCCATGCATGTAACACAAGAGGAAGGTCCATTCTCATGTCAAGTCAGCATGAACAGTACTTACAAAAAAAAATTTCAAAATTTTGCCTAGAAATCTTATACGAAATTTTCATTCTTTACACTTCTCAAAAGTTCTAAAGAGATCTAAGGCTATATATTACCATTTTTCTCTCATACTAAAATTTTTCACTAAATCTGAAATTTTACGTCTATTCTAAAGGATTTGAATGAAGTTTCTATAAATTTGAAGTTAGATTTACTGTTCGTTTCTCTTCTTCTTTTCTTTCTTATAGATAGTTGATGATATCTTAGGAGAGACTCCATTGTAGAGCTAAATCTTCAGTGGATCTTGCCTTAAAACAAGTAATATTCAATAGATCTGGTTTGAATCGTTATTCTAAAGTAAGGAGAGCTTACTTTAACTATTAAACGATGATTGAAACGATTTGGTATGACTATTACAAGAAGTTTTGAGATGATTTTGTCAGATCTCTTAAATAAAAGTCATTTTCTATGTTGTAACTGTTGTTGATTTAAAATGCGAAAATTTGGCTAAAATATTATGAATTGTTTTAACTAAGCAGTTGAGAATATGATTTTATCTGTGCTGCATCATACTAGAATATGTGTCTTGCATCATTTTGGTATGCTATTACAAGAAGTTACAGTAACTCAGCTCTATAATGATGCAAGACATATATCTCAGTATGATGTAGCACTGACAAAATCATATTCTCAATAGCTCATTTAAAATAATTCATAAAATTTCAGCTAAATCTCCGCATTTTAAATCAATTAACAACAGTTATAGCATAGAAAATGACTTTTGTCCAAGAGATCAAACAAAATCATCTCAAAACTTCTTGTAATACTATATCAAATCGTTCCAAACATCGTTTAATAGTTAAAGTAAACTCTCTTTAAAACAACGATTCACACCAAATCTACCAAATATTACTTGTTTTAAGGCAAGATCCACCAGAAATTTAACTCTACAACGAAATTTCTCCTAAGATATCATCAACTATCTATAAGAAAAAGAAGAAGAAGAGAAACGAACGGTAAATCTAATTTTAAACTTATAAAAACTTTATTTCAATCCTTCAAAACATACATAAAATCTCAGGTCTAGTGAGAAATTTAAGTTTAGAAGGGTTTAGTATGAGAAAAAAAATGGTATTATATGGCATTGGGTCTCTCTAGAACCTTTAAAAAGTGTAAAAAATAAAAATTTCGTACAAAACATCCTATTTATAGGCAAAATTTTGAAATTTTTTTTATAAGTGTTGTTCACGCCGACTTTACTATTCATGCTGACTTTACTGTTCACACCGACTTTTTTATCAGTCGTATATCATAAAATAATTTTAATTGTGATTGATAGAGAGGTCTTCTTCTTATTTATTTCTTGTCTTCTACTAAAATTTATATATCTCAAAATAATAATAATAATGAGATTAACAATTATCTCATCCATTATAATGTTTAAAACCAATTAAAAAATCAAGAAAAGTTTTATTTGGAAGACTTCAAGGGTAATCAAGAGAGAAAATGATAAAGAAAAAAATCAGTTCCCAAGCTAAGTTTTAACTGCAAACTGAAGTCTGAAGCAATTGAAAGAAATACCAGAACTAATCACCTTGTTGTGTGCAGCCGAACCACCATACTGGTGTGCAAGTGTGTCACCCATCCGTTCATAAAATCCCATCAAATCATCACCTAGAGGATCGTCAATATCAATTTTTGGGTGGTCAATAATTCCAAGAGCATGAAGCTGGTGGCCAAGAGCAGCCAACCCATATGCATATTGTGCAACATTTGTGCGATCTAAGCAGTCTATGCAATTGGTTCTGAGAATCCCCATCTGGAACATGGGCAGTTTGGCAGAACAGTTTCCGTTAGCAACGTTGTTTCCTCCACAAGGTTTCCTCTCTAAATTATTAGCATCTTCATTGTCAATATCTTGTCTTGTGAGTTGAAAGCTTCCCATATCAAAATTACCGTATGCAAAACTTCACATCAGTAAACAAAGGCAATGTCGGTAGATGAACTTTAAGTATTCCACCTTTTCATCAAGCATTAATGCATTTTTTTTCTGGGGCGCATGCATTAATAGCTTATTCTTAATATTGGTTCAAGTTATTCATAGAAATGTTTATATCATTGTCTTCATATTTTTCTCAAGACATATCACAATTCAAAAGAACCGGTGAAAGGCATTAGAGGAAAATGATAAACTTACTCAATTGATGGCCATTTTGTACAGTCTGGTGCCACTTGGCAGTAGAAAAAACCAGTTAATGTCAAAGCATATGCAGCCACTTTTCCCAAAAGTAGCAAAACATTTGTAGCTTTGCTGGAAGTAGAGATGGTTAAAAAAAAAATATTTAAGTCATCTTATTCAGAACACTTAGAATTTAATTAAGGACAAAATTATATAATAAAAGATACTAACCTCTGAAAATGTTTTAGATCCCAGTGAAGAAACCTCAGCCTGTTCTCCTCTAATAAATCTTTGTTGATGTAATCAATAGCATTACCAAACTCAGAACGAAGTATAGATTCACGAGGCTTCCTCTCGTGTGTCTGTTGGCACAAAAGTAGCAATATCAATCACCCAAGGGCCTTACCCAAAAAAATGGACGAAGTAACAAATTAACACCCTTATGTAAATAACATGTTAGTAAAGATACGAGAAAATTGCATATTGAGGAAATTAGATGTATCCACTAAATTGGGAAAAATAACAGCATTTCCTTCAAAAAAAGAAAAATGGAAAACTACCTTTATCAAATTCAAAATTATTATGGGATTCCCGTATCTTTTGACAAGATTTTCAAAGTGAAGTCTGGTGGCTTGATAATTCTGATCCTTCTTTGACACTAGAGAAAATCGAGTGATTGCATAAGTAGACATATTTTGACACATGCATTAAAGTAGAGAAGATAAGAGAAACATAACTGTGCAAGTGTTACAGTATTCAAGAAATTGGAAGACATACATATAATATCTGGCTTAAGATTTAAGCGTGAAGTTTCCTGTGACCAGAAAAGAGGGATTGAACCCCGGTTCTGAACAACAGAGCTTATTTGGACCGGAACACCTTCAAGAACATCCTCAAATACAATTTGTTCAGTTTCAACATCATTAGCTACTCTTCCCTTCTCATTTACACCTCGTCTCAAATACCTACATAATAATAACCAAATAAATGAAACTGTGTATTGCACACATCATTTCTGCAAATCTATAATCTTGAGTAATGGTTGGTGAAATGAAAAGGTCAACATTAAAAAATGGGCTAATTATTTAACAAGGCATTTAAAATATTTAAAAATAAATTCCCAAGTTTTTACGTAAAACTGTAAATACACCTATTCTTTTAAGAATAACTTTACAAAAACTGATTTTCTCTACAAAAGTAGTTATAGTTTACCTTGAAAGTCCAAACAATAATTCTTTAAGGTGAGTAGCATTTCTTGCTCCTCGATCAAAGCACCATGTCTAATTTCAAAAACTTATTCCAAACCACTTAACAAAAGCACTAAATCAAGACTAGACAGGCTCTTGATATCATTTTAAGAAATGAGCTAGCCCTAAGTCCTAACTCAACACCAAAAGCTAGCTCAAGTGAGAATCCGTTCAAGTCTTATAGTTATAGCTATATTACTAGTCAACATGGAGCATATTAACACATACCGTTACACCCAATGGTCCAAGGCTAAACATTTGCAGTGTCAAGGCTGGCCATTTGTGGAAAGCCCAACAATAAGACCAAATAAGCTTTGATACCATATTAGAAAGGGACTAAAGTGTAAAGCCTAAATGAAACAAAGATGTATAGGTTGTGGTAGTTTGGTCTGCTCAGACATGAGGTTGGTTCTGCCATTGAAACAATGTCGTGAAATGCAAATGGTTAGAAGGATTGAGATTGCAAAATTGAAGAAATGTGATGATGTCATTACCACATCATTTGGGTAAACATTTTTAAATTTATGGATAGTCAGACTTTTTTACATGTTAATCCTCCATAAAGCAGATTGGGGAATAATGAAGGAGCCATAAAGAAAGTAGCCTATATTTATATATGCTATTTGACAAACAATAGTGCTCTGGAACGTGTCTTCTCACCCAAGAATCGCATACTTTCCCCTGAATCTACTTTCAGGAGCAGTGAACAAATTTGATACTAGGATTTAAGATTCCACAGAAAACTAGAAGGCTTATGATACAAGAGCTACAGAGAAAGCAAGAGAGAGAGAGAGACAGACATTGAGAGTGGATTTACTGTTCATGCAGCAGTTTCATAACACTGTAGCAGCCTTAATTTTATGTCTCCAGTTTTTTATCCGAGATACCTCAGATGGCTCACAACTAGAATTTGTTTTAAGTGTACATTTATATTATATAATTGATTTTATTGGCTCACTCAGATAGGGTTGATTCAGATTTCATCAAAAACAGCAGCAGCTTCTATTTTTCCTGCATTCTAACTTCAAAATGGTCCCATTTACCTGTGCCTTAGCGCTCCTTGCTACTCTTTCCTCTCTGATTTTTCTCTAGTGCTAAAATTTCAATCCCAAACCTCTTACATCAGTTTCAAATGTCAAAGTAGATGTACCATAGGTCAACACTATTTACCCTCAAACACTCTCGCAAGCCAATCTCATTTTACTTACTACCATACCACCAGTTTTCAAGTTTGTATCAGAAGGCCTATTTCCCGAACTGTTAAGTGACCAATAATTAAAATTTGTATCAAATATAGTTTGTATTTGTACACAATAAAACAGTAGAAATAGAATAGTTTCCTTATTTCCATTTTTATGTACAACAATAGTTGCTAGGATTTCACCATGATCCTCAAACTATCAACATGGTGTTTAGAACTTAGCAAAAGAAATTCCATTTTTTCAGATGCCCATTTTGTTTTAACTATGGTTGTTAAAGAATGGATCAAATTGGGAATCAAAGGCCTGTTTTCCAAATCAGGAAGTTCATATAGATGTAGAATAGTTTCCTAATTGAATAAACTATAACATTTACTAAACGAGGCAGAAGAAATTTGCATAGACGTAGAATAGTTTCCTTATTTCCATTCCTATGTACTTTAATAACTAGGGTTTCTCCGTCATCTCTCTCTCTCTCTCGTATTATTGTATTTAGAACCTAGCAATGGAAACCTACACATTGTGGGCGGCCCATTTTGTTTCTCTCTCCTCAGAGTGGAGCATTGCTGATCTACTGTTCTGAGGTGTGTTTCACCTCCACCAGCCACACTACCATCACCCAATGCCATATCATCCTTCCACTCCACTGAAGGGTTAACTACCATAGCCAAAGCAGACATGCTTCCCCATGCCTCAATTGCTGGTCCACAGCACACCCAGCTGTAAAATGCACATGAAAGCCTATTTCCAGCCACTGTCTTTGCAGAACCCTGCCAACAAGATTCTGGCCACACCCATCCATCACCACCTCAGTTCATCAACCTACAGTGGCTGTTTGGTTCCCCATACCTTTGAGATCTGTATCGCCAGGATCACAACAGAATCAAGATTCTTTCATTCCAGCACAATTCTGGCGATTCAGCATGAGATGGCAAAAAAAATAAAACACCATGTAATCTGTATTGATTGGGTGAGGACTCACATTGAATCACAATTTATGCAATTTCAACTACCATGTTCACATTCTCTCTTTTTTTTCAGTATTTTTTTGTTATGTTACACCTAGTTGGGATAAAGGCTTTATAGTTATTGTTGTATTTCCTTGTCTTGTCATGCTAGAAGATCTTGCATAGAAAGTGTTTGCTTTCAAATTTTCACTGCCAGTCAATTTTATGAAGCTAACAATATACTTTATATCCTAAAACCTTTGCCAATGTGTCTGGGAAGAAAATGCAATGAAATTTACATACCTAGTGCCAGCAAAATGTCGAGACCGTCTTGCAATGAGTGTAAGTATGAACTCCCGCCCAGATATTGTAAGTGTGTCCTAATATCATATAGACATTAGACATTTAAGCATGAGATGACAGAACTACTTGAACAGAACATCAAAAAATAGTACATAAGCAGATACTTATCAAGATCTCCAGTAAATGTATACAGTATATAGTCAAAAAATGAAAATGTCAGAAGCAATATCATCTAGTTGTGTTGTGTGTTGTACTAATAACAAACAAAGAGAGCATATTTTGATTGTCACTAGAATAAGATATATCCAAATACCATCAACTACAACTTCATAATGAAAGTAGAAAATGTGAAAATTAATGAGAAATTTTTCTTAAAATGCCATTTAGATCCATTTATAATCTCACCTGTTTAAAAAAGCCATAAACTAGTGCAACTGTCCAAATAGTATTCTGGAGGTGATCCCTAATTCCTCGAGTCAAAAACTCATTCCAGACAAACATGGTCTCATAAAGGACATGGCCTGTCTCACTATCACACAAGTTCCTTTGAAGACTACTCATAATATGGTATGAGTAGCTGAAAAAGAAGTCCTTTGTAAGGTCAACCATGCATAGTAGCTTTTTGTATCTAAAAAGTCAATGAAACAAAAAATTAATACAAAACTTGAAGACATTAAGAAAAATAAGATTTGACAACATGCCACAATATTGTGTTTAAACCAAAAGATGGTGGCAAGTATGCCTTAAGAATTCTTGTTTGAAAAGTTAAATTTAAGCCACACGTCCATCAGAAACAGAATCTAATCAAAATTAAGTTAAATTTATGCCACATTTACATCAGGAACAGAATCTAATCAAAAATTAAGTTCTCAACAATCTGTGGATGCTTTTTTTAATAAATAAAAAATGTGTAATTTTTAACAATGCTTCTACTCAAGCCAAACAGAAGGAATGCCACTTTAACATGAGGTTTCCACAGACTTTAATATTAACTTTAAGGATCTTATGAATAGGAGGCAGTTAAAAGAATCTAAACATTTGATAGAGAGAAACTGAAATATGATTAAAAATAAGAATAAATCTGAAGCAACTGTCTGGTTTAAATGATTGATAAATGTCAGCATTCAGAAATGTTATATTTAAATGCAAAATATGATGAGCATTCCATGGGTTAACATTCAGTTTTGTTTTTGAAGTACAGAAGTAAAATCAATATAAACATCCAAGATTGTAAAGACCTGTTTTCATTTTTAGAATCCATGATGCTAGAATGGACAGAAGAATTTTGCAGTGGAATCATCTCACTCTTTGAGACAGCATACACTGTATGACCACAGATTGCACCAATTTGCCTTCTTTTTGTGATAATCAGCATGTAATAAGGCCCCAAAAATTTTATGAATCCTAAATACAGAATAACAAATCAAGATATGGAATGATAATTTGCCAATTGTCAATTGGACAATAAACATTGGATATACATACCAATAATTCCATAACAAGTTGTAACAAACTTCAATCCACCTGTGGACACGTTCCCCTCATGTATACGCCTCAACAGGTCAGAACATTCACTTTCTGTATAAGTGGTCGAATCTTCAAGCACATTTAGCTCGGAGGGATCTAGACGATCAATCTTAAGCACTCTCCAATATGTCCTGCTCTTGTCCCTTCCAATCATGTAAAACTTCTGGGGTAAAAACATAGAAACATATGCACAGCGTTAAAATTTTTAAATAGAGAAACATATGATAAATGCAGCAACTTCAACAGTGTCCAATCATGTAAGTCAACACTTCTAAAACAGGATATCCAAAGTTTAACATACACATTAGATTACACAACCATGATAATCCAACTGCCAAATTATGGAACACAGCATCTAAAGTTTTAACAGAGGCCAGGGGAAATCCACTTTTAAAGTGAAGGCAAATTCCACTTTAAAACAAAAATTACTCGATTCATTTCGAAAATGTAAAAGACATATAAGAAAAATAAAAAAGGAAAAAGAATTAACACACAAGTTTAAAAATTTAACTACTTCTGTCTACATTGCAAACCAATCCTTATACTATAAAACAGCGAACCAAGAAATTCAATGCACTGGGTTTAGATGATAAGTTAGTTTCCTGTTTCTTCCAGAAACTAGGACATCGCTATTTTCAAAACTAAGATCCACCATTGAGACGATGAATGGTCATAAATTAGCATAATAAGTTCACTGAAATGCTTGAGATCGATCAAACATGAACAAAAAAGAAGCGTATTGATCTTACTTTTAACCTGCAAAGTATGTGATCATAGCCCCTCATCTCAATTAGAAATAAGAAAGGGAGAAAATTATTCACATATTTACTTCTGCAACACAGAACAAGCCAGCCACCAAATCCAAATGAAACCAAAAATAAAGAAACACGCTGTACTAAAATTTAGCCAAAAAACACAGCATTCTACACGAACGATCAATACGGACAAAATCAAAGAGATCTCAGTACAATCAGAGTAAAGAGCTTACTACAACAGAAATCATCGAAAAATTTGTTCAGAAGAGGAAGAAAAGTACATAGCACACATACCGATAGTGTCTCATAGAGCCTAAACTTGTTCATACAGGCACGTGCAGGAGGAGGAGGAGAGTGGGAAGAAGTCTCATTTTCCGACGACGCCATGGCTTCTCCTTCGCTCAATAATTCAGATCCCCCGAGCCTCAGGCTCAGAGGGAAACCATCAAAATCGCATGCAAATTATAGTCACCGAAATCACTAAATTTCCTCTCGCACGATCACCACCTAACACGAGGAGCCACAATAGCATTGCACAAAAACACACAACTCCATGCTCTGAAAAACCCTAGGTTGCTTCAAATACAGCATTCTCCTTCCCCCAAATTCATCGACCTTTCTTCCCCATTCCTCCTCCACCTCCACCACCACCACCAAAACCAACAACCAAAACCGTCGCCGTCATCTCCTCCGCCACCTGCAGCTGGCGCAGCTATTCACCCTCTGGTCACGACTCAAGCTCACCGTAAACGCACGCTACAGCGCAGATCGAAATTTTTTAGATTGCGAATTTCTAGTTTTTGTAGTAATGAGGAAGAACATAAAGAGAAAATCAGCACGTGCGTATCTTCAAAATGGGAACTCTAAACGCAGCGTATTGAGATGGAAGCACGAGATCAAGCAGAGAAACGGAAGAGGAAGATGAAGAAGAATAAGAAGAAGAGATTTGGGAGGCTCCAGAGGACCAGAATAAAAAGTTACCAAACACGGGAACGAACGGGAAGAACCACCAACAGCTAATAATTGTTTCAATTTTCGTTTATTTTATATATATATATATATATATATATATATATATATATATAATTTTTTTTTTGTTTAATTTTAAAAATTTATTATTTATTGACAGCTCAGTACTCAGATCCAAAGAACAATCAAAGCCACAACTTCGGTGACCTCTCCGTCCACACATTAAAAATTGAGGGAAGAAAAATCTGAAACAACGATGTGAAGTTATTTTCATTTTATTATATTGGATTGGATTAGATCAGAAGATTGTTTTTGCAATAATTGTAAGTTTAATATTTGATTTTTCTTTCTTATACAAGTCTACATTGTTGTTTGCTTCAACGACCGACGTAAATGTGATTGTGAACTAACGTGTTATCTGAAACTTCCTTGTGGCCACTCAAATCAACAGGAGCTGCTCGCATGAATGAATCTCGTGCATTTGCACTAATATTTCTAGTGTAAACGGGAATATACTGAGAATGTTACTTTTATGTAAAAATGAAATCAGAAATTTTCGGTCATATTAATTCCAAGTTATATAATTGCTTTTAAAATTTATTTACTTTTAAAAATGAATATTAAATAATTTGATTAAAAATATAAATATATTATTGATATACTCTTGTCATAATTTTTAAAATATTTTTAACATGTTTTTAATTAAAAAAGTATTTTTATTCATTAATTAGTTGCTTGATTATACTTACTAATAATATTATTTTAAAATTATTGTATAATTTTTATATTTTAATGTTGACTATTTATAAAAATATTTGATGGTTAAAGTTTACTCTTCTTAATTTTACACAAAAATAGCATTTTCGTTTGACATTCCTCAGTATTTTAATTCTTATCATTTTAAAAAATTAATTTCTGACTTTATAAAAAAAAATACTTTGTTTTAAATATTTTTAGTATAAATACCAAATGATAAAGTTAAACAAGTTTAAATAAATTTTTTTATAAAGTTGGAAACTAATAAAAACATCTAATTTTTTTAAGATAAATATCTTACTTATATAATATAAAAGACTGGCGTAAGTGTTTTTAGTATATGTGAAATGAAATATATAATTTTTAAAAATTTACTTTGTTAATAATAAAAAAATGTAAACTAAATGCATTTAAATATACGTTATCTGATTTTAAAAAATAAAAAATGTTGTAATTAATATCAATTGCTTGTTCTTTTTTTCTTCTTCCTAAACGTATCTCAGACTTTGAAGTTTATTATCAGTTTTACTAATTTAGGTATAGATTATGAGTATCTGAGACCTTATTTAAAATGAATTAGATAAGTAGCACTTAAATTAAGTCATGTTGACAAAATATTTCCTAATTTAAAATAGTTTGTGCAATAAACTGAAAATATATACAACCTCAATACCACATAACCGTAATATTCTACTGATGTTATTACCAATTGCTCTCTATTATATTTAAATACATTTCAAGAATGATCATGAAGGACATTCAAGAGTCACACTTGTTTTGTTATAAAGAATATACAAGTAATTGTGCATTATGTATTTTAGTAAATGATAAAAAGTGCTTAATTTAGTTAATTTACTCAATTTTAGTTAATTTTAAAGACTTGTCTTTTTCTTTTCAATGGGACATGAAATATAATTTGAAGCTCTTACTTAGTTCCCCTTTTTTAAGATGATTTAAGGTTTTAAAGGAGTGATAAAACATCCTTTTGGTGCTTTCTTATCATGGAAATATTTTGTGCACCAAAGAAATCTTTTATATACTTTTTTCAAACTATAAGATTTAATCATATCGTTCCGTAAAAAGTAACACTCACTATATCAATTTTTAAAATTTTTACATGAAATTAACTTGTTAAAATACCAAAAAAAAAATTGAATTTGCCTTTTATGTTATGATAGTAATTCTAAGAAAAATAAAAAGTACGAAACATTTCAAAAATTTGAGCAATTATTTTGTTGTGCTTTTTTTTTATAAATATTAATATAATAATGAGTTAATTTTTAAGAAATTAATTATTAGTATATTTTTAAAACTAATATAACAATATTAGATTATCTCATAAAAAAATCTAAGCTAGGGCGTTATTACTATTTTTGACCGAAACAAAGACAACCAACCATGGCCACATTATTTTTGGCATGTCATGTCAGCATATTATTATTTGATGTGAGAGACTTGGGAACGTTGTTACTGAATTGAAATGACATATTACCCTCCATAGAAATTAAAATAATTATAATAAATCCATTTAATTTTTCATCAAGTTTTCACTAAATTTAATATATTTTTAAATAGTTAATTAATTATTACGAGGTCAACTTCTCATATAATGGAGTTCAGTGAACATTTCTTTCGCCAGTGTTTTCCAGCTTAATAATTCACAGGAGTATCATTCCAAGAATAAATCCAAGTAAATTAAAAGACCAGTTTAACTTGTAAAAAAAAAACAGTTAAACAGTGATCAATGTAAACTAAAGAGTTTTATTTTAATAAATTCACTTCAATTTTTAATGTTAGCTGTTATTATATAAGTACTAAAATAAAATTTTAGGATTTAAAATTACACCTAAAGTTTTATTTTATCTGAGAAAATTTTCTTTTTTATTTTTAAATATTTTCATAAGAAACAATCAAATAATGTATAATTATTTTAAAATAAAAAATAATGCAAAATAAAATTACATTTTTATAACTAAAAGTAAAAGTAAATAATACTTTTAAAGTTAAACAATCCCAAAAATTTTATACTTACTGTTTAAAGAAAAAAAAACAAAATACTTTATTATTATAATTTGGATTATTTTAAACTACAAATAGAATTAAAGAGAAAAAAAGATTAAAAAAAGTCTAATTTTTAAAAATAAATAGAAGTAAAAATTTATCGTGTGTTCTTTCTTTTTTATTTTTCATGTACATATAATTAATAAATTTTAAATAATAAATAATATATATATATATATATATATATATATATATATATATATATATAATATGTGACATCAGTCTCACTCAGAATACAATATAATTCGTCCAAGTGTAATACTCAAGCAATTTTTCTTATCATTATTTAACCATTTTTTTTTTCTATTAACACTCTTATATTATTTATTTTCAACATTTTTTCTCTGGACTTCAATTAAAAAAATTATATTGATACATGCACTTTGTTTTCTTATATTGAAATTTGTTTTATTCTCAGATGAAAGATCCAATATTCAAAATATTAAATAGAATCAATATACTATGTAAGTAAACTAAAATCTTAGTTTCATAAAATCCAGGCCTCTTCATCATTTTAATCAAATTTATTTTCCATGTGCATCTATACCCCAACCATGTAACCGTCACATATGCTGCTCACGTTTCGGGTTTCTACGGATCATGCAAATATTGAAAGTGTTATTTTATTTTCATTTTTTTTTTTGTAAATAAACTAACTAGTGAAATGGTCCTTAATCAGTTTCAGGAGCATCAATTACATCAGCAATAGTGATTTTGATCTCATTGTTGAAGAGTTTCTCCAAATTATATGGTCCTACTGAGGAAGGTGGTCCATTCCATAAAGCCATAGCGAATTGCTCATGGATCTTCTCTGTTGGGTGGAAGGAATCCCACCATACATAATCACCAATGTTGTTACATACGCTGTACTCTGTAACTTTCTTTGAGTCCCCACAGGTGAAGATGCCTCCATATGGTCCACTACCACAGCAAGCATTAATTCCATCCTTAAAACCTTCGATAAAATGCAAAATTTGATTGGTTACACATTATGATTGATACACACTAACAAGTTAGGAAAATCAATGCATTGCAATACATACCATAACTTGTGGGGTTATTTAATCTATCTTGAAGCCAATAATAGAAATTAGAGTTAGAGTACATGAACCCTTTAAGGATGTGCTCTATGCCCGTGAGAACATTGCTTAAAGCATTATTATGTGCTAGAGCAAGATCGGAAGCTGCTTCAAAACAACCACCTTTGTCGGCTTCAGGGTTTAGAGCTCTAAGAGCTGGCAAGCAACCCAAGGGAGACAAACTTAGAAACCCAAACTTTCTAGCCCCATTCTCATACAGAGTCTGCACACAAAGAAAGCATGATTAATTAACTTACGTTTTTGTTTATTAAAAAAGCTAACCTGGGCTTTATTTAGTTGAGTTAATTTTGTAGCTAATAATAAGGCTTACTTGAATTGCCTGTGTCAAGTTTCCAATGACCATCCCAACATATTGTTCAGGATTGTATCTTTCTTGCATTTTTTGGTTACCTAGATAACCACCCATGTAATCGTTGCTTCCTATGCTAATGAAATAAACTGCTTTTGAGATCAACTCCTTTGCCTTCTCCTCTCCAAGATTTTCTGCTAGTGATTTTCTCACTTCTTCAAAGTGCCTTAATTGTGTTTGAAGATCGATCACCTATATAATAGCAACTTTATATTGAATTACTGATAAATACAGCTCACAAGTCATATATGGTGGAAAAAGTTTATGCAATAATATATGAGGTTAGCATCTAAGATAGCAAGTTTATCAAATATCACATGCCTATTCAACATATTTACTAATTTACCAGTCCCTGATTGGTTTCAGAAAGGACACCGGCCCCACCAGAAGCAAAGTTGACACCGCTACTAAAATCAGCCAATGGTTGTAAAAAGGGAGGAATCAGTGGCAGCTTAGCATATTCAGCTGAATCAGCATGCAATAAAAGTTTAGCACACATCAAGACAAAGTATAATATTGGTTTTGGAAAAACACGATAATAAATATTTTTTAAGAAAATTTTATTACTATTAATTGCTTTAACTCAATGACTGAAATCAATAAAACTGAAAAAAAAAAAAACCATTAAGAACAAGAAACTTTTGAATAAGTTGCCTCGTGATTTCTTTTTCTGAATCATGGATCATTGAACTATTAGGTTTCTAGATTGAAGCTTATCAATGAAAATTAAAAAAGTTAAAATAAGTTACCGCATACCTATAAAATCTACAATGACACGACCGTCGGAGAATCGTCCCGTGGGTTGTTCAAAATAACCATTTTGTCCATATGGTATGTAATCTGCTCTGTTCTCAAGAATAGTATTTATGTAGTTGTTGTTGCCAGAATCTACAGTGGAGTCACCGAAGATGAAAAAGGCTGTGGTGATGGTGGTAGTACTAGTACTAGGCTCGTTTATGAGACTCTGGGATGTAATGAAACTAATTGAAGCAATGAACTGAATTAATGTTATGCAAACAACATAGCAACCAAGAGGAAATTTTCGCCTTGCCATCTTGAAGATTTTTCACTTAATCCACCATTTTCATGTTTCTTCTAGTGTTGTTTATATAGCAGTTATAATATGCTTTCTTTGGCGATGCAAACGATGCAGTGATCCAGCCAGCGAAAATGTTAGTAGTATTAATCTAGCTTTGTATGATGATACAGGTTTTACTTTATATATACAATAAAGCACTTAATCGTATTTTCTTATACAGGTTTGCTAGAAACACTCACATCTCACTTAAATAGTCCAAATTATACACATCCATTATGTAATTTATGCCAGTATATTTTTCCTTAGATTGGAGACAATGCAACATGTCTTGAATACGACAATTCTTCAATAATTTCTTATTTAAGCCTAACATACATCGACATTTAAAAATTGACAGATCATTGTTATTGCCAACCAAGGGAATGAGATGTGAATATTACAATGCAGATGTACATTGGTTAGCGTTATTAATGCAGTACAGGATAAAATGAAGAGATTATTGTGTATATATAACTGTATATAAACATAATTTCTCTAAAATGAACTACCATGTAAAAGGCATATCCTTAACTTCTCTATCTCTTATTTTTTGAACTTTCACTTTCACATGTCAATGGAGACAATTTTTTTAACACATTATATATTAAAAAAAATATATACTTTTCATTTTCTTAAATATGGTTTTCTTTTGCTTTGCTCTATGTTCCTGTGACTCCTCCTTGAATAAAAGGCCAAATAAAAAAAATTTTAAAAGACAATAAACTTAGTTAACCCAATATAAATTTATTCAATCAATGTGAATAAATTTTAGAAAAAAGTATATTTATATATCTTAAACTTAAATAAAATCTTATTAAGCTTAAGAAATATGAGTGTCATCATTTATCGTAAATTTTATATACGTGCCGAATAATAGTTCAACTAATTAAAAAAAAAATTCAAATTTAATACTACAATAAAGTTTACCTTCATTTTTTTTTTATTAATCCAAACATAAACTTAGTATTCGTTTAGTTTACAAGTAAAATATATTTCATATGTCTGAAATACATCTGAACCTAAAATTTTTACCTGAACTCAATTTGAATAAGCATTTTAATTACATTAAATTGATCAATATTAATTTTATTAAAATTTAAAATAAATTGCGACTAATAAAGTGCATTAAAAGTTGAAATAAACTTATATTTAACGAGATGTTGATAATATATTTTCATTTTTTTAATATATAACTTATTATTAATTAAAATTTATTAAAAATTATAAAATTACGTGCATTATATTTTAATTTATTATTTTCACTCATATTTTTTTTAATTTTTAATAAAATTTTATTGATCGAGTGTATTAAATTAAGTGTGTTCTTATCGTTTAAAAAAGTGACACCAATTGTCCTTTATTTCCTTATGTAACAAAAAAATAAAAATGACCCTAATTGTCCATGTCTCGTCGGGGATAAGGCATTTGGTAATTTGATTATCGCCTGCCAATCGCTCCCTCCAAAAACCCTAACCACAACCGAAAGGCTCTTATAACGACCTCAATTGCAAATTCGATCACAGTTCATACTTCAAACTTGTCGAACAATAGTTTCGATTGCTTTGCCAACATGACTGCGTCCAAGAGAAATTACAAGGACAAACCAATTCGCCGCAAGTAAGTTCTATCCATTTTCAGCGCTTTTCGCGACCATATTTCTCTTATATGGACCGAGGGTTTTACAAAGCTATTCAGGGATTGTAATGTCGCATTTGCATGCTTCTGCTTTTGTTCTGATAGCGCTAATTATACAGGGAAGAGAAACCGGAAGAACCGGAAGTACCAAAATACAGAGATCGAGCTAAAGAGCGTAGAGAAGATCAAAATCCTGATTATGAACAAACTGAACTTGGATTTCATGCAGTGGCTCCTCCTGGTACTGTAGATCTTCGGTAAGGTTTCCATCACCTTATATTACTTTGTATGATAATTCAACTTTTTTAGCTTTGGTTCCCCATTTCCCAATTAATTACGCACTCTGTTCTCTCAATTGTTATAATGTTTCGTAGGTCTTCTGATGCGCACAAGTTATCGATTGAGAAGAGCAAGTACCTCGGAGGTTTGTATTGAACCATTATTTGTTCCGCATTTATTAATTGTTGTCTGGTTTGCAAAAACCCAAATAATCTAAAGTTTGTTTGCTTAGTCCCTTCATAAAGGTTTGAGGTCTCTTTTGTTATTGTGTGTGCATAGAAATGTTAATTAATATGTTAGTTTATTTATTGGAGGTTTTGGTACTCAAGAATCGTATTTCAACTATATTGAAACTTAAGCATAAGATTTATTGAAATTTAAGATTTGACAATGTTTCAATTGTCACCTTTGTCCCAAACATAGGTGAAGGGAATCTTAACTTTCTATACTCTATATATCTTAGACCCTAGTATCTTGTGAATTTAGAAATCCCTTGCCGCTTGTTTCTGTAATCTTTTCCTTCTCTGGTATATGTCATTTTGTCCTTTATTATGTTATGAGGTACTTGCATTATAATAGAGTATTTGTCTCTATCATTGTAGTCCTGATTGTGGAATCAATATATGTTTATATAATCTTTGCTTTAGCTAAAAAATTAAAGCCTTAAATGAAATGTTTGGGCTAATAAGCTTGTTGGATTTATTGATGTTGTCAGGTGATGTGGAGCATACCCATTTGGTCAAAGGTTTGGATTATGCTTTGCTGAACAAAGTAAGAAGTGAGATTGATAAGAAGCCAGATGCTGGGGATGATGGTGATGGGAAATCAAGGTAACTTTGAATTAGAATTTTCCGTAATAATATTTATGGGTTGTGTTACTTCTTTTGATTAATGCATTTTATGAATTCTTAACTTTGTCTTTAATAAATTTAATTTTTTATATGTGATTATGATTTTGTGACAGGTCATCTAAGGAAGACCAACAAGTGTCAATCCGAACAGCTACTGCGAAGGTTCTTTTGCAGATTTGTTTAGAAGAGCAACTGGGGAATATTTTTATTGCACTTGAAGTTTTGAAATTGATGCTTCTAATTTAGAAATTATTGTAGGCTGTAGCCCACTGCTACTGATACCTGTAATCTTTTGTTTCAGTCAGTTTATCAGTGGATAGTCAAGCCTCAGACCATTAGTAAAACAAATGAGATGTTCCTTCCTGGTCGAATGACATTTATCTTTAACATGGTAAGAATTTCCATTTTGCTAACAAGATTTTGGTGTTTTATAGGAGTTTCATGGCTAATTTCTCATTTTTTATCATTCTTACTCAGCATGTAAGTGACTAACAGAAGTGTTTTAAACCATCCATTTTGTTTCCCACTTGTGTTAGATTGGTATCATAGAATTGTTGTCTACCAGCATGTAAGTGACTAAGTGTGTGTAACTGTGTATACTTATGTCTCAAAAAATGATCATATGGTAGTTCACAAACATGAACCCGTAGATGGCTCTAATGCTACCTTTTTCTTTTGCTCTGCTGTGCATGCGCATTAATTGTATAATTATGTAAGGAATGAGAGAAGTGAATCTTGAGTGTTAGACATATATGCACATTCAAGACTGGAGATTAAACCATCAAGTCATGTGATTTCATAAAAAAAAATCATGTCATGGTCATATGATTTGGTGTTTGAATTGACTGTTCTTACAGATTCATTAGTCAGGTGCCTATGCATTGCCAACACTATAGATTAACCACTGTAGAATCATTGTCGTGATCATAAGTCATCAAATGTTAACTTGTGGTTAGTATTACATGCTGCATTTGTCTTTATTTTGATTTGGATATGCGTTTTTAGTAATGACTGAAGGGAACTTATAGTTCTTCAGTTCACCTTATAGAATAGATATACTAAGAATAGTGTTAAAAGTCGCATCTATGAACTTGTTGATCCAATCCTTTTATATATTTTTAATTATTTTCTAATTCTCCGAAAGCAAGTTGCTGATGTAAATTTCATTTCTAATCTGTTAGGAGGGTGGATACCATCATGATATTCCAACGACCTTGCACCGTAGTAAAGCTGACTGTCCCGTGCCAGAGGTTTATGATCTTGCTGATTCCATTTTGACATTTGTTCTTTTACATTGAACAGGTTGTCTATATATACATTGCCTGTTAAACCTTGCTTTTATTTTGCACAGGAAATGGTTACAGTTAATGTTGATGGATCTGTTCTAGATCGAATTGCAAAAATAATGTCATATCTTCGTCTTGGTTCTTCTGGGAAGATCCTAAAGAAGAAAAAGAAGGAAAAAGATGCAAAAGGTACTGTACAGAGCAGATCATTTTGGAGTTTGGTTATTATCTTTTAGATGCAAATTTATATGAATTGATGTATTTTGCTTAAAAATGGTGCTGTAAGTTTGGTCCATTTCTACATTTTAGTTATTTTATGTTGAAGATTGTGATGGTTTTTATCACAACCATCGTTTATACACACACACACACACACTCCCCATAATTTGGGTTTACTGTAAATAAGTTTTTGATGAGTTTAAGTAGCATAGATCAGTGGTGTGGAGCATTTTCCTCCCTTGTTTCTTCTTAACAAACTAGGCGCCAAACCCATGCTTTACATGGAGAAATCAATAGCTTATTCAAAATCCATATTACCAGCATATAATTATGAAATGCCACTGAATAGGAAAAGAATAAACAGTAGAACGACCCCAACAATGTAGGACAAATTTACTATGATATAGATGACCAGGGAGATGATGAATGATAACATTTATTATACCCTTTCTTTTATGCATTATTTTTCAGATAAGAATTTATAGTTAATAGGTTCTTGGCAATCTCCCTTTTATATGCAGGGAAGATTTTGGCTGTTGGTAATGGATATGAAAAAGAAGATAAGACACCGAAGGTTGAAGGTGGACCGAAGAATCAAACTGAAAGAGAAACCTTCTTGCCTCCTCCACCCCCCTTAAAGAAAAATCCTCTCATATCAAGAGAGAAACAAGGCCCAGCTGTTGCTAGAGCAGAAGATGATGACATTTTTGTTGGTGATGGTGTTGAATATGATATACCCAGTAAAGACTTGAGCCAAAGTCCTGTCTCTGAGGACATGGAAGAGTCTCCTAGGAACAAAGAAAAGCCTTCATATTTCACAGAACCTAGTTATGGTCCTGTTCCCCCTTCTATGTTGTCTCAAGGGTGGCAAGAAACAGTAAGCTGGTGCTATTTATATTTATTTTGAATTGTGGGTTGACTAAGTTAATATAATTGGAAACAGTAAAATCCATACTCCTGTTTCATCTTTAGTAAAAATTTTCTATGGAATTGAGAACTAGAAAAAAATATTATTGTACTATTTGCGCTACCCTCATGTTTTATTCTGCTTGAATTATGTTTGATGGTGTATTGAGTTTCTTTGATTTCACTGTTTGGTTGCAGAACGGATATGATGTGATGCAAACACAAGCCTTGGCTAGTGGGTACCAAGGAGAGTGGCAGGAGTACCAGTATGCTGAACAACTGGCTTACCCAGATCAGTATCTTCAGCCAAATATGCAGACTTATGATGTGCAAGCAGGTTTAACTATTCCACATGATCCGCGCTTTATGACTCAAGAAGAGAAGGATCGTGGTTTAGGGTCTGTGTTTAAGCGAGATGACCAGAGACTTCAACAGCTGAGAGAGAAAGATGCTCGTGAAAAAGATCCCAACTTCATCTCAGAGAGTTACTCTGAATGTTACCCAGGGTATCAAGAATATAACCGTGAGATAGTGGACAGCGATGATGAAGATGACTTGTCAAAAATGGATATGGGTGGAAGGGTAAGTAACGATCAGTTCACTTATGAGGAAATCAACTGCATCTCTCTTTATTTCGTTTTAAGTAGTGTACAACATAACTTGTCATAATGACTATTATACTAGCTGTTATCTCAAAATAACTAGTTGGAAAAAAATAATGTTCATAAACCTGCTTGTCATTTAGTCATATTGTTGTCCACTTAGAAAATGAGTAATATGGTGAACGTTACAATATTGAAATATGCACTCTCAACAGGCAAAGGGTCGTCTTCATAGATGGGACTTCGAAACTGAAGAGGAATGGGCCACTTACAATGAACAGAAGGAAGCAATGCCAAAAGCTGCATTCCAGTTCGGTGTAAAGATGCAAGATGGCCGGAAGACCCGAAAGCAAAACAAGGACCAGAAGCTCAATAATGATTTGCACAAGATCAATAAGATACTTTCCAGAAAGAAGATGGAAAAGGACACGAATGGTGAGGTTGGCCACCATTATGATGATGAGCCGCAACCTGGGAAGAAGCTTCGAATATAAGTTGTAGTCACCACATTGTAATATTTTATTGAATGAAATGAGAATTCCATTTATATCTGAAGATGGTGATGCATTAGTATGATCTATTTTTTGCTTTTGCTTTTGTAGTTGCCTTATTCGAGCTGTTCTCTGTTCATAGAATGAAAATAAATAGTATTAAGATCAACCTAAATATCTGTTGGAGGATATAATATTAGGCTGACCGTTATAATAGTAAAAGGTTTATTTTCAAGATTTGGAATTAAATTTTTTTATTTTATTAAGGATTAAATTATATATATATATAAAAGTGAAGAATTTTCTTACATTAATGTAAGTCTAAAATCTTTTACACCTAATGAAATAATAAATTATAACTTATTAAAAGTTTAGATTTGGTGTAAGAAATTTTACTTCATATATATATATATATAGCCTAATTTTTCTTATAAGAGGTGTTTTGGCTAATACATTGTTTAGTCTATCACATTATATAAAATTTTGTGCTTTTATGATGATCCTTACCTCACCAGAATGGGCATTTTATTAAGAATGGTGGGCAGACCCAATGCTGCTTAGCCATTGTAAACTGCTCTTCATGGTTTATATTCCACTTTACGCTGTTAGGTCTAATTCCACTTGCAAATTGCACCTATCATTCTATCAGTTGCATATGGAGCCTCCAATGCTACTTGCGATTCTGGCACATCATGCATGGGGTTATAAAGTATTGTTCCCTTTACAAATTTAAAACATTGCATGCAATGGAATCGTGGAACAGTTATTAATTTTCGTTTCATTTTATTAACACACTCAATTTGTATGTGAATATTTTATTGGACTTAATTATACATAGACAATTTGTCAAATAATTATTTTCGTTTCTTGAAATATGTCATCCATGCTTAGATCAACAACTTTTCTATTTTAACGTCGAGATTACTATGCCCTAAAGGTTTCGTAATTTTATATCCTCACAAGATCGGTAAATTAAATTGCTAAAATATAATCTATCAATATAGTTAATTAGAGTTCAGTAAAAAATTGTTGAAAAGAATAATGGAAATTTTATTATTTTAAAGTGTTGACAAGAAGTATACATAGACAAAAAAAAATCCAATACCCCTAATAAAGAGAAAATTTCAATTGAGATAGATGAGCAGAATTATTTTCTTTATCATTTCTCGCACCATACATGTGTAATAAGCATGAGATATAAAAATAAAATAGTAAAACTTGAACTTAGTTATAGAGAATCTGTCAATAAACATAGTCTTTATTTGATACGAGTTATCTTTCTCACACACATCAGCTTTACACTAGTAATAACCAGAGAGATAAATTTTTAAAATTGTTAAATTTGATATGAACTAAATTAAAGAGAAAGTTAAACACATAGCTATAGCTAGGTGATCTTTACTTAATACTTATGCTTGTCTCACTCTGTCTACACATATGTTGTGTGCGAAATCTAAACTTGTACTTGCAGAAATGACTTTATTTTTTTTGTTAAAATCTATCTTATTACTTGCTATTATTTTTCCTAATTTTAAGAAATATATTTAGTTGTAGTGAGCGCGAGATCTATAGGTGTAAAATATAATTTATTTACAGTTGAGTCTACTTACTAGTTGTGGTTGGTTTGGATTAGCTTAACTACATTAGAATGTAATGAGAGAGATTTATAATTAAGGGACACATGTCCATCAAAATACTTTTACATTTAATTTGGGTTTATTCAACATATTTTTTCCATTATTATCAAATCGTACATTTTTAACTAATCGTAGATTTTGACTTTTACTATAGTCATTTAAAAAATTCAGGATAAGGCAATTTAATTAAATTTATCCAACATTTTTTCCCATTATTATCGAATCGTACATTTTAAGATGATTACAAACTTTGACTTTTACTATAGTCATTTCAAAAAATTCAGAACGACCAAATTTAATTAATTTATCTAAAATTATTAAATAAAAATATATATATATACTTATACTACATATATCATATGTTTCTTGTTTTAACCCATTTTTATTCATTTAAAAAACTTCTATCATAAGTTTATTCTTAAAAGTCCTTTTATCATATCTTGAAACCTAAGGACCATTTCACTCTCTCCCATCCCAAAAAATCGAAAGATTGATTGAGCTTTTGACGCGAAAAATTGGGGTTTAGAAGACGCAAAAATTACTAATTGATAGGAAACTTGACAAGATATACAGTAAGACCAATAAAATAAAAAAATTAATCACTTATCTTTTACTTATATATAGTTACATATTTGTGATTAGTTATAACAAAAATGACCCGTTCATCCTAATTATTCTCCGCTCCCAAATAACCGGTTTGTTTACTTCTCCTTCTGCACTCTTTATTAGCTGCCAAAACTCCAATGCTAAGTAACTGTTGAGTGAAGAAGAAGAGGTTGTGAGCTGAATTGAATCACAACACACTGCCATCATTTATGTAAGAGAAAATGGGCAACAAGCTCTGTGTTTCTATAAAATCTAAAAATAAGGCCTCAGAGGGAAATGATGAATCTTCTTTCAATTGCTTGGACCTAGAAAGCATAGCGGAATATTTTAGACCCTCTTATGAAGATGACATAAGGGGTACCATACTTTACACCTGCAAAATTTGCTGTGAATCGAAGTCACTAAATGACAGCTTCAGTGTGGAGCCTTGTGGCCACTTTTACTGCTTCACATGCACCGTCAGATACATAGTATCAAAGCTCCAAAACAACGTGTTGATCATTAAGTGTCCTGAGAGAGAGTGCTTTGGGGAGTTGAGTCCTCATGTTTGCAAACCAATTCTACCCACCAACGTGTTAGAGAGGTGGGAAAAAGCTTTGTGTGAATCCGTGATTCCCGAGGAGGAGAGGTTCTATTGTCCTTTCAATGATTGCTCCGCACTGTTGTTGATCAATGATGGTCGAATGGTCATTAGAAACTCAACTTGTCCTCATTGCAAGAGAGCCATTTGTGTTCAGTGTAATGCTCCTTGGCATCAAAAAATAACTTGTCAAAAGTATAAAAAATTGAACGAGAACAAGAACGATGATCTTTTGTTGAATCTCGCCAAGAAAAGAAAGTGGAAACGGTGCCCAAACTGCAAGCATTATGTTGAAAAGAATAATGGCTGTGATTACATGACATGCAGGTTGGTTAATTCCCTCCTCCATGTTCCTTCTCCTACATAATTAATGTCTTCTTTTTATATATATAAAAATATATCTTTGAATTCTATATTAATATCAGCCTTCAGGTTGATTATTAATTTAATTCTTTATTACTTTCTTAAAATGCAGGTGTTTACACAAATTTTGTTACAACTGTGGAGCTAGCTTATACAGTTATGTTAGCCATAATTGTTTTCCTAACAATTAAAAGCAAGCACAGATAGTTTATGTTTTAAAGAATAAAAAAAATATGCATCTCCTTGAAAATTTAATGATATCAAGATAAGAGAAAAAGTAGAGAATTTTATTGTCATTTGGCGAGGTAGAAGAAAAATAAAATTTATTCTTAGCTTGATTCTTAAATTGTATTCTTTCTTGATGAAATTATATTGATTTAGTAGCAGACTCTCACTTTTTTCTTCTTCAATTTAGTAGTTTTATTTTGTAATGATTTATAAGTTATTTTTCTTTATTATGTGTTTTTCTTATGATATTGAACATCTAAGGCTATCCTCCAAAAAGAAATAGGGAGATACATGTTCTTAATCTAAGAGGTTGTTATTAGTATTTACTTAGTGATGGATTATTTTTGGGATGTTTCTTCTTTTTCCACCTTACCCGTATTGAATTTGTAGTATTTTTATTAATATACGTAAAGTCATAATCATATTATTATTAGTACATCAATAAAAAGGAAAAAAAATATTTTCCCTCTTTCTTACTATTTTTTGTTCATTATATTTTATTTTTTAAATTACATTCAATAGTTCTATAGAAAAAATAATTTATTCTTTAATTATTTTTTAGAATAATGTAAGTGAGTAGTGACTAATTGTACCCAATAAACATGTAAAAAAGTAATAATAAAACCATACAACGATCGGTTATACATTATAAAAATAATTATCAAACAATCATTTTAAAATTATTAACTAAAATATACTTAAAATATTTATTTTTTATGTTAATTTAAAATATTTATTTACTAAACATAATTTTAATCATCTTTGATTTTATATATAAATAATGCTCCATGTCATACGAAAATTGGTGAATAAAGAAGCCCCATTTTACATTTTCAAGAATGCTAATAAGGGGAAACCCTTTTTTTTCTACCTTTAAGAGTTAAAAAAAAAACATTTTCCTACACTCGAAATTGGGCTTAGAACTTTGTTATGAGAGGATGTGAATATTCTTAATTAGGGAAATTGCTTAATTATCTTATGAGTTTGTGTTTCTTTACGAGTCACTTTTCCTTTTGCTTGTGCTTATCTTTCTTGTTGACTTTTTGGAAAGTCTTCTTTACACTTCACCGATGCTGCAATCATAATTTCGTAGCCACTTTGTCTTATTGACCCTTCTCTGGCCGTAGCTCAGAACGCGAAAACACATTGTTTTCTTCAAACTAATGTTTACTAAAAGCTTAATAAACGTTTTAAATTGTTCATGTTTTTTTGAAAAAACTTATAATATCTGTAGATTTATTGTATATATTAGTAATTTTTTAATTATATATGCTTTTAAATTTAGACAAATTTAAACAATATATAAGAAAAAATGTCAACATTGTGAAATAATAATAATTTCACATGTTCTAAATTAAAATATAATAAATATCTTCATTATTATTATTATTATTATTTTATAAAATAAAAATAAATTTATGATATAAAATTTTAAAAATTAGAGTTACAAATATATCAAAATTTTAAAATCTAACTTCTTAAATTTAAGTCGTAATTTTTTAAAACTAAACTTAAAGTGTGTTTGGATTAAATTATTTTGAACAATTTTTTCAAAAACTGTTATATAATTTAAGTCATATTTCTTTCTACTTAAAAAAATAATCATTTTATATAATTAAAATATAATATATTATATTAAAATATTTTTTTGTCAAATTTATCTAAATATAAAATTCATTTCATACAATCAACTATCACAATAATCGAATGTACATATAATTGATTATTGAAATAATCAATTCGTTTTAGTTCATCTAAACACAATTTTTCAGTTTAATTTTAAATTAAAAATTAACATATATCTTTTTAAATAAAAATAAATTTGAAATTAACGTAAATACAAATCCTTATCACATTTAATGTTTTAAAATGAATTATAAAAAATGCTAACTAATTTTTCTTTCAAATTGAGCATTAATAATTTGTTTAAGGAAAAAATAACAATAATTTTTAAAAGTAAAAAACTTAAATTATATTTTTTGAATTTAAAACTCTCTGACTCTCTGTGCTTGAATAAAGGAGAGGGATAAAATTGACAGAGGAATCTAAACTAATATTAGTAATGCGTTCAGCAACGTACTTCCTAAGCTAGCAAAGTGGAGAGTGGTGAGTGGTAACTGGTAACTGGTAACCGGTAATTCCAGTGAGGGACTGTCTCTTCATTCATCAATCATTTCCCAATCCCTTATTTCCACCATAACAAACAAGTTCCCAATGTTTCACCCTCAGCCGCCGTCGTCGTCACCGCCGCCGCCGCCGTCACCGATGACCACTCTGGAGTCACCCCTCAACGCCAAAACGACGTCGATCATCAAAAGGCGCAGAACAACCGTTCCTCCTTCCGCCGAAGTTGTTGACGTGGAATCCTTCTGTTTCACGCCAATCTCCGAAAGAGGAGCCACCAAGTCAAACGCCATCTCCGTCGACCAATACGACAACGACAGAAACTTATACCTCTCCATCGCAGCTTCACTCACTCTTTCCACCCCCTCTCACTCCGTCCACGTCATTGACCTTTCCGACACCGATGACGACGACGACGTTCGAATCCTCAAGTTCAAACCCCAAAACGCAGCGGCGTTCGGGAAGCGAAAACGAAACCACAACACCGTCGAAAAGGGCGAGTTTTCCAACACAGCGCCATTCGTTTGCGAAATCTGCACCGACACCAAGACCGCGAGTGACTCCTTCAACATCGCCGGGTGCTGCCACGTGTACTGCAAGGAGTGCGTGGCGACGTACGTGGAGTCGAAGCTTCAAGAAAACGTGGTGAACATCGCGTGCCCTGTGCCGCGATGCAGGGGATTATTGGAGGCGGAGGACTGTCGCACAATTCTTGATCCTGGGGTTTTGGATCGGTGGGGGAAGGCACTGTGCGAGGCTGTGATCGCTGCGGAGGATAAGTTCTATTGTCCCTTCGGGGATTGTTCTGCGTTGTTGATTCGAGATGAGAGAGAGAATATTAGGGAATCGGAGTGTCCCAATTGTAGGAGGGTGTTCTGCGCTTTATGTAGGGTACCCTGGCATCAAGGGATACCCTGCGAGGAGTTTCAGATGCTGAACAGGGACGAGAGGGAGAAGGAAGATATCATGTTGATGAACCTTGCTAGAGAGATGAGGTGGAAGAGGTGCCCCAAGTGTAGGTTTTACGTTGCCAAATCTGAGGGTTGCATGTACATGAAATGCAGGTATAACAACTGTTCTGTCACTATTCTAAAAATGGTCCTCACAGGCAATCAATAAATTAAATGTTTTTATTGAAAATCACGCTAAAACATACAGTCAAAATGTATTATTATTATATTTTTTTAGTAAAAAAAATTCAATTTTGATTCAGTAATTATCTTTGAGGAACTGATTAACCTTTTTATAAAAATTAACTGCCTGATATTTTTACCCTTAGCTTACGTTTCTTTTTATCTATGACATTTTCTCTGTTTCGTTCCAATCCCTTCGAGATGAATAAATCATGATGGGGTGAGCAAAATTCTTCTTTTGTATAGAGATAAACATAACGAGAACGTTGCTCTGTTTTATCTGTGCACAAAGGTTTTAAGTTGCAGCTCTGTTACAGTTATTGTGGTTACATGCTGTTAATGTTAATGCAGTCTCCAATAATGGCTTGATGTGGTTGTGGCGCGACTAAGGTGTTGTGTTGTGGTGTTCAAATCTTCTTTTGACCTTGGTCTGTTTAGGTGTTACATTTTAGCTTCGTGGTCGTATACTGATTAATAGTCAACACCGCATGTGGATGTAAATGCTTCTTTTTTCTTTTTTTTTTAAATTTAGGAAACTCCGTTTTAATGAACAAGCTGTTAAATCTCCGAGACTAGAATGTTGTCTTTGTTTCCATGTGCTTGATATTAAGAACCACGGCTATTGCTGAGCCTTTTGCATTCTTCATTTCCCCCTTTTCCTTCCTCCATATGTCATGACAAATTTCCTGCATAATTACAACCAATTCATTGACAAAATTTGATTATTGTTTTCCGAAATTCAGGGTGAGAATGTATGTTTTTCTCTTCTTTTTTTTCCTCTCAACTTTTATGCCTTTTACTTGGTAATCTTTGCACCACACTTGTCACCTTGTAAAGGGTTCATAATCATCACCTATATACTACAAAGTCTGCTAAATCTAAAGCATGAGATTCATACATATGATTCAAGTCTAATGAAGGTAGGAAATTCGTGGATTGGTGTTAATGCTCGATTTACCTTTGTACTAAGAACACTAGGAATTTTCTTTTATTTTGTGATGCAGGTGTGGAATCGCTTTCTGCTACAACTGTGGAGCTCCGTCCTTAACTTCCTCACATTATTGTGCGTACTGTCGACGCTAACGACGCTTGAATATGCTATGATTTATAAAATTGTATTGGTATAATGGCAGTAAAGAGGTTTGAACCTATCGCCTAACGCAAAGTGCAAACTTGCTAAACTTTTCCCTAATAGCTTACATCTGGTGTGATTTTATGTTATGCATGATTCTGTTAAGCTTATAACTTTTTATCTTTTTTAAATATTAAACAATTTCCATGTCTTAATGCCCAATCCCAATAGTTGTTGTTAAAAATCGCCTAACAAAAATTTGTTAGTAGCTGAAATATGCCTTTCAAGCAAAGTACTTTGATATGCTGTCAATTAAATTTTAAAAAGAATAAAAGAAATTAAAATGAGTGGTTTTCGAGCTTTGTTGCATGTCTAATAATATTAGAAGTTTAATTTTGATGTATTGGTTATGTAAAAAAAATAAAATACTATTAATTAATTAAAATGTACAATAAATTGGACTTTAAAATTAACACAAAATAAAGTTGTCACGGTGGCGCTAGAGGGTTAGAGAGAGATAATATTACTGCAAGATAATGTTGATAGTGGGTTCGTTGAATGTCAATAGGGAATGGACTGTCCTTTTGAAATCAATTCTTTTGAGTTGAATGTGTTTAATCTTTATAAAATTACTTAAATTTATTTTTAATTTCTGTAAAAAATTGTTAGTCTCTATTTAATCTAAAATGTTCAAAATTAGTTAAATTTATTTTTAAATTTATAAAAAAATCATGTTAATCTCTCTAGTTAATGTAAATATTCAATGTTAATTTATATAGTTATTTAGTATCCATTAATTGTTAAGGGAGTTCCATGTGATATTTAAAATTTACTTTTATTTCTTATAAAATTATTAAAATTTATTTTTATTTCCTGTAATTTGTTTTCTTTTAAGTCTCTACTTAATTTAAACACCAAATATTTATTGTGTATAACTTTTATAAAAGCTTTTTTTTAAAATTTGAAGATATATGTATAATAAAAATACGAAAATGAAAATAACAAGTCCATTATCATAATTTTCCATGACATTAGGTTGAGCTGCATAATTGATCTCAATTAAAAAAATATAGCAAATAGATATACTAATTGAGAGATTCTGTGTGAGATTGAAGTAAAGCTTGATATGAAGACTTCTAGCTAAGAGGTACATAATATGAGTTGGAAACTTTAAGGATCCATTAAGTATTCTCGGGTCGTCCTCTAACTTAAGTAATGATTGAAATAAATATTTTTTATAAGAACTAAAAGTTAAGTTTGATAATTTTACCGTGGTTAAAATTTCAATTAGTAAAAGTTGAATCAGGGTGGCAACAAATTTTAAACATTTTACATTTAACTAAAGACAAACTATATATATATGAATTTCAATAATTTTAAAGGGACTATAAATATATTTAACCATATTTTTTTTAAGTTTTGTTTGAAAGATAATTCTAAAATGAAATATTTGTTTATGTTAACCTATATTTAGTAGTTTTTAAATGAGCTTTTACAAACCTTTAAAAATATTTAATAATTATTTTTTTCCTTTCAATTTTACCCAAAAGATAATTATCTCAAAACTAATTTTCTATCTTCACTCTCTGTTCATTTACTGTGTAAACATATTCTAAGATATGTATAATAAATAATATCCATAATATTTTTAATAGAAAAAAGATAATTAAATGAATTTCTTAGTTTTTGTAACATCACCTTCAACTATTTTCTTGAGACAGAGTAAAACAAATAATTGAAAAATAGTATAATTTTTTTATGTCGTCAATTATTCTAATTAAATTCTAATAGTAATCAATCAATGTGATACCACATTTTCATTATAGTTAAAACCGCACGAGTTTAAGTAAATACAAAAAGTAACGAAGTAAAAAAACAAAAACGAAATAAAAGCACTAGCAAATGTTCATTTTTATTGGAAAAAATGTAGTAAACACGTAGCTTTTAGTAAATGATTTTGCACCATTACAACACAAGGACAAGCAAAAGACGAAATGAAGCAAGGGCAGAAGAGACGACTTATTTCCATCCTGAAAGTTGATACTGAACTTGGACAATCTCTCTTCACATATTGACTCTTCATATTTCACTTGTTTAAAATCTACACGAACGCTTGGCATGATTGAAACTCAACCGCACAGTTATTCCCCGACATATAAATGCATGCAATGAACATACCATGCAAAGTACAAGGCCAAAAATATTCACGTATCAACTATTACAAATATATATATATGCTCACAATTGCTGAGTTACATAACTGGCAATACCAAAAATATTGCAAAATCTGCATTTTGAGAAGTGGACTAATCGTCAAGCTAGAGTAAAATCAATTCATCCTACAAATCTTTTTGCTGGATTCCTTTCTTTGAATTATATAATACTAGTGATGCTAGAAAACTTGGATGGCCTTTTTGTGACCATAGTATGTCAAAACTCCAAACATAAGTGAAACAATTACACTCCTTAGAACCTATCCTTACCAATTAAGAGACACGGTCCAACCACAGACCGATGAGTAAGTAAAATTTATCAACACTCATGTACATTTGCTCTGGGAAAGAGATAGCACCGCTTGACTTGTTAATAACCATTTGCAGTTTTCTGTGATTTTTTACTGAAATTTGATATGCTGCAGTGAGGACAAACGTACTCCAGTCCATCAGTTTTAGCATAGTCCTGCCATTCATTATAGAGGTCAAGAACAATGATAAGCTTTCCATCTCATGTTGTGTCATGAAGTTTACCTATGTGCAAAATATCATGCATGCTACAATGATACTTGGATATCACTCTGGGAATTGGATTTTCTATTTGTTCTTGTTTCCATTTCTCATGTGATTATTCTTTACTTACATTTGTTGAAAAATGTTAACAATACACGTCAAACTCACTATAACTAGCTGAAATTTATTTGAGAATTACAAAATATGAGCTAAGACTCGTTAAGTGATGAGCAGGATCCACATCATTTCCTGATATAATGTGTGTTAAAGAGTGTTGTTAGCGCTCCACTTATCAGTTTCATCAAAAAGAAACAGACAGTTAAAGTCACAAGCAAGATTCTAATTGCAACAACTTGTTGCAACTTAACCCGATATTGTTTATGTATCACAAACTACAACTAAAAAGCCAACCAAAAGTTGCTATGAGGTCACCCCTGCCTACAAGAAGCAGGTCAAGGCTGATTAATTTCAAGCTTAAAAATAACAACCTGCTTCGTTGCAAGTTTATCACCCACCCAAAGGAGCAACAAAAGAATCACATCACATGTTTTGAATTTCAAAGGAGTAAAAAAATTAAAAAGTAAATTTCTCTCTTTGAAGGCCTTTTACTGATCATGCAACTATTTACGGATTAGGTTAAAGCAGGCATTCACTCAAGTCAAAATTTAGCAATACCTTAAATGCTCCAAGTCCCTGCCGCCTATCACAGCCAAAATGAGCCCATTCACCACATATACCGCAGTTCACCCAGTCACCTGCTGCACTACTGTTGCACCAACATGAAAGGTAAATAATAGTCAATAGGACAGAATTTGACCAACTCCACGTTATTGATTTAGAGACACAGAAACAGACCTGTGACACAATAAACAGCACTCTCCATCTACATCATCATGAGCTAATTCATATTCCAAGAGATAAGTTTCATAATGTCTTTTGAGTGTATTTCCAACACCCTGATACCAAAAAGTAATTATTAATGTTTCCAATATTGCATGGAATGTGGATCTCCAATATATATTCAGTTACAATTCCAAACCTGAGAAAGTATTATGTGCACATAGCAAGTATTTGCAACGCACAACTAAAATGAAAATGTTGTATCCCATTTATTCATAAATCTCAATAAACTAAACAGAAAATAGTCTACAAGGGAATTTCCTTATTTTATTTTCCATTTTGTAAAACATAAGCAGTTCAAATATAATTTTGATGCAAAATGCAGAAGTCACACAACACTGTTGTGGTTGTGGCTTAATTGCCCTGCCAAACAAAGGCTACTGCTACAATAATTACATTTCACTTTTCAGGAATCACTGAATTCTCAACATAAAATACAAACAGGAAATCGGCTTTTGTCATCTTGCCAATGGAAAAAAAAAATTAGTAAAATTGACACCATAGAAAAAAAAAATAAAGTAGCTCCCAGCATGAAAAATTACAGAACTCCCAGCTAGTTATGGAAGAACTTCAATGCAAAAACAGAATGACAGGAAAATGTAACAAAATGAACACATGACTCCAAATACTTGAGAAATCAAGTGAAAAAGTAATGCATACAATGCAGTAGTTGCCTAAATATTTTTTTTAAAAGCAGTAGATACCAGTCATCAACTGAGATAAAGAACTGAATGCTTTATATGAGCAAAAGATACTATACTGGGAACATTGAGGTGAAAAGAACCCACATTCATCCAAAAAAAAAAAAATTGCAAGATACCTGATAAGGAAAAGATTACTAGAGGTTCATTCCTATGGAATTCAAAACTTACGATTGGCTACCAAAAGAGGAATGACACGTACTTTAAAGTTTATAAAATTGTAGGCAATTTCATGAAAATGATCTCAGTCTAGACATAGGCATAAAATGCAAGGAAATATCTCGTTTTAGGACAGACAAAAATAAGATAAGGATGCATACAGTCATTCTATTTGTCAGTGTGTGATTGCGCATCTTTGAGAAAACTTGTCCTTTCCAATTGATACCATTCCCAACATGAAAGCCTCCTCTCGAAACCACCTGAAATGCTCAAGTTTCTCAGTTATAGCTTTTAATTTTTACAATACTATACAATATACACTTAGCTTAACATATTCAAATCTCCTACCTCCCTATACAAGTTGAACAGGTCAAGGCGTTTTGCATTCAGAATGGCATCAGGGAACTCAGCAAGCCCTCCTTGTGGAATTAGACGAGTATGACCTCGAAGGATCAAAAACTGCATGACATCCCTCAAAAATTCCTCCTGCCAGAAAATGTAGCAGGGAGAAAGAAACTTAGGGTTAGATTTGACGTAAAAAAAATTGATAATTTGATAATAAAATATTTGACCTTGGATTAGGGTCAAACAAAGCTTCATCAATGAAAATAGCAAAGGTCAGCAAAAGAAAATGTGGAAACCACCTCTGAGCAAGCACGTATTGGAGCTCGGTCACAACCATGCTTTTTCATTGGTAGTGGATTCAAAGAAATTATTTGGTGAGCCTGAATTGAGTTTGACACAGATTTCCTATGCGTAACTGAATTATGGCCTGAAACATTGTGCTTAATAGGAGCAAGTGGCTGATTTGATTTTCCATGGTCTCCATATTTTTCACCCTCAGACAATCCAGAGAAGGGGAGAATCTTGTGTCTATGAGAATGAGGGATTGGCCTCATAGCAGCAGGATTTAACTTTTGTCTCTGACTGCCTCCAGTATCTTCAATTCCCCGGCCACTAGCATTAATAGGCTTTGTTCTAGTGCATGGTTCAGACCTTTTCCGCCTGGGTGGTGGAGGCATTAGCCAACTAGGAATCCCAGACAAAACAGGATCATCAGGACAGATTTCCTTCCCCTGCCTAGTACAAAAGAAAAAGAGACGTTCAGCATCATCTTTATTAAAAGATGCAACTGGCAATCCTTGAATACTAGCAACTCCCAACATAACAAGGCTGCGGTATGACACATTGGGTGCAAGCTGTCTCAAAACCTGTGAAAAATATCGAAAACCATTAATCTAAAGATCAGGTTTCATCATTCAAAAACAAGAAGCACGCGGGGGGGTTGGAACTACAGGCTCATGTCTTTACAGCTTCCTATTGCTAAAAGATCAAACCAGTTCAATAAGGAGGCTATTTATATATATTCCATGAAAAAACAGAACAGTCAGGAAAATAACAAACTGCAACTACAGGTCTAATAATCAGACTAAAACACCTAAATCAGTCAACTAGAATATATAACAACAGCAAGCAGAAGTCACAAATATCTGTAACTTCCCATTAGCAGTCACAATTACATTCTTTAAAGTCCAAATCTAAACGAGCCAAGTGACTAGATTTAGTCTCAGTTACACTCTTTAAAGTCCAAAAGTTCCAACTAACAAAGTCATCATACTAACACACAGAAGCAAAACATCCATCTAAACCACTTGATTGATTAAAAACAAATTCTGAAGGCTAGATAAATTATATTTTAGAAAGCTACAACTGACAGAAGAAACCTTGAGAAACAAGATTCACCTGTGACGCCCATGCAGGAACTCGCATACAAACCTCAAACACACTAGACCCACAGGCTACAGAGGTTGATCTTCGTGGCTCAGTAGAAGGTGGTTTACTTTGTTCGTGATAAGGAAAGGCCTGAACAAGTTGAGTCTTCTCAATGAGCTCTTTTTTAATATGATTCTCCAAAAGCTGAGGATATACCCAAAAAAGGAGGATGATGAAAAAAGAGAAATAGGTAAGTTAAAAAGTTGAAAACAGCATATATGTGAAAAGTCAAACACTGACCCCACAATTCGCCCGTACCTGATCATTAAAACAAGCCTCTGCACTTCCAGACACCAAAAGTGATATATGAGCAGAACTACATGTGGATATATCACATCGCATGGTCACTACACCACGTGAGAACATTCCTGCCTGGAGTGGTGGAGGCGGAGCACTACAATATACAACAGTAAAAAGGATATAATAAACAGAATAAGATGCTAAAACAGATTAAAAAGAACCATGACAATTCCAAATTAAAAGATTAATACTCCTAAAAATCATTGTATGTGTGGATGCATTTGACAGTCACCAAGAAAACCCCAAACAAAAGATAATGGGAAAACACCCATCAACTCTCAGAAGTCAGAAGTCAGAACCATCAAATACCTTGTCCTGTTGTGAAGTTTACATCCACGTATCTGCAAAAGCCAGAGTGAAACAGATAAATATACATGAGTAATAAAAAAGATTCAATAAAACATAAACTGTCACTAAATTGTGAGTGAAGAGACCAATATTTTATTATGTCAGATTGTCAGTGATTCAACAAACTATTTCATCTTTTGGGACTTTAGACTTGGTAAACCTTGGTTTTGGGCAAGTTATTGTGGGTTTGTTAGTGCTGATCATGAAACCTGACCCCATGTAAAAAAAGAATGGTGATCGATTTGTTCTGAACTGATATATGCATATGCCTTAAGTATTATTTAGACTACATTGTCCAAACAAGATGAAAAATGCAATACAACTTAACTACTTTCTTTAATAACAGTATCAATTTACATGTCAAATAATACTATATTTAAAACCAAATTCAATACAATGCTTCTGAAGGGAAAACATGCAGAACTTCACCACAAAGTAGCCTATGCTAATTACAATGAATTGTCTGAAGGGCCAGATATCACAATTTTATACAGAATTTAAAAAAGGATGATCTTGCACCCAGGAAACAATAGAAGATAAATCAAGTAAAAACAAACATATGCAACAAACTTACTTCTGTAAATAGAAGAGCATTGAGTCCATCCTCTAATGACCCCAACAAGCAAGCATCCTTTTTGGAGGAGAGTTCAAACAACAAAATTAGGCATCAGTTACAAAAGGTACGGTTAAATGTGAAGAAGTATTAGCAATAACAAACTTCACAAAAATAAAGTAACTAAGCTACCCAGGCCTACCAATGTGCAACGAACTCCACAAACAAGAAATCTCATGTTTACATCATCATCGTATATCTTTACAGCAGACATAGTCTCAGGTGAACTTTCCTCTTCCTCCATGTCTGCTACACACGGACTAACATCAATGTCCGGAGGATCTCCAAGAATTTGTGGCCCAAGCTTACCAGCACCCTTCTGGCTGCTAGAAGGTAAGACATTGTTTTGTATACAGTATAGTCTAAAAGATGCAAGAGCAAGCTGGAAAGCATCCCATGTATGGCTGGATGTACTACAATGCATAATACCAAGTACCAACCATCAGTAACAAAATAATATTTGAGATACAGGCATGTTATAGCAACTAAACAAGTAACTTCTAACCAATACCTAAATAAAAGAAACCTAACAAACTGCATCCAATTGTTGGAACTTGCCACATTGCAATACATAGACCAAAATACTGAAATTTCTAAACATTTTCTTGCCACGTTGTTTCATCAGTAGAAGCTGAAGTTAGTCAGTGAGAAGTGTGGTGACAATCACTCAACCTATCACTATCCATGAAAAGGCAGTAGCAAAACACGGAAGAGGAATATATGTAAAGCATGCATGACAGTCGAGATTATACACAACTATACCTCTGTGCCACAGAGAAAAATGCATGACGAAAATGTGAAGCTGCATACTTTGAAAATTCATTTTTCCAATAGATAGTGTAAGGAACTCCCTGCCAAACAAAACACCTTAATTACTTTTCATGAGCAAAGGAACAAGAAAACCAATATCTTGGAATGTCACATCTTGAAAGTCCACATTAAGCATGTTAGTTTAACCACCATTTCATTAATTACTTTCAACCAGCACATCTTAGTTTTCATATCTAATTAAATTTAAAACAAAAATATAAATTGCCTGCTATCAGTTGACCTTAGAACGGAGTGCCTCTGCCAATTTTTCTCCTTTAGGAGTTTCCAAATAAACCTGCAACAATATCATGGAGTAGATTGGACATCAAACAATAGATTATCCAAGTCAAACAATCACTAAAGAAAACCATCCAAATAACACTCACGGTATCAGGCAATTTGGAAGAAAATAATTCACATATCGCTTCTGGGACAGAGAGGTCAAAATCTTCCCACACAAGAGCCCCAATTTCTCCCCGGTCTTCTAGCTGCTGCCCTTGCAGGTAAACAAAATCTGGCTGCAGTTGTTCAATAGCTCGACCGAGTTCATCAGCAGTAGGTTTGGTCAATACTTTTACCTGAATTCAAACACAAGGTTAAAACTGCACTTACACATGGTAGTTTTCTTAATGCCAACATAAAACAACACAAAATAAGACAAAACGTTTCACCAAATAGAAACTCAGTGATCACCTCAAGACGGCCAGAGGAAGAAAGCTCTGGGAAGGGATATGAAGGTTGATCCTCAGAAGCAGCACCCTGCTTCTGCTTTTGCTTACTGTCGCGTGATTTACCACTCAGGATAGCAAGGAGACTACAATGTCTCGAAGGACCCTGAGAATGGAACATCATGTATGCATGACAGAACCAAACTTCTCCAAATATATATCAGAAAAAAGACAAGAAGACTTATCACAACTGAAAGCACACTACTAGAATAGCTCCTACTCACCCCCACCCCCAATAATGCCTCCAACGACTCTACTATTATCAGAATCAAAATTCAGAAAACATCAAAACAACTCTCAGAGATGAAAAATCCACCCAGAAACAAGATAAGAACGAACGTCTTCAACTTTATCACTCAGGAATTGGGAATAACAACACAAACTCTGAGATTGAAGGAAAGAGAGCGACCCAGATCAAAGTGAGGCGAGAATCAGCGACCCAAATGGTCAAATCGAAAGAAAATCCACGCCCCAAATCGAAGCAACGTCCAAAAAGTCAAGACCGAAAGTAAATTGGGAACCCTATTGTATGACCAACATTAGAAAGAATAAACCTCCCAAATCGCTCTATCATCCACCAAACCCAAAGCCCATTTAAAAATTGAAATATTAATAGCATTAATAATAAAAGTATTTAAATGGGAAAATAAATAAATCAAAATCGAAAACCTTTTTCTTACACAGTCCCAAACTCTCCACAAACAAACACCGATTGGGTCAGTCAAAGTAACCAATAACTCAACAAATACAATATTACAATTAAGACACAGACATTAAATTTCCCTTTTATGTACGATCGTGATTAGATTAACCTTTTAATGAAACTATATAATTATATATCCAAAGGAAATAGAATAAGGGGATGAAATGATAAAGTTTATAGTTATTAAAATTATAAAATAAAAGGAATAGGAAATCTCCTTCACACATGATTCGATAACTTTTGAGAACGTAGAATAGGGATGATGATGCCAACGGCATAGGGATATTATAATTACTCGAACCCAAACCCAACAACATCAGCAACATGTTTTATTATATTTACCCTTTGGTTCAAAGAGTCGATTTGTGTTTTATGTGCACACGCTCCTTAGACCAACTGGTTTTTCCTTAATTCTCTCTCTTTCTAGTGATTTTCTGAGCTTACTCTTTATTGGGTTTTGTTCTAGCACTGTTGGGTTGGGTAAGGTGGTGCTTGGATTGAACACGACAAACCAAAAAGTACAACAAAATAATAATATTTGAGGATAAAAAAGAGAAAGAAAGGTGATTGATTAGGATGTTTTGTAGAGTGGCTTAACTAATCTAAAAGGTTACTAGAAATGGTTGAACAATTTGCACTGAAAATAGTTGGTCGAACCAACTTGTATCAAGCATCGCCGTACAGCAGGACCTGTACCATTAAGGTTGTTCTCTTTTATGCTGTTGCACAATTCAGAACCTCTCTGTTTACGAAAAATCTTTTATAACAATTATAAGTTATTTTTCTTTAATCGAAAAGGTTATTGGATATAGTTGAACAATTTGCAGTCAAAATGGGGTGGTCCAACCAACTTGTATTGGCATCGCCATACAGAACTTCCTGTACTATCTATTATTCATTCGCTGTTAAATTATAGGATTTACTGGCTTACCAAGAGATTACGAAATATGTGTATTTTTTATTAATTAAATATAAATGCAATCAATCAAGGAAATCTGACACAATTTTTGTGTATATTAGTAGTATTCAGCATTTCTCTTAAAAGAATGAGTGTTCTTAAATGATACGAATGAATTTAGCATAAATAAGTGAGGATTTTACCTGATTGAATTCTATTGGTCAACACAGAATTATGAAAACTGTTGAATAGCACAAAACTATTTTATACCAATATGCACGAAAACTGTAAATATAACATATTTTTCTTGTAAAAAAAATTATATTTTATTCTTATTATATATTTATCTAATGAAAAATAAATATATTCTTATTATTATAGAACCACGTTTGATGTATGAAAAGTAAATAATATTTGTTCTAACATATCTTTGTCAACAACTTTTTTCATTAAAATTTAATTAATAAGTAATTCTAAACAGACGAAAGAGTTATACTCTATTATAGTTTTAAAATCTCATAAGTATAAGTGCAATCAATCATAACAAATTTAAGGCAAAGTAATAGTCTTTTGGTGGTCAAATCTTTATTTTGAACTTTTTCTAAAGAATAGTGAGTTTTTTTTCCTAAGATATTCAACTTTTAATCCTTCGTAACTATGGTAAGGAAAGAAAATCACAGCCTTTAACTTTAACTTAATTAGTTGTTATATTTGGTTCTTTATTGGCCTCTCCATAGTTATTTGTATTTAGATGTATTTCAACTTTTAATATCCAAGATAAATAATTATATTTCATAATGTCAAGAACCACCAAATTAAGGTTTGCTAGGTTTAATATATTTATTATTATAAAGAATGAGAATAAATAAATAAGAAATTCATTATGATAAAAGAAAATAAATTTATGTGAAACAAAAATTAAAATAAATGGAATTAATCATCATGGAATAAAAAAATTGCAAGACCATGTTTAATAGGTTAAAAGTGATGGTATAAAATTTTAACATTTTATGAATTAGATCACTGGTTTGAAGTTCTTACTTTATAAGGATCTTTTAGAATCATGGTCAATATTTATCTGTGCTATAATTTTTTCTAAATTCATAGTCTATGATATAGAGTTCTCTTGGACGTATTATTTGTGTTTATAGTTTGTACTTGTATTAAAATTATTCTAGCCTCATTATTTATATATGATAATAAATATTTACGAGGGAAAAATGAAAGAAAGAAGAATATAAAGAATGACAGAAACGTACAACAAAAACACATAATTGAATTATGTCCTCAAAATATATTATATTAGTACGTTAATTTAAACATGTAAACCTTGATAGTAGAAAAATAATAGAAAGAAACAACAAAGAGAGTATAAGATATATAAACGGTACAAGTTGATCATGTTCGCATATTTAAATTAATGATAAAAAAGATCATAAAGAAATATTTAAATATATAATTTGATTATTAACATGTTTGTGTATACAAGTTGGTCATTCAAGTATACTAACCCGAAGGAATTAAAGGATATGAGATGAAGAATTTTAGTTATACTTTAATGTTTAATCCATATTAGCTGTGAGAGGAATAAACTTTAACGAATATTGATCTTATAAGAAAAAGTCACACTAGCAATCTCGTGATATAAAACAATGCTAATAAAAGAAAAAGTATAAAGGAATATCAATAAAAAAAAAAGAAAGATAAAGATAAAGAATAGTTAGATCTTGTTTCATTCACATATGAGTTTTTAATTCATACAAAATAAATTAACAAACCTATAATTCTACAAAATAAGTATATTCATGTTGAATCAAATTTGATAAATTTATAAACATATATAAATTAATGATAAGACTGTTTAATTATTTTGATATAATTATTTATTTTGAATAAAATTTAATGGTTGGATTAGTAAAAATAATATTTAATATAAACTATTAACATTAACAATATAATAATTAGTGTAATTTATACTAGTGTATTAATTTTTAATTTTAAAAATATGTAATGTGAAGTTATGTGAAAAAAAAAACCTTATTTTCAATAACTACAATAGAAATAATTTTAATTTTAAATGCTGTGATATTTACTTGATTTGACTTTTTCGCTTCATTATTTCATCCAACAACAGCTTACAATGGCAGTTTTCTGTACTTCGGTAACGATTTGTTTCAATCCTGCAATATCAATTTTTAGTTGATTTAATTGTATTTACACTCTTCACATTTTAATTTAGATGTAATTTTAATTATTTATTATTAATTGCTTTAATTTTTAATTATTCAAAACTAAAATTTAATCTTAAGATTTTATTTAATAATAAATATATAATATATCATTAATTTCTATAAATTTACAAAAACATATATTGAAAATAATTTATTATTATATTTTTATAAATTATTAAATAAAAATTTAAAGCGAGAGTCTTGGTTTGAACAGATAAATTTTTTTAAAAATATAAGTAATTAAAAATATTTATAAAATTAAAGATTATATATTAAGAGAATTATAATTATAATTGAAGCTCCTGAAAAGTAGTCAGTAATAAAATAATAATATATTATTCTATTTAAAAAAACAAACTGAAAAAACTCTGCATAAGTTACTGCCAAAAATTAAAAATCATCAACACGTGAAATGCGATTATGTTTCTTTTCGGTGGAGACGTCAAGTGTGCCATTAATATCCTGTTTACCTGTCATTTATCAACGTCAACAAACGTAGTCGAAACAGGTTTTACGTGTTGCTTACAAGTTTAATACTTTTAAGGACAAAACTTAATTGCAGGTATTTAAATATCGGTTTATCTGAATAGTTATATTAATATTAAATATAACTTATTAACAAAAAAAATATTAAATATAATTTTTGTACATAATATCGACAGAATTTCGCATATTATTGCTGTTTCTAAGAAATTTTGAACACAATGCCTAAAGAAATATTATTTATGAAAGATATCAAACACAAAGCATTTGTTAAAAAAAGGGATCATACAAGTTCGTACATCACTGCATCAGCCTTTCAAATTAACTTTGTTATATCCTTTTACTTATTTTTAATAATTTTTATTATTTTATAAAGTATGTAATATATATTATCTTAAAAATACAAAAAATATTTGATATTTTTTCAATAATTAAAGGATTTATAAAATTTAAAAACTAGAATTATTTATTTTTACAGAGCTACACAATTAATTCTACGTTCATCACACATCCACATGGAACTTGGCTTGAAGCAGAACATATATCACGCATCAAAGCATTTATTTTCATCAGCGCAATTAATGAGGAGTCCTGCTTATTTTTCTCCGCGATTAAACCCATTGATATCACACAACAAAGCAATTTAAGTTGATTGTTTAAACGACAAGATTAAACATACTTGCTATTTAAGGAGTCTTGTTAATTAAATATTAAAAATAAGATTATTTTATTAAAAACGATATTAAAATACAAAATTATAATAAAAGTACTATAATAATTTTTTTAACTGGCATCTATAAAAAAGTGACAAACATTTCTGTTATTTAAGTCCCCGCGGTAGATATCTCCTCCAAGCGATTAATGATAATAAAATTTATTTTAACAATATTTATTAGACTTTTATAATTTAATATAATAATTATTTTCGTTGTCAATAAATTTTTATTATATTTAAATGTTTAATCTTAGTTTTAAGTATTGGAAATAACAAAACTTTTCTTTTATACATGATTAGTGACGTCGACTAACAAATAGTTTATTCAACTAAAAAAACTGAAAAATTGATTCAATTTGTGGTGTAGTTAATAATTAATAATTTTGAAGTATTCAATAAATAATCAAACTTTTTATGTTAGCATTTTTAACCTAATAAATTCTAAAATTACTGATATATTAACAGAAAATAGTTAGTGGACGCTCAAGAATGTATGGCTAAAAAATAAAAGTAAATAATGTGATGAAATAAAAAAAATGTTAAAGGAATACTAACATTGTTTTGATGTGTAAAAATTAGAATCACTTGTTAACACAGAAGGAACATAATAAATTGTATGAATTTAGCTTCATAAGATGGTACCGATAGAGAGTAAAATGGCAAGCACAGAAAAACAATTGTGAATTCACTGAATTTCGACTTCTGTAATGTGATTCGCAAAATGCCATTCCCGCTAGTGTAGTAATGTATCTGTTAAAGCAATGAAATTTTTTCTAAAATTCTAAAATTCGAGTAACTATTTTATTCATTTACATATCAAACCCCAGAAATCCAACGAAAGACTTCACCGATTTCTTCCCCCAAACGGTTGGCTTCCACATCGTAATCTCCAACTGCAACGACGTCGCTTCGGCGACTACTCCCAGTGAAGAACCTTCCAGAGCTTCGAAACGACATCGTAGCCGAAAGACGATCAACGTAATCCTTCAACCAGCTATTACTACTTCCACGCCCAACCTCAGCAGCTAAACTCGGCTCCGAAGCCGGAAACTCCACCGCCGCAGCATCGTCTTTCTCGCTGGAAACGCTTCTCCGGTGAGCATGACTGAACGGAACCTCAGCCTCTTCGTCGATGAAATACTCGAACGAGCCAACAGAATACGACCTTCCGGCGGCGTCAGATGTATCTCCGCCGCGGCGGCTGCTGATGTTACCTATTTCCAGCCGGAAGCTGTTGCCTCCGGCGAAGGACGGCGACCGGAAAACCTTCGCGAGGTCCGATTCGGAGGTGGCAACGACAGAGCGGCAGAGCGGACACGTGAGGTTCGATTGGAGCCACGTGTCGATGCATTCGGCGTGGAAAGCGTGGCAGCATAGCGGAAGGAGGCGGAGGAGGTCGCGTTGCTCGAACTTCGAGAGGCAAACGGCGCAGTCACCGGCGGCAGCGGAGGATGAGCGGCGCGTGACGGAGGAGAAGGTGAACGCCGGGAGGGAGTCGGCGAGGGAAGACGAAGCGATCTCCGGCGATATCCGATGCGAGGAGGAGAAGACCGGAGCGGATGACGGAGAGAAACGGCGACGGTAACGGATGATGAAGTACAGAGCAAGAGATACAGTAACAGCGACGGCGAGGACCGTTACGGTTATGAGAGTGATGTGTGACAGAGAGGATAAGTGGTTTGGTGGAGAAGTAGTGTGGATGTATCCGACGACGTTGAGAGAAGGAACAGACTCGGAAGCCATTAGCTGTTTGTTACACTGAATTTCTCACAGGAAAATAATGGTAGCATGTAAAATGTTGTTGTTACGTGTCTGTGTGTGTGTGTGTGTGTGAGAGAGAGAGAGAGAGAGCGTTGGTTGTAGTTGTAGTGGTAAAGTTGGTGATGGCATTGGTATGGTTTGTGAGGAGGTTGTTTAGGAGGTTGTCTGGGAGGTCTTTGTCCTTTTCCCAAAATATGGCCACCTTCCTTTTTTCCTTCTTTTTGCTTCTTCCATATGTTGGGCTTCCTAGTTCCATACTTTTTCTTTTTAACTTTGTTATAACTTGACTAGATAGTTCATTATAACACCTATTATCAAGAAATAATAATTTAAGAATTTTATTCGAAGAAAATCAGGTAAAATAGAAAAACTTGACTATTTTTAAAAAATAAATAAAAATTACACATGCCTAAATTAAATATATATACAATTAAATTTAATTTTTAAATAAATGTTAATAAAATTAACAAAACGAGGCATCTAACTCATTTATGTTAGTTCACTAGATTAAAAATGTTTGAGTCTAATTCTGTCATACAAAAATGATATTTAAAACAGATAAAATATTTATTTTAAATCTTTATATCTCAACGTCTATCATACTTAATTAAATTGAATTAAAAATAATATGAATTTAATTTGAACTGTTTTGAAACTTAAACCCTAAGTTTTAATGAATGAGTTCGAGTTAGTGTAATTTTTAACATTTATAATTTGTTGAATAAAGAATGTGACTCTTTTTATTCAATGAATTCTATATAGATTTGACAAAGTAATAGAAAGTCTGGAGCCCATGTTTAATAAGTCTCGCGTTATTTTCACCTGAAATGTATAGTTAACCTAATAAATTCATAAAAAAAAAAGTCAACTTACATTTATTATAATATTTAATACTCTTAATAAGTTTATATAAAATATATATTTTTATCAAATTATTTCATTATAATTATATATTATTATAATTATTTATAATAAAGTTTGACTATACAAATAAAATTACTTTTTATACAATTTCAAAGTATATATCTTTCTTCTATATATCATTTGTAGGTTTTAATTTTTAAATAAAACTATTTTTTAAAGTCATATTAAATAAAAACGTTTTTAAGTCTCTTTTTCCCTGTATTGCTTTCATATAACGAGTATTTTATTTTTATTTTTTAAAAATTTTCAATTATAGTATTATTTAATACAATAGAATGTTTAATATTAATATTAAAAAAATATTTTTAAATTTATAATATTTATTGAATTTTTAAAAATATAAACTATATTTTAAATTTTTTTTTAAATAATTAATTTTATTTTAATTATATTGATACAATTAACGAGAAACTTACAAGTTATATTAATTTAAATTTATGTTTACAATATCAAATATTTTTAATAATATTAAATTTTAAAATATATTTTATATAATAGTTTTTTTAACCAATTATTAGTTTTAAAATAAAACTGTTTGTTAAAAAATATTATAACTTGCGCCAATATACGTTTTTTCATCACATAATTGTTCGTAATTTTGACAATTGAACATATTTATCCAAGTACCTAAAATTTGGACCTTAAACCCTAAACCCTAAACCTTAATATATTGGAACTAGGTGTAAGTACGAGAAAACTAACGCTTTTACTACTTTCTTTTTTAATGGTAATATTTATTAACTCAATTTTCAATCATATCTTTTTTAATTTTATTATATATATGAAAAAAATCTTTTTATAATAGTGTAAGTTTAAAAATTCTTACACTCAATTTAAATTTTTTATTTAACTTATATCTAACTATCAGTAAAATAATAAATTATAATCTGTTAAATATAAGTTAAATGAAAGATTTATATTTGATGTAAGAGTTTTTAGACTTAAATCAGTGTAAGAAAATCTTGTCTCATATATATAAATAATTTAAATATTGTAAATGTATATTTCAATAATAAATATTTGCTTATATTTTAAATGAAATATTACACAGTAAAATAATTTAATGATATAAAACATTGTTAATTTTTAAGTAAATTTAATATTCTTTTATAAAGATATTTAATTCAACAATTAAATTAATTAAATATCATTATTTTATTTTATTATTTCTCTTGTCATATTTATATGTTTTTTATTTTTTTAAAATAGCTTTTCTAAAATAAAAAATATATATTTATATTTAAATTTTGATACATTAAATTCATCATGTATTTCGATAATATCAAAAGTAAATTTAATTTTTCTCATGTTTTCTTTTAACCATAAAATTTTCTTATTTGCAAACCTTACTCTTTTGTAACACAAAAATACTTCATTTTCTTATAAATTTAAAAATCTTAATTTTCTTCTTAACCTTATAGTTTTTCTTTTTTATAAATCCTAATTTTTCTAACTTAAAAATTTATCTTTTTTTTTTCAAAAAAACCTAAAAGCTTAAATTTTTTATTGTAAAAATTATTCTTTTTGTAAAACTCTAAAAACCTTTTTTTTTTTCAAATACAAATTCTTAAAATCTTTCTTTCCTTGCAAACTCTAAAAATTCTTAATTTTTTTCTAATCCTACAAAATTTTTTCTTTTACAAACTCTGATAACTTAATCTTTTCTCTAACCCTAAAAATCTCTTTTTTTTACAAATCCAAAATCATCTTTTTTGACAAACCCTAAAAACTCCTATTTTTTTTACCTAATTCTAAATTTTTTTTTTTTGCAAATCCGAAAAAATCTATTTATTTTTTTTTGTAAATCCTAAAAGTCTTACTTTTCTAACCTTAAAAACCTAATCTATTTTGCAAATCCTATAATTTAAACTTTTTTTTCCTAATCCTAATTTTTTTTTCACACATCTTAGAAATGTTGATTTTTTTTTCATTTTTATATAAAAAATAAATATATATTTTTTAAAGTAAAAAAATATTTTGAATCAATGCAATAATCAAGTAAGGTTGAGAGAATGATACATCTACTTTTTATATTATTTAGATTGTGAGTATTTATTGAGTAGTATTATTTTAACTTAAAAAAATTATATGATATAATTTATTATAAAATAAGTAGTTATATACATAATTTAATTTTATTAAGGTTATGGTACACTCTAAACTAAAGCCCTAAATTAAATAAACGAGCACTTAAATATTCTACAAGAAAAAAAAACAGTGGTTTGTGGTGTGGGCTAGTGCACGTGCAAGTGGGCTAAGTGTTTAAGGGCCGAAACAGACACGCACACCCCCACTTGTACTGGAAACGTAACACACAGTAACTCGTAAGATAACAAAATCAACGAAATTATGTACTAAAAAAAATTAAAGGTTAGTTTTAGAGTAGCGATTAAAATATTTAAAATAAGTTTTTAATTAAAAATTATACAAAGAGTGTTTAATATTTTTTTAGTAAAGATTTTATTTTTAATCAGTGCAGTGAAGGTAGTAATTAATACTTGCTAAAACAAAAATAATAAATAAAAATAAATGAAATTGATTTAATTTAAACTGTGTTTCGGTGCTGCGATCTCATTTCACTCCTGAATTTCTAGCTTCCATCTCCTCCGATTTCCCTCTTCCATCGAAGTTGACCTTTCATTCCACTTGTTGGAATCCCCAGACTCAGGTCTCTCTCTCTCATTGCATGCCTCTGCGTTCTCATCATTTCGATCTCTTTGATTTAATTGGGATTCGTTTTCCTTGTTTAGTTTTTATGTCTGCTTCCGTTTCAATTCGATTCGCTCTCTACTTTTTCTCAATTACACTTCAGGGTTTCTCAATTTGTGGTTTTTGGTGATTCTGAATCTACGCTCTTTCTGCCACAAGTCATTGTCCCAACCGTATAGTCTCATTAGTATTCAACTGTAATTGATGCTGCTTCGTGTGTGCCTGTGTTTGTGTTGGAAGAAGATGAATTACTTTGTTGATTTGGGGTTTTTTCCCCCTTCGGGCACTGCTCGTGCTTTTCAGAAGCTTTATGCAGAAACCTAGATTGGGTTTTTCTCGAGGGGCACTAACTGAAAATCCCAATTTCTTCAAATTCAGATAGCTCTTTTGCCACTTGTCCGCAGTGAATGCTGCAGGAATTGGGAACCCTGTTTTGTTTTTTTTTTTTTTTTATGATTTTTGTGTTTCGTTGGATTGTTTCATAATTGATGATTTTATGATGAAAGATTGTGTTTAGTAATTGAAGTGAGCTGCCTTTGCAGGTCTAGTAACTTTCGAGGTTGCTGGGTACAGAAGGAAACGATGGCTGCTTCAGAGGAGAATAGTGCATTGTTCCCGATATTCATATTGACAATAATGGCAATTCCTATAGTGCCATATACAATAACGAAGTTGTGTCGTGCTGCCACTAAAAAGTCAAAGAGCTTGCACTGTCAGTGCTCTGAATGCTCGCGATCAGGGAAGTATCGTAAATCGATATTCAAGAGGGTGAGATCATTTTCTGCTATCTGTATTTCATTATTTTCCCAAATGATTGCTTAGTTATATACTTTTACTTGTGATATTTAATCTAATTCTGCTGTTACCTCTCATTTCTCGTCATTTTTATTCCCTTTCTCCTTTGATTTTGCAGATTTCAAATGTCTCAACATGCAGTAACTTGACATTATTGCTGCTTTGGGTGGTTATGATTATTCTGGTTTATTACATAAAGACTATGAGTCGTGAGGTAAACAATATGAATTCAGCCATTCCAGTGCATGAGATATGGAATTAATATTGAGGGACCTTGTATTTGTTGTATAACATTTTGCTTTTGGCTGTGTCGAAATGGCTCACGCTCTGAATACTGTACATTTTAAGCAGATTGAAGTTTTCGATCCATTTAGTATCCTTGGATTAGAGCCTGGAGCGCCAGAGTCAGAAGTAAAGAAAAAATATAGGAGACTTTCTATTCAATTCCATCCAGATAAAAATCCAGATCCAGGTTGAAGGTGTTTCAGTTGTTTAATATATGTTTCTGATCATTGCAAACTTTGATGTTTGCTGGAATGTGGGTTTTCTGCAATTACCCATGTAACCAGTAGTTTTTCTCGCCTTTATTTCAGAGGCACACAAGTATTTTGTTGAGTACATTGCCAAGGCTTATCAAGCTCTGACAGATCCAATAGCTCGTGAAAATTATGAAAAATATGGCCATCCTGATGGCAGGCAGGTAATATAACAAAAGGTTATGACAAAGTGCTTAATGGGTTGTTATCTTTTTTGTTTTCATGATGTTATTTATACATGGTATTTTATTGTAGGGATTTCAAATGGGTATAGCTCTCCCCCAATTCCTGCTAAATATTGATGGGGCATCTGGTGGAATACTTCTTCTTTGGATTGTTGGTGTGTGTATTCTCTTGCCATTGGTAGTTGCTGTTGTTTATCTCTCCAGATCATCAAAGTATACTGGCAACTATGTGATGCATCAAACACTTTCCACTTACTATTACCTCATGAAGCCTTCTTTGGCCCCCAGGTATATTCACTGTATATCTTTGTTGTAGTTAAGCTCTCTCAATATTTATTCTCATCATTATTCCCTGAGGATGTAAAGCACCAAATTATATGCAGTCAGCCACTGAATATTTCCGGTCACTAGCTATTGTTATTGGTATATGTATATTATATTTTTGAATTAGCTTGAAGTTCAATCAAAATTTTCACTGTCTGAATGTGTTGGTTATTAAATTAATGTTTGTACACACACAAAAATGTTTTTGACCCTCTTTCCTTACCGAGATTATAAAGTTGAATTGCCCAACAATATTGATGAATTATTGGGATTTAAACAATAACTTATCAGAGATTGAAATGAAAACAGTAAAGTAACATGCTATTTTATTTAACCCATTTTATGATACTACTAGTAAGGACATTGGACTTTAGGAATATCATATTGTAATAGATTGAAAATTGATTTCCTCCTCCCCCTATTCATACTACAGCTGTCTTGTATACTTGAAACTTAGGTTTTTTTTAATATAAATTTGTGACTATTATGTTCTACAGCAAAGTCATGGATGTCTTCATAAAGGCTGCTGAATATATGGAAATTCCAGTTCGTAGAACTGATGATGAACCCCTTCAGAAGCTTTTTATGTTGGTAAGGAGTGAGTTGAATCTTGACCTCAAGAACATTAAGCAAGAGCAGGCAAAGTTTTGGAAGCAGCATCCTGCACTGGTTAAGGTATCTTCTTGTATGGCTTTTCCAGATTAAGTTTTTTTTTTTTTTTTGCACACAAGCAAGTGTGCTATTCTGATTTCTCATAGCCCTTCATGTTCTCACACCTATACTATTTTCTTTCAGACAGAGCTGTTAGTTCAAGCACAATTGACCCGTGAATTTGCAGCATTGTCTCCATCTTTACAAAGTGATTTCAGACGAATTTTAGAAACAGCTCCTCGCCTTCTCGAAGAATTAATGAAGGTGACTGATTTACTATTCAATCTTTATGTATCTAAGTAGACTTAATGTTCTTGCTTTCTTAATAACATGGCTGACTTCAAGTCTGCTCTATCTTTTGCAAATTGCAATCGTTATTCAGAAGTTATATCAACAAAGAAATGTAGAAACAATTAATTCTTAGAATTACCAATCTAAATAGAATCATTTCCTGCATGTGCTCATGCCTCAGGTGCCTGGTGTCCAGCTTAAGGATTATTTTTGTTGTCTTAGACAATTGTGTCAAACTTGAGATTTTGTTTGTAAGATGCAAAATTTTAAGAGGACCTGTCCTACAGGGTACAGGTTACCCAGGTGAACTGTGGAGTGTAGATTATTTATGAACTGCTAATATACTTTTCAATGTTCCCGTAACTTGATGAAAAAGAAGCACAGTAAAGAAAGTTAATTGCTGAGGTGGATTTCATTAAACGTTCATTTTAGAGGAATAATTTTTTTAGGTAGAAGCAGTATAAGTTGTATCTAAACACTAGGCAGCTTAAGTAAACATGTGAAAAGTATTCAGTTTTCCCCCCTTGTGAGTGTATTGGAACATGGTTATATCATAAAAAGGGAACTTAGTAGTGGAAATAATTAGTTTCATGAGATGTATGGTTTGTTATTGATGGATTGATATAAAGTGTAATGCTACATGTAACTAAATCTGATTCTCAAACTCAATCATGAATGACTTGGCAAAAATGTAATCACTCATTTCTCTTGATAAATATCTCAAAACCTAAATAAATGAAAACATACAGATCAAATGGCATTTTTCTTAAGTTATGTGTGTTTTTACACCATGTTTTGATAGTTGTTAGTATTTTCCTTATGCTAATGCAAAGAATAAGTAGGATGACAGGACCAGTGAAGGTTGTAGGTTAATTATTATGACAGATGAAGCATGCATATCATACGTACTGGTTACACATTATAATAATCAAGTTTTGCTTGCCATCATTCTCTTATGTGATGAATATGATATTTCTGTTTCTGGATTTATGGTCAGGAATTTGTGATATTTGCATTTATATACATTCTTTAATGTTCTACTTTCTTTAAAAGATGGCAGTTATACCACGCAATGCTCAGGGGCATGGGTGGCTGAGGCCTGCAATTGGTGTTGTTGAGCTTTCTCAATGCATCATCCAGGTGATCAATCTATAGTTGAAGCTATTATTTGCTACGATGTGGTCACTTCATTTTCTCTAATTGCATCCTTCCATATGTTTAGTGTCAGTGTTGTACTTACAGATTTGTTTCACTGTATCAAATACTGTGGGATAGTATTAATTTTATTTCTTAATTGTCATTTATTTGTAAGTTGTAATTGTTAATCTTTATCCCATTATCATTTATGTTGCTGATGACCTGCTTGCCTCTTTTGAAGTTGTCCTCATTGTTGAAGGCTAAAGAGAGTGTTGTTTGTGTTTCCCCCCCCTTTTTTTGCAAGTGTTTTTGGAGTGGGGCTTCGTAGGAGGGTTTTGGGGCAGTGTGATGGTTACTTTTCTCTTCTTTTCCTTTTGATTTGCTTGTTTTCTATTGGGGTTTTCGTTTTCTTTGGCTTCTGGTTTTTGGGAGGGAGTTTAAATTTTCCCCATCTTTTCTAATGGTATTTCTTTTCTATCCAAAGAATGAAAATAACCTGCTTACTACTACTATGTAATAGCATCATGCCATCATTACGTTTTGTTGTATTTACCTATTTGCAGGGGCATTTGGCAATGAAAGAATAACATTAAACTTATTGGTTATTTCTAAGTACCATGTACTTGTGAGGCTTGGGGCAACGCCCTGACCTTGGAATGGGGCAGCCTCTCCAGCCCCACAAAAAATGAAGATAATATTTAATTGAAGACAATGAAAGCAACACAGAACATGTGTATTAATATGTGTAATCTATATCTTTTACCTCAACATTTTCTTTTTTCTGTGTTCTACTATATGAAAAAATCTCGTAACTCATAATATCTTGATTGTATATTGGGAGTATATTTTGGATTTTCTCTCAGGGGTAGTGCTTTATTTTTTGTTTCACATCATCTCTCTTCAAAATTACAAGTATATTATTCAGCATCTCATTTATCTTTCTCTCTCCCCTTCTTAACCTTTTATTCCTATAATTTGAACATGGTATTGCAGTGGTACCATTCTCCATGACCTATCCTGTCTTGATTAAGTTTCCTCAAATCTGGAACTTTGTTGTATAATTTGTAACAAGATCATTATCTCCTTGAATCTTCTCATTCGCTATGCGTAATTCTGGTCATTCTCTCTCACTGGCTATCCTTATCTCCCTGCTGCTGCTGCTGCTATCTTCACTAGAATCCGTAAATCTTCCTGTTCCTTTGTATTTTTTTTCTTCCCGACAAACCCTGAATCTTTCTGTCCACTACTGGCTGCTGCCATCTAATGTCTTTTCCAGCAATCTTTATGATCAGCACCCCACTGTTGGAAGCGCTCTTCCAGATCAATCCTATCACAGAGTCTCAGACTCTCAGCCAAATCATTGCTTTGCGCACTCAGTGTTTCTTAGCTCTGCTGCTCCTCATGTTCTCCTTCCAACTATGCATGGAGGTGTGTCGAGCAATGTGTCTGGCCTCGGTTTATTGCACCATGGTCAAGTCTCTCCCTCTCCAGATCTGGACTCACCTCTCATCACATGTCTGACATAGTTTTGGGCAGCCATCTTCACCATTTTCATCATTGTCCTTTCTTCAAGCATATCCTGTTAGTTTTTTGGCACCATTGCCACCTGTAACATGGCAGATCTTTCTTGAATTTGTTTGGATCTGTAATCAATACTCATCTCTTTGCTATTTCTAGCACCTTGAGTTTCCTTTCTTGCCATATTTGATATTTCTTCTTTGTTCCTTTACACTGTTTGCTATCATTGGAGAGAAACTTGAATTGCATCATAGGATACATGCTTGCTATTTTAGATAATCATTTAATTTGCTTTATATTTGTAAAAGCATTTAATTTGTGCTTGTTGACATCATAGACCATCCTACATCTAAAATGGGAAACCAAAGTTTTTCATTTTCTCCTCTAGCTTCTTTTTGTTCTTCTGGTTATGTCTATTGGTTTAACATCATCTCTTCTAGAACAAGAAATGGGTTATGCTACCCAAATTTTGCACATATTGATATGTACATAGTTTAGGTTGAGAGGATGTCTTTTTGGCATAATTTTATGATATATGGAATGGAATTGTGCAATTCTTGATTGTTGTTCATGTTTGTTTCGTTGTCTTGTTTAGCAAGCACTTTTACTTAATATATCCACCAATTAATATTTTTGCCTTTGTTTTTTATAAAACAAATTTAATGTGCTTTTCTTGATTTTTGACCTATGTAGGCTGTTCCTCTCAGTGCTAGAAAGACTACTGGTGGATCTCCTGAAGGCATTGCACCATTTTTGCAGTTGCCGCATATTAGTGAGACTGTTATTAAGAAGGTGGCTCGCAAGGTATGTCAAAAACATTATACACGACCTCTTGTCATCCAATTATTGTAAATGATTAAATTTCCCTGGTCTGGGACTGAATGTTAATGTCTGTGCTATTACCTGTAGTTACATGGACTAGAGATCTTGAACCTTTCAGATTTAATATAATGACAAACCTTTTACGTACATTTCTCTTGGGTGTCTAACTGTTGCTGGTTAGCTACTCATTGGATCCACTTCAATGGAAGTTTTATGCCAAGTGTTCTCAAGATTGGCAAATGGAAATTATTCTTTTGGGTTTTGCATTAATTTTTTATGTAATTAATGATTTGTCTTATTATCTTTTTTTTTTTAACTGCACAGTTATCTCTGTTTTGTGCAATTAACCCAAAGTTTTGTATACTTTAGTGACTACTGTTGGCTGTTTGAAATTCAAATGTTGAATTATCTTTTTTAAATTGCACATATTGAATTTCCAATTTGATCCCATGACTGTGTTGAATCTGAGCATTTTCCTTCTTGATATGCAGAAGGTGAGAACGTTTCAGGAACTTCATGACATGGACTCTCAGGAGCGAGCTGACCTGCTTACTCAAACAGCTGGGTTATCTTCTACTGAAGTACAAGACATTGAGACGGTACTGGATATGATGCCTTCCTTGACACTTGAGGTAACTTGCGAGACTGAAGGGGAAGAGGGTATACAAGAGGGTGATATTGTTACTATCCACGCTTGGATAAATATTAAAAGGGGTAATGGTTTGATCGGTGCCCTTCCTCATGCCCCATACTACCCATTTCACAAGGAAGAAAATTTCTGGTTCTTGCTTGCGGATTCTGTTTCCAATAATGTGTGGTTTTCTCAGAAGGTTAGTTTCATGGATGAAGCTGCTGCTGTAACTGCTGCATCTAAGGCAATTGAGGAATCTATGGAGGGGTCAGGAGCAAATGTGAAGGAGACCAGTAGGGCAGTTGCAGAAGCAGTGGAGAAGGTGAGGGGGGGCTCTAGATTGGTAATGGGCAAGTTCCAGGCCCCATCAGAGGGCAGCTACAGTTTGACTTGCTATTGTTTGTGTGACTCTTGGTTGGGCTGTGACAGAAGGACAAACTTAAAGCTCAAAATTTTAAAACGGACTCGGGCTGGCACCAGGGGTGCTGCTTTAGCTGATGAAGGACCTGTCATGGAGGATGGAGTTGAGGAGGACGAGGACAATGAGGATGGAGAGTATGATGATGACTATGAGAGTGAATACAGCGAAGATGAAGATGATCAAAACACAAAAAATAAGCATCAAGCTGCCAATGGCACCGTGAATAAACATGGTCAAGCTGCAGAAAGTTCAGGCTCTGATGAAGAATGAGAAGCCTTTTTCTAACATGATAGATCCATAATTTTCATCTTTTTCCATCATGGATGATAGAAAAACAATCAACTGTAGCAGTAGTCTATATTGTCCATTTTGTTTATCAGTTGGACTACATTGATGCTTGAACTTATGTTCTTATCCTAGTTCAGCTGATATCGTGATTAAATTGTCATATTATCTGATAAATTTTTTAAGTGCGGAAGATAAGTTTTAAGGATTTAATTTTGGTTTGATGTCATTGTACAACTTTTTCAATGTTTATTGGAAACTTTTAGTTGTGAATCTTAGTATTTGTCGATTATTCCATATAGGCAACTTTTCGTCTACGAGAATTCCACCTGGTTGTTCTGATAGTATTTTTAGGAAATTTTAGAACGTTGAGGGGTATTGTAAAAAACAAAAACTCCCAATTTCATTCTTGGGTTTCAGAAAGCGATAACAAGAAGCCAAACGGATGCTAAAAGCAACTTAAACAAAACTCCCCACTTCTAAAACTAACGCAGGTTTTGGTTTTGGTTTTGGTTGGGGTTGAGGAAGTGCCACCTTGTTATGAAATCATTGCCCCATCCAATAAATTGGATATCGTTTTTTTATTGCAATTTTTTTCTTCCAAAGAATGACTTCGGTGGCAAGTTGAATCGGTGAGATTGTGAATACGTAATGTCTATGGTCTAAATATGTTTTCCTCAGACAATCCCAAATTTAGCCAGTTTAACTAATCAAACTATAACCAATTTGATTGCCATCCAAAATATAAAAATCATAACGCTCATTTTCATTTGATCTTCAAAACATTATTCTATGGTAGGGTTTGTGTAATGGTGTGTTTCATTCTCAACTACACTACGTTTTTAGAATTTCAATGGTGGAAAAGTCAAATAAAAAATGTCTGATTATTGCTTAACTTTCTTAAGAATACGCATTTCGTTCTCAACAAAACTTCGTTCTCATATTTAAATCAAGAGTAACAATATTCTTAAGGACAAAATTACCTTGGTCAAAATACTTTTAATAAATAAAAAAATTAAATAACACATGTAATGATTTATAGAAGTAAAACAAAATATTATAATACTGGTAATTCAAATTAATGAAATTTTTGTAGATCTAAAAAGGTAAAATAATATATTAAAATATTTAATACTCGTAAAAAATATGTAAATTAATATGAGCTGTGATTATTTTGTGACTATATCGCTGGGTATGTGACCACACTGCTTAAGTACATCCTTTTTCTCCCCTAATATACATTTCAACGATACAAAATCAAAGGTCAAACAATTATAAGACTCTGAAATGAGAATAAACAACAACTGATGAAGAAGAAATACAGCAAAAAACATTAGTACTGAGAAATTCCTCTTAAAGGAAAAAAGTTTAAAATATATATTTAAATAATATAGTGCCATTCATTTACAATTAGTTGTATAACACAATTAAAAATAGAAATAAATAGTAACTTTTACTGGTGATAATATAACAATATGGACTTTAATTAAAAAATACTTGTATAAAAAATAAAATATAAATTTTTTAGGTATAAAAATTACTTCAAAAATAAGTATTATTTATTGAGACTAAATATATATTTTAATCAGAATTAAAAACAAAACCTTAAATCACTTCAATTTCTCGTTAATGCAATTTAGATTGACTCGCGTTCTTTAAGGCTCTATCACTTCGATTATTATTATTATTAGATTGACTCTATTATTATTTATTTATTAAAAAAATTCAAAATCGCTTCATTTCAATAAATAATATAAAAAATCAAATGAAAGAGTGAAATCTCGTTTCTGAATTATCTTAAAGCTGCTGAGACATGATATGTTGAGGAGTAGCTGAAGGCAAACTCAGACATATGGGTCCTTGGTGGTGCTAGTAAATAGTAATGGAGATCGGTGTGTAACTCGGTGAATAAGACCAGGACTTCAAATGAATGGACAGTCGGTGTGCTCCTCGCTTCAAAAGTATCATGCAGCAGTAATCAGCAGAAACGCCTTCAGTCATCGTGAGTTTACAGAATGCTTCTGGGACTATAATCTCATGTTCAAGTAATCATTCTACTATTCTAGTTCCCTGCTCAATACAAAATTTGAGAAATACTAGGAAGACACTTTCCAACACATTATTATTGAGTAAAAATCATGTGACTTCCCTTATTTAACAAGTTTCATTTATTATTTAATAAAACTTACATGAATTTCACCCAATAATAAAAATAAATGTGTCTGAAAGAATATGTTGGAAAGTGTGTTGCTAGTATTCAACCATTTTCGGGTTCCCAGGCCACCAATGACTTTGAGATGGCAACATCATGTATGCACCACAAAGTCAAGGGCAGTCTTTCCAGATATAAAATACCTTGAGGCCTAGCACTTGCGTCTACCTATCTTTGCATCTTGGGGTCTCACATTCTGGAGGAGGCACACCAAACACCCAATCAAGAACATTCAAATATTTAGATCTAAACACTTCCCTCTCCTGCGCATAACAATGCATTATGATGGCGGTTGACAAGCTGAAAACCACCACATCAGCTCTCTTGATCTTTCTTGACTGTGGCAGATATCCTGCATCAGCTACACATGTGAAGAAACTCTCAATAGCCCGGGCAAAGCAGTATAATGATATTTCTATTCGCCTGCTTTTCTTCTCAATAGCCAATGCAAGGCCAGTTGGGAACTGCACAAGAATGCGAAGTTTAACTTCCATAACAGTTTCCAAGAGTGTAATTCCAGTAAATCTTCTGTCAAATATACTAAATGAAATACCGTTAGCAACATACCGTTCCCATGGCCACCATTGGAATGTTACATCTTTTAAAAATCCTGAACAGCAAGCACGTCCACATCCTGATGAAGAATAGAGACATCCGCATCATAAATGTCAGACTCACGTTTTAACAAAATTCATGCCGTAAAAGTAACAATGAGGTGAAGCACGGAAGAATAAGAACAAGAAAAGGCTAGTAAATGCATGTCATGAACCAAATATTGCAAAAGCTTGAGCTGTTAGGTGAAGACACAAAAATGGTTTTACATTACACCTTTAACACATCCCCTCACTCGAGAGGCCTGGAACCATTGATAATGCATAGGCCAACATACCTGGTACTGAATTCAATGCTTTAACATAAGGGAGCACCAAGCATTAACTCCAGATCACGTGGTATAGAGGCTTTGTTACCGTGTTAAAAATAAAATAAACTTGGACCAAACTCAATCTAGAAAGCTAATTCAGGAAAGGAGTATTGTTCAAATTTTATAATGACTATTTTAACCATATTTCTATGCACTCTTGATGTTGGGCCAGCCACAGATGGATAGATGATTCATAACAGAGTTTGAGCTGCTCGGTGAAAACCACATAAATGTTTTTTCATTACATCTCTAACAGCATAGACAAAAATAATTGAACATAAGAAAGCATTTCAAATAAGGAGTTCTTATTTCTTCTCTCAACCTAGCCATTAAACTTTAATTCAAGCTGGTATATAGCAATAATAGAAAACTTCTTGAAAAATGCTAGTAACACACTTTTTCAAACAGTCTTTATTATTAACTAAAATTTATTGAAAATCACAAAAGACGAGTCTCACTTCTAATTTAATGATTATCAGTCATACGTTTATAGTTCTCAATAAATTTTAACCAATTAAGTGTAAGTGTGCTTCTTGCACTCCTCAAACTGACTAAGAAGGAGAAATTGTCACATGTATTATATACCAGTGTCTGTTTAACCTTTATATATCTGAATATGCTTTTCTATCTTTTTAAATTGGAAGAATTGTAAACAAATTCTTTTATATATTCTAGTAAATGTTGCATTTAATGTGAATTTGAGCAGGTGAATTTTTTATTTGAGCATATTGGCGTTCATATCCCCCACAGGCGATGTTTTCAATTTTCATTGAACAAGTCCAAAACTAGCAAGTTTAGCAGTAAGACAACCAGCAACAGAATAGCAGTGTATGAAATAAAGATGCTAACCAGGCTGATGCGCAATATGTAGACAGAAACAAGCTTGATCTTGCTGTACCAAAAAGACCCTTGGTCAATATTGTGCAAGGCCTGCATGTAAGCATTTTTGATGATTGGCAATGATCACAAAACAATATAATCTCATATTTATGTCATAATTATATTACAGTATGATCTCCAACTCCATTTTGTTCTAAAATTGAGAGAGCTTGTGGAAATATCAGATGGAATAATTTATTGTCCAGGAAAGGCCTTTTCATGACAAGCAGCGTATGTGCCACTGATCATGTTACTCACTTTGAAAAACTACCATAAAAAAAACACAATAAAGTTTTCACATAAATTATATTCTGATAAAACACATTTCATAAAAGTCCCACACTGGATCACGTAAAGGATAAATTGGTTGCTATGTATTCCAAACGGATCACCTTTTTAAAAGTCCTTTTCTATGAACAATTAGTGCAGGTATCAGATAAACTGGAAGATACACAGGTAGTGCCCTTTTGTAGGCTTGGAGGAGAAAAGAAAGGACATGTCCACTGCATGATTGATTCCCATGTACAATCTGCAAAAAATAATTGATTTTAAACACCAAAAGAAGGGAAACAAATCACAATTTTTCTATCCTGGGTTACAAATTAAATATTCAACAGATCTAGATGGCATGTTTCGAACTGAAATTGCGGAATACAGAGCTCAATAAAAAGCATTGGGCCAGAATGATAAAGTTGAACACGACCAAATACAGAAAAAGGAAAAATAGAATTTTATATCATAAGTATGTAAACTTAAATGTTTAATTTTAATAAGGCATAGAAAAGAAATAAAAACCAATGGCAATATGCTTCCACTGGAGTCCAGATGCTTATCAAATCCAGTTTACTTGTACTCCCAAATCAAATATAAATCAGCATTTGACATAAGTGCCACAATTCCCATTATTCAATGATAATGAAGAAATAGATGCTGCTGTATGATGCAATAAAACTCAGCTTCCAAATTTCTAATTGAGCACAAAGTTCAATAACCAAGTTTTCTTTTACTTCATTTATTTTAAGTAAAATCACTGATATTGAAAGAAAAGGACAAGAATCGCATAAATCAATATTTCATACCGAGCATGGGACTTTCATATTGGGATTTAATTTCACATCAATACCCATGGTCTTGTAGTACTTATGTATTTCACTCAAATTAGTGAAAGGCTTGCCACTGGCTATATCTTTTACACCTTGTAAGATAACTGGATCTTTTCCACCATGTTTATTGAGAAAGGATTTATACGAAGCTGGCAAACTGTCTTGCTTTAATATATAAGCGGACCTGAAACCAAAATATTCTCCATGATTATTAATCTTTCTTTGAAAAAAAATATTTTAATCAATTATTGAAAAGTGAAAAGGAGGGAGAGGGGAAGTGTAACATAAAGTTTCCCAGTCCTAGAAACATAGCCCAAAAAAGAGACTAATAAGGGTGCACTCGTGTGGACAAGTGATCCTGGCTGTATGAAGAAAAACTTTGAGATGGACAATGGGGTTATCAGTGTAGTTATTTACTGTTCCTTAGTACCTTCTTGTTCATCCGATAGCATTTTATTTACCATACTGCTATAGGAACTCATCGGATTATGCTGTATGTAACAAGCATTGAGCAAATATATGTATTCAATTGAAAGACAAACTAGAAAAGGCAAACCCTACAGCTTCAGACTTCAGTCAACCTTAGCATGGACAAAACTAGTAAAGGGTGAATAGTTAGCCACAAATTGATGAGTGATCAAATTGAAGTGTATAGTAAAGACCCACTGAGTGAACTAGTTCAGCCACTCACATTATACAAAGTTTTTAATCAAACAGGATCAGGTTATACTGGAGTGCACATATTACCGTTTTCATGTGAAGAATACATTACACGTTGTAACTAGTTGTATTGAAATAAGGTATGTTTTATCAGTAAATTGAACATAACAAACAGGATCCACATCATGCAACGACCTTAAAACTGTAAACTGATCAAGTTAAAGGCAAAGACTAAGTTTTAGAAATCACAGAGCTTTGCCGTAAAATTTGAAAGACAAAACAATTTATTCAAATGAGAGGCTGAGCTGAAAAATAAAAAGTATAAAGAAGCACACACGTACAGAGACAGGGGCACTCGTGTTAAGAAAGGAAAATGTTAACATCAACTCCTAGAGCTGAGGTTAAACAACTAATTAATATTTCTTAACAAAAAATATTTATTATATTTTTATAACTTGCAATATAATAAATGTATTTTTTCCTAACAAAAAATTTCTATTTTTAAATGCTTAAAGTGGTGGTAACTGGTAAAGGTTGAGATTAACAAAATGCATAACAGCATGATACTTTCCTCAGTAAAAGTTAATTATTAAATAAAAAAGAGAAATGGTAAATTCACATACAATATCTGTGAAGAGGAGAGACACATGAGGAAAATGTCACCATGCTTCCACGTGAGAGGCTTACAAATTCTCCCAAACCGTTTGCTCTTAATCCCACAACGAGACGCCAGGACAGCAGCACGCATGAGAATGTAAATGGCCAAACTCGTGTGCTGCGTCTCTAACCCAGTCAGAAGCATCGATGGCCCAGCAACCGCCCCTGCTAACAGAGCCCTCCACCTCGCTGATCTGAGCTACAACACAAACACGAAACCAATCACAATTCACCATCACTTCATTGAAGAAGGAAAACAACAATACTAAAGTACGAGGCACTAATTCAATTAGGCGGCTCAAACCACACAGCAAATCGACTCCTTAAAGTTCCCTCGAAATCACCAAACTGTACATGCATGAGGTTTAATTTACACTTCTTTGTACAGTATAGTTCTAAATTGGAATCGCCGAGTTTTGAATCAGTTCGAGAATTACCCTATATAGTTACAGAACATTACGTGCATTTTAGCAAGAGAGAAAGAGAACATGCCTACGGTGACCCACGAAAGCACCGATAAGCTCGTCCGTGGAAACAAAAGTTCCGGCGAAGGTTCCAAGAAAAAGACCGTATCTCAGTGTCTCCTTCAGAGCCGCAACAATCGCTTCGCCATTTGTCACCACAACCTGCTTCCTAAACGCAAACGCGAGAATCGCATGAGTAATCGCAAACGCGAATAAGCACGACGAGTGAGAGTCACTTTTCCTACCTTGGCGGCTTTTTCCGAGTGAATCGCGCCAAGATCGCGAAGAGAGCGAGACCGCCTTTGAGGCCGGCTCCTATTGAGAAACCTTTCGCCGAAGCAACGAGGATTCTCCTAAGCTTCTCCCGCTCCTTCGAAGGAACGGCGTCAAAGATGCTGCGCAGAGACGATGAGGCCGTCGATGGGACAGGCTTTTCGGTGGACGCGCCGTTGTCATTGCCGTAACCGTTAATTTCCTCCCGGAGGCGGCGGCGGTTTACGCCGGAGTTGGCGGAGGACGGCGACATGGCGGCGGAGGGAATTGGAGAAGTATGTACGGGTTGGGGGGAAGTTATTCAAAGAGAGCAGCGAAGCGAATAAAGATGAGAGAGAGAGAGAGAAGTTCTACCGAGTTGCGTTTCTTTTGAGGGTCGCGTAAGGGTGCGACACGTGTATGGCTCCGCCACTTAACAAATTTGCACACTCAGCACTGCCAAGACTGTAATGACACGGCCAAGTTATTCTGTTTACGACTCAAATGTAATGACACGTGTCATTTTTATTTTTGTTTAAGAAAATTTAATGTAAAATATTTTTATTATTAATAAGATTATCAAAAAACAGTATTTTAGATAAAAATATTTAAATATGAGTGATAATAAAGATATTTTTTATTTAAATATTTAATCAATTAAATATTTATTTAATAATTTTATATGGTAATTTATGCTATAAATTTAATTATAAAATTTATTAAAATAGATTAAAATCATTTATTTTTTCATGTGAAAATTATTTTAATAAATTAAAAATTATAAGAGTCATACATTATTTTAATAAATCATACATAAATTCTTTTAAATATATTCTTAATCTCAATAAATAACAGGAGTAAATTACATTGTCTTTTTTTAAGAAATTTGTATATATTACACTATCATTCTTTTTAATTTAAAATTTTATGAATCTCTAATAAAAAAATTTAAAAACTTTCGTGTTCACTAGTTTATAAAAAATATATTACACTTGTTAAATTTATTAAAATATTTACAAAGAATGTCAAACAAGTTTTAAATAATGTTATAACTTTTTTAGAGGAGATTATATAATCAATTTTAAAACTTATTATTTAGAAAATAAAGCATAAGCTCCATTTATTTTTTAATTAACGTCGGATATGACTAATGTAGTTAGATAAGCGATTAGGTTAATTAGATATGATCATTATAGAGAAGAAAACTTTAAAATTATAAAAGTGTGATTAGTTCACAGATCTATCTTAGCAATGTTTATAAACATATTTTAAGCTAATCACTTGAGACTTGGACATTAATACTTGAATATTTAATAGTAGCTCTTATGTGTGTAAAGCTTGAAAGCAAATCCTTATTTAAAGATTTTAACATTTTAACTAATAATAACGGTTACATTACTTTTAATATGTAGACAAAGCTTCGTGTACTCTACCTACTTTATTCAAACCTCTTACTAAGATAAATATACGGTGAGGGTAGTTGGAGTGAACCACCTTTATGATGGAGTTCGGAGTTAGAGGTTTGTGGTTGGGAGAATAAATAAAATAATAAATATTTATTTTAATATTTTATATCACAAGTGTTAATTATTTATCTTTAATTTTTATCTTATAAAATAAAATTTATATTATGTTTATATTATAAATAAAAATTTATTAATAAGGATAATTTTTAAATAATTAAGAATTAAATATAAAATTATGGACTAGAGTGATTGATGTTTATAATTTGTAAAATTAAAATAGTTTTTATATTAATAACATTTATTTGAATTTTTTAACATTTTTTATGTTTGGTCAAATTTTTTAAAATATGATAAATTTAAAAAGAAGTATAATATTTATTTGACCAATGATAAAAAATGTGTCAAAAGATATATTTAAAAAAGTGTATTTATAATAAAAGGAGTATTAGAAACACATTAAAATATTTTTTATTAGTTAAATATTATTAAAAAATACATATATAAGTCATAATTATTAATTTAATAATAAAGAGGATGTTACAAAGTGTAATATTTGTATTTCTATTACTACCATATTTCTTATCGAAAGTTATCTGATTTTTATAAGAGTATATTTTTAAAATAATTATTGATATTTAGATACAATATATTGCATATTTAATCACTTTGAGTGGATTAATATAATACCGTTACGAAGACATTGAATTTTTAATGTAATCATATTATTAAAAACTTAAATTTAAGATTTCTGGTTAAGATAATGATAAATAATTATCTTATATTAAATAAAATAATTTTTTTATTTTTTAATTATTAATGTTTCATTTGTTTTTAATTTTTACAGATATCATAAAAAATAATAAAAATACAATAAAAAGATAAAATAAACACACCACAGACAACACAACTTCTCTTTTCTTTAAATGCTATTCTTACTCATCCATGTGGTTTTCTAATTCCTTGTTTTTGAGTTTCACTAATAAAGGCTTGTCATTCCTTTTTCTTTTCTTCTTGTTTTTATGGTTTTTTCTCCAATAACGTTATCTATATACAAATCTTATAAATTTATACAGATAGGCGATGCTTATGGTGGTAAAAAATGTTATATAACACCGACCTACCATAACATGTTCTAGCATATTTTGAAAATTTGTAGTGAAGTCTTCGGTGAGCCAGAGGAAGAGGTACTTGACGCAGAGGAAGAAGGACTCGGATTCTTGTGGTTGCCAATGAAACTTGACATAGGAATAGTAACAAAATCACCAAGTTTGCACTCACTAAAATGCTAGAAATTTTATTTTCTATGGTGCTCTTCTTTTGATTTAAATAAAACCATTGATTGAACGATATCTTGATAGATTTTGAAATATTTATTTTGTGATTAATGAATATTGAATATCATATATTAATGTTTTCTTGTAACTTATAGTTGTATTAAATTCATCAGTGATGAAACTATTACAATTGTTCACGTATATAATAAATAAAAGTCATTGTATTTTTTGGATTTTAATATTGATAATTAAAATAAAAAATGACCACCTAAAATATTAAATAGGAAAATGTTTCATCCAAATCCAAATTATATAAAAATTTTAAAATTTGAATAATGAAAAATTATTTGGGTTCTCTTCATAATTTATTCCACTCCATTACTATATAAAATGCACTCACCTTTTTAATTCATTTTTATCTACTTTATTCCTTCCCTTCTAACCTTGTAGAAGGAAAATGGGGAGGAAAATAACATTTTAGTTTTTATTCCTAAGAGAAAGAATAAGAATCAAGTTACAACAATGAGTAGTATAGTAGAGATTCAAAACCAAAAAGATTTCTTCCATTTAACTCAACATTAAAAATAGCCAAATCTAATAACTACTGTTCCAAAAGAAAATATTTTTAGGACCATCACTTCCCCTAGTAATTAGCACCCAAAAATAACTTTATCTTACAGGTCAGTAATATAATTAGAAAAAATTTAAGAGTCTCAAGATGATCCTAGTCTCTTCGTGGATATTACTACAAATATTTTCTTTCCTAGAGAGCTAAAAGCTAGCAATGGTTGCTACCATGTCACCTTCAACTAATTATCCTTCTAAATCCAATACCACCATTAACAATCTCTTCAACGATTCCCTCACCGAAATCTTTTGTAGACTCTCTTGCAAATCCCTCTTAACATGCAAAAGTGTTTCACAACATTGGCTTGCGCTTATTTCTGATCCTAATTTCCATTCCTTATACCTCACTCACCAAAGCACCCTTTTCCAAGACATGCAGGCCCAAGGAGAGGACCCCGATCAACCCAGTTTCATCCTAAAGCCATACAATGCACTCGTGATAGCACCAAAGTTACCCTCTTTACAACTTGGGCATATCGAAAAACAATTGTCGTTGAGTTTTCTAGGCTCAGATTTCGAGCCCACTAATGTCGTACCACAATTAAGGTCTATCTTGAAGTTTGTTTTTGGTTGTTCCAATGGTTTACTTTTATGTGGAAACCCACGTCCATGTCACAAATGCATATACCACATTTGCAACCCGCTTACTAGGGATATGTTGGAACTCCCTAGTGCTTTATCTCTTTGTGATCATGCTGGGGTTCTTGTGGGTTTCACATGCGACCCTTATTATTGTCTTGAAAAAGAGGTTGTCTCCGTTGTTTCTTCTTCTCAGCGCAAGTTTAGAGTGGTGCGCATTCCTGCTTTTAGTGACATGAGATTTTCCTTTAATGTTGAGGTTTTCTATTCCGAGACAGGGAAATGGAACCGGTTTGTTGTGTCTTGCCCAAAAGGGTTCGCGTGTGGGTTTTTTCTCATGGCATCAAGTGTTGAGCATGATGGGAAGCTGTACTTTATGGGTGGAGGAAGGGTTCTTGTGTATGATCCTTATAATGATGAACAAGTGGCCTCTATCATTGAACTTCCTAGTGGATTTGGTGAACCGTATAGAGGGTGCCTTGGAGTTTCTTGTGGACGGTTGCAGTTATCCGAGTTCCCAATTTTACCACCTATTGCCACTGCCTATGTGGGTGCTTACAGTGGCAGAGTTTGGGAGTTGCAATTTTGTGATTATGGGAAAGGAGGAGAAACGACATGGAAAATGGTGCATGAATTTGATCTCCCTGACATTGTTGGACCAATCTTTGAAGAGTTGAAAGTTGTAGAGGGTGAACATGTAAGGGGATGCAGTAGGATTCTAGCTTTCCATCCGTATGCTAGGGACACTGTATTTTTTATGTTAGGTGATCACATCCTTTATTGTAATTTGTTAACTGGTAGGTTCAAGGTAACCAAATATAGTGGTCTTTCCTTAGTTTTTTATCCAGTAATCCCATTTGTGCTTCCATGGTGGCCAACTCCAATTCCTCCATTGCCTTCATAGGTAGATTACTGGTTATAGTTTCATACTATGGTATGTGTTTAAGGGCCTTTGCGGTAGTTGACCAAAAAGGAAAATGGGCCGTTACGGTTTTACATTACATGTAAACTACAAGAGATTATGAACCTCGTTGAAATTATGTGGATATCATGTTACCTTTAGTACTAATAAAAATGCTATACAAGATTTTAATGGCAATTAATCAATGCCCACTGTACCTAATATCGTTAAAAATATTACTTACAATTACACAGTGCCGGTAAATCTCAAATTAATAATCACGTAAGCAACATAATTGATAATAACAATTATTGCCGGCAATTTATATGCTCAGAAAATTATTAAATTGTTTTTATGTTCATTTGTCAACTAATTTTATTGATGATAAAAGTGCAGGAATATTTTTCCCCACAATTATCAATGGCAACTAAGTTTTGACAACAAAAACAAATTTTCCCTAAAAACTCTTAAATAATAATATACAATTATTCCATTCAAATATTTCCAAAACTCCCCGTTTCTCCGTTTCCTGATTCATAATATGTTCTTATTATCACTTCCCCAAATTACATTTATAAAAGCTCTTCACTTCATTTATAAAAGCTTCTTCTTCATAAAAATTATCAAAACAATATACAATAATATCTTTTTTCTTAATTTTAATAAATAAATTATTTTTAATTTCTTAATTAGTATCTTAGGAAGAGCTTATGAGTATAAAAACGTTCATAGTGTTTGTCTACAGATACATAATGTAACAAATTTAAATATTTTTTTTATTAAATAGTATAAATTACATAACAAATTTAAAATTAAATTAATTTAAATTCTTAGTATAATATATTTTAAACAGATTTATTTTATTTTGGAGTTACTATCTGTTTCATGGATACATTCCCATGTTATAATAATAGATACAAAATTTATATATTGTTCAATTTTATCTAAAAAAAATTATATATTTCAAATAAAAATATCTGACTAGAAAAAAAAGAGTTAGGTGAAATTCACTTATTATTAATAACATTAAAGAAATAATTAATTATTTTACTATGTGTGTTGCAATATTGTATTTAATATTTTTCATTTGTTTTTACCTTATATATTGTAATATTTATTACTTTGTATAGAAAACAATTTTGTTAAATTGTATAAGTTCTAATTATTATATATATATATATATTCATTGAATATTATTTAATATTTATTATGTTTCCAAATAATTTTTTTATATTCTGTCACTGTTTGAGTAAATTTTATTATTTATTAGTTTTTTTTTTCAAAATGTCTTCGTTATATATTACAGTACTATATAATTTACTTATATGTATGTGTTTAGTTATTAAATTTTAATGAATATTTTATCATTTTTCTATAACTTTTCGATACATTCTTTCTAAATTATATTGTGCCATATTTGTTAATATATATATTTTTTTCAATCAACACTTACATTTTTGTATGTTATTTTTTTTATAAATATGTAGTTAATCATTTTAAACCAATAGTATGTTGAATACTTAACAATACAAAATTAATAATTGAAACCCACAATAATATTATTCAATTCAAAATATGGATATACATCATTTAAATTAATTTTTTTATGAAATTTAAAGATATATATATATATATATATATATATATATGTGTGTGTGTGTGTGTGTGTGTGTGTACATTTTCATTTTTGAAGTCAATAAATAAGCGTTTTTTTTATTTAATTTAAAGTATATCATGATCTAAATAAAGCATATTTTAATAAACAATTATTTACTTAATTTAAATGTTATGATCCATTTAAAGCTGGCAATTATATTTTAATTTCTTTACAAGAAATGTTTGAGAAGGGGGGGGGGGTATTTTGATAATTATAGAGGGGATTTAGATTTATAATAAATGGGTAGTTAAATAGATGCATTGTATATTGTTTGATTTATCTAAATAAATTTCTTATAAATGTATCTTAAAATATGAAAATAGGTAATTGTAAGTTTCTGCTATATGAACTTATTATTAACTAATGAATATATATATATATACATGCGCGCTTATTCAATTTTAAATATGAATTTGTTAATTTTTTTTCAATCAACACTTACATTGGTGTGCTATTTTTTTTTATAAAATATTCTACTTGATAATTTTTAAACTAATATCGTGTTGATAATAGAAATAGTTGTCTCTTAAGGTAATTTTTAATTTATCATAGAACAGAGACAAATATAAAATGCTTTTAATGTGATTTTATCGTTAAAGGGAATAAATAAATTTGTATTATTGGCTTATTTAATTTAAAAGATATCATGGTCTTTTACCAAAAAATATTTATATCATTATCTTAAATGACTAAAATCTACAGACAAATAGGCATTTATTTAATTTATAAAAGTAATACCATTTAATCAAATCTTTTCCCATATAAAGATTGATCAAATAACAGCAGCTATATCTGAATTTCTTTAGAATTAACGTTGCAAAAGTTTTGATCTTTCCGTATGCCCTTTTGTCTATAAATATAAATTGAAACCGATAGCTCTCCAGACTCTCCTGACTTCACATAGCTAAACAAGGTATTAGCAACAAGCCTGTGTTTCTTGCTATGGCTTTCAAAATCCTCACAGGCTTAAGCTCCATTATTCTATTGTTTCTTCTCTATAGGGTAGCCACAGCAAGTGCTGCATTTTACGGCCATGAAGAAGTCAGAGTTGAAACTCCTGATCATAAACATATTATCAATGATGTTGCAAACAAAATGTTTCATATTCTTCCAAGAGGGGCGGTTCCACCTTCTGGCCCTTCAAGTTACTCAAACTAACATGCCCTATCTGGTTTCAGTCCTTTAAAGTGCCAACAAATGAACAATTTCACCATTTCTACTGATTTTGCATTCTTCAGAACTCTTCTAGCTATAGCTTGAATACCTTCCCCGACAAAGGCCTCAAAAGTCATGACTTAGAAGCTCAAGTTGAAGGATCTGCTTATGGCATGTTGTCAACGACACACCCCAAAACAAGAGTGTTTCATGTTCTCCAAAGGCAAAGGTTGTTCCACCTTTTCTGCCCCTTTAAATGATGCTTCCAATGATGCTGTGTTTTAGACAACTCGAGACTTGGAGACCCTTTATCACAAGGGCATCAATTATAGCCATAAAGAAGCCGAAGTTAGAGATCCTAAACTGTAGTTATGTTAGTGACAACTTTCGTAGCCTATCAATGCTTTTGTTTTTGGTCAATTTAGCTCATCTAGGTACCATGCTCTCCACAAAAGGGATATTCTACCTTTCGGTTAGATATTAATAAATATTATTTTGTTCTTTTTAGCTAGTTTCTAAAGTTAATATATATTATATATTGTTCGGAATTAACAGAAATGAAAGGAAGGAATAGTAGTCCATAATAAATCTTGAAATGATAAATAAGGGTTTGTTAGTTGTATTTTGTTTTCTAATTTTGAAAATTATTTTTTAAATCATTTAAAAAAATATGTTTTTAGAAGAGAATTATAATTAAAATTATTTGGTATTATGTTTTGAAAACAATTTTAGAGATGCAAAATAAAAAATATATATTTGGTAAATTTTTTTCCAAAACATGTTTTGAAAAATAAAAAAAGGAAAAACATGTTTGATTGTATTAACCTTTTCTTTTACAAGTTCCTTAAATTAAATGAAAGAATTTAAATATAATTTTGACTTAAATATATTTATAGTATTTGAAAATAAAGTTATAGTTTAGAAATTAATTCCTATCAAATATTTTTTTTTTGACAAAATAATGTATAACGCCTATATTTCTAGTATACCAAGATTTTACAACCAATTGGATAACATTTAACTTCATTCTTATTATTAATATTTATTTAATTTGTTCTTAGCTTGTGAAACTTAAAAAATATTAAAAAATAGGAGCTGCATGTCCTTTTCAACTTCAAACTAAATACGTGGAAAAAAATAGCCAAATACCATGCTTTTGAAAATTATTTTTACATACGTGGAACAAGTTATGATTTTAAATAAAAAAACTAATGATTTTAAATAAACTTCAATTAATAATAAAAATACATTCAAAACACACACCTTTAAGCACACTCAAGTGAGCCCCGAAATGAAAGTGCACCAGAAGAAGGAATCCATGAATTTCCAGCGATGAAACTAGCAACAGTGAACTTAACAGCCTCATCAGCTCCCAGAAGACGAAACCCAGGCCACAGCACTCTCTTGGAAGTTCCAGCACCAGGCCCTTCGTTACCATACTCTGCAAAAGTTCTCAACGCAGAGCTTCCAGAACCAGGCCACTCAATCCAACCCCTCGCTGCAATAGCATCATCTATGCTACACCCCATATCTATCGCTCTTGAATACTCCTTCCAAGGCCTCCCCAAAAACGAACTAAACGAGCGTTTCACTGGCGATAAATCAGAACCGGGTGTTATGCTACACTTGTGAACAGAGAACCCAGTGTTCTGTTCTGGGTCTGTTCTTCCGTTTGCCAAAACGGCGTTGTAGCCTCCACTGTGGGGCCGACGAAGGATCAAGCTGCAGCGTTGGAAAACGGCAGCTGCGTTTCCGAAGATGAAGTCTATTGTGCCGTGGATGTCACATTCTGTGTAGAATTGGCGAAGCGCGTGGGCGTAGAGGGTGTCTTGGGACCCTGCTATGCTGCATCTGTAGAGTACCGAGCGATCCGATGCGATGTTCAGTGCCACGGCTTGTTGGCCTTCAGGACCCGCGCTGTTGTGGAAACCCATGTCACGCGCAACGAATCCATCGCCTGTGATTGCTGCAAAACCCACACCTTGATTGTTATGTTAAAAGGCCTTATCTTAAAATTAGCTTGAGGCCTATACATTGGGTCAGCCCTGAACGTACAGAAAACAAAATTTACAATATAATATACGGACACTTAATATTAGTTAATAATTTTATTTTAAGACTAAAGGTTCTTATCATTTATACCATAAATTCAAAATTAATTTGTATCATATTCATGCATACCAAAATTAATGTATTATAAATTTTTAAAATATATAAAAATAAAAAATCATTTGATTTAATTTTTAATTATTTATTTTTTTATAAAATTTAATATAAATAATTAGGATAATATATAACTTTAATTTCATAATTGGATTGACATAAATTATATTATATATAAATTTATTGATAATATAAAAATTTATGTAACTTATATCAATATGATTTAAATTTTTCTCATAATATATAGATTAATATGTTAATTTTACTGACCATTGTTTAAAACATTATTTATTAAATTATAACATTTAAAGTTATCATTACATCCTCTTTGTATTTTTCAGTAACTGTTTAAATTATTGATTCCTTACCATATATATTACTCTTCTGATTCTCATATAAGAAAATAAGTATTATTAAATTAATCATCTATATATTGGTAATCATAACATAAGCGGGCTTTAATTAATTATATATTTTAATATCAAATTAGTCGTTTATTAAATAACATAAAATCACGTCTCAAAATGACAAAATTAATGCCAAATGTCATTTTTAAGGTATCTAGTTTAAGTATTTATAAATTCAGTACTAAAAAAATTAGTAATGTATCTTTCAACGACAAAGTTTCATTCAGTCAAAAGTTTAGCATGGACTTGGGAGTTTTGTAAAGCCTTTATGCACGAGTACGTGAGAGGGAAGTAAGAGTTAGAAAGGGGTGGTGAGGAAAATGGAGGAAGAGAATTAAGGAAAAATATATTATGATGCTCATGTTTTAGGAGATGATAAGATAAAAAAAAAAATAATAATAATAATGAATAAGCGAAAAATAAATATAAAAAAATTTAACTAAAAATATAGGAGTTAGAGCACTAACTAAATGTGGCCGAGTCAGGTAAGGTAGCACCCTTGGCAACACTGTCATCACCAACAATGATAGTAGAATATTTGCCATCTCCTATCAAGGTGATACCATCTTTCTTAGTGCGAATCTTCTCCTTATACACCCCTTTCTTAACATAAATCACAAACCGTGTTCCTGAAGCTGCCTCAATGGCTTCAGAAATTGTCTTGTAGTTTCCTGAACCATCTTGTGCTACTATTGCATTTGCTTTTATTGTGGCTCCCTGAAGTAGTTTTCGCCCCTTGGCTGATACCCACGTGGGAAATTCATGTTCCTTTTCATTGGCACCAAGTTTGTGGCTAGCTTTTGTGCTCTTTGGCATGTTGGTGATCCTGTTTGCAAGAGACAACGAGTTGCTTCCCAATTGAGAAAGATACTCCATCTTCTTGGACATGCTTTCCATGATGCCAAGTTTAGAACTGTGTGCATCTACATAGTCTTTGCAAGATTGTTTGAAAGTTAGAGAAGCACTTAGCCATGTTTGGATGTCATTCTTGTTTCTTGTAGGAGATTTTAGTGCTTTCATGGATTGGTCCAGCCTTTTCAGTGACATACCCATTAGCTCTTCACAATAGTCTGCATATGTATGATGGCAATTAAAAGGAATTAAAGGATATAACGCATTATTAGCTACCAATTACATGCATACCTACGTTGCTTCAACAATTCCCCTTGAGCTGCCAATATATTTGGCTATGTAACGGCTCAAATTAAGGTAGAAATTTAGTTTGAGTTGATGTTGTAAAATAGAAATAATTCCTAAATAAATGCATTATTGGGAAACATGAATGGCATATCAAACATGCATGGTAGCACAATTCAATTTAATTTTCATTTTACAATAGAAAGACAAAAGAATGCACTATATTAATTTATTCTCAAATCAAGATGTATAAGATGATATTAGTACCTACGACAGAATGGGCTTCTTGAACATCATTAATCTTGAATTCAGCAAAATATGAACTTGACAAGTTGGTTTCATATATGGTTTTGTTAACAAGAGCCACAATGTTATCGACATTGTGATTCCCTGAACCCAATCCCGTCAAGGTTTCAGCACATAGATTAGGGTATCTTGTAAGATTGCATTCAGAGTGAGCAAGCTCTAGTTCTGACATGGAGATCCATGTCAGTGCACTTCCTAATACTATAACGGTTATCACCAATTCTTGTGTTCTCATTCGCACATTACCAAGAGGAAAAAAATGGCTGGTTTTACTCGTCATCCTAATAAAGAGAGTAACCCTTGCTTGACAAATTTGAGAGGAAGATGTTATCTATATATAATATGAGGATTATGTTAAAGAGTAATTTTTGTGTAGAAATAGACCCGGAATTTATATGGCATGAAATATTTTCACGTTATATGAATACAATGCTTTTCGTGAAATTCTGTATAGACAATTACGTTATATTTTAAAATAATGATAATAAAGGGATGGTGTGTTAAGAGCACAGAACATTTTTGTGTCCGTTTCTCATTTGGTGGTCTATTTTAGGGTTGTCAATTTGGGAAGGCAAAGGGTATTCCGGCCACTTGATGGATTAATCTGATATGAGTCAGCCTGTTATAATTAGTGTACTTTAAAGTTGAATAAAATTATATATATATATATATATATATATATATATATAATAATTAAACAATTCTAAGATTTTCCTTAAAAATTAAAAAGAATAGATAACTGTTTGTCCAATCTTGCCATATGCAAGCCACAACTATTCCAACTGTTTTGTTAGTTTATATTTTATTTGTTTATGTAATTATAGCTTTATAATACTAAATAAAAATTAGGTTATACTCCATTTCAATATAATTTATAAAAAATAAATTAATAATTTATCAAAACCAATAAAAGGTAGTTATATATCATAAATTTATAATATATTTTAAAAATATCTATAACAATAAATGTTAATTCCATTAAATAAATAAATAAATTTACTAATATAAATAATTTATCTTATTAACACAAATCTTAGAATAAATAAAAGTATATTTAACAATTAATCATCAATAAAAGACTTTTTATTTCTTATGTTTTGAATACAAATATAACGATTTTTACTTTTTTTTATAATTTTAAAATGAATTACTATTTAAAATAAATAAATATTTATGTCCATCTAATTTGAACTATACGTTATTTTAGTTCTCTCAATTTTTTTGAGCCGATTAAATTTCTTTACTTCTAAAATTTAGCGATTTTGCTTCCCTCGTTATTTTTTTTTTACACATCTTTTACTCAAAATCTTCACACATAAAATTATAGTGTCAAAATTTTTTCTCTTAAAACCCTAATTTCACATTTTATAAGCTTCATTTATTAGGTTTTTATTGAATTTATCACTTTTAAAATTTATTTTGTATCTCAACTCTTTCAAAGCTTCTAAATATTTAAATTAAAAAAATAATAGTTTGAGATTTTAAGTGAAAAAATATCGATGGCACAGTGTCAAATTTCTATAATTTTAAAAATAGAAAGTTATTTAACCAAACAAATTTGAGATATTAAAATTACATACAATTCTAATCAGAGTAATTAAGAGTGTAACTGGATAAAATAATATTTAAGTAAACTTCATGAAAATGAATAGTTGTGAAAGTTTATTTTAATAATTCTAAACTCTTAAATTAACTAATAAATATATATAAAAGAAGAATCTTTTCACACTAGCATAAATTTAAATTTTTTTTATATTTAATCTAAATTTTTTATTTATCTTTAACTTATATTTAACAGTCAGTGAAGTAATAAATTATAATTTATTAGATATAAATTAAATGAAATGTTCAGATTGAGTGTAAGAGTTTTTAAACTCACACTAATATAAAAAGATCTTGCTCCGTATATATATAAGGCAGAATCTTCTTACATTGGTGCAAATCTAAAAACTCTTACACCAAATTTAAACTTTTTATTTAACTTAAATTTAACGGGTTATAATATATTACTTCACCGGCCGTTAGATTTAAGTTAAATAAAAAGCTCAATTTGAATGTGAGAATTTTTAAACTTACACCAATATAAGAAGATCATGTTTCATATATATATATATATTAATTTTGATATTATGGACTAAACTACTTAGAGTTATCTAGGCCACGTAAGAGATATTAACACCTCTAGGCAAGACAAAGACGTACCGCTATGTTGTCGATTCCATTGCTTTTGCTTCCCCTCGCCCTCTTTTGATGCCTTTGGGGCCACATAATCCACTTGGATCCTTACCATTAGGAATTACAATGTACTTATATACATGTACTACAAAGTTTAAATGTTCAAATAATCGATCAAACTTCGGAAATATTTGTTTAAATTAGAAATTCAAGGAGGTATATCAATATTGAAGTGAACATCTCACAGAAATATCACGCACCTAAATCATAAATATTTCAATTTTCAACTCACAATAAATATAAATGCTAAAAGTAAAGAGATAGAATAAAGAGATGTGTAAATTAAACAGAATTTATACATACTAATGTAGAGTTCCACTTTATAATATGGGTTTGTTATACTATCTTATTTGTTTTTAAAATTTTTCTCTTATTATTTTATAAAGTAAGGCAACATCCTCGAAATTTCAAAATATTAGAAGCACTTTAACATTAAATTTCAAAATAATTGTCCTGCATTCTATCCCAAGTTAAAAGCAAATATTTAGAATTAAAAAAACTTACGAACCCTATGTGGCTTAAGTCGAATTTTTTTTTGTTTGAAAAATGATAAATAAATTCCTCTTAAACTAACATCATTCTAATTCTATATAAATTTGCACAAAAATGATTAAAAATGAAATCGTTTCTTTATTTTTAGAAGTTTTATCTTTTTGTTTTAGTTAATTGAAAATTTGTTAGGTTCTTCTATTTCAATTATTAAGAATTTTACATCTGTCAAACGTTTACTCCTGAAGTTGATTAAAGAACAAGTCAATTTTAGGTCCCCATGTGTTGTTGGAGCATTTATATTATAAGTAATAATACAAGTACATACACAGTTGATCCTCTCAAATCCTTTATCGTCTCATACAAATTATTGAGCAACAACTTAATTTTACTGCAACTGTTGAGAAAGGCTCTTATCTTATTGTCTGCAAAAGGTTTGAAAATATAAGTGTCTAATAGTTTCATATGTGTCGCGGCATTTATATTATAAATAATGATACGTTAATTTCTTATTTTAGTCGACATTATCAAAATGTTGACACATGTGAAAGGTGATTTCTTGTATTATTAAAATTTCTAATATTTTGAATGACTACTAGCAGAAATAGAATTTTTTTTTTATATATATAAATTTATCTTCAACAATTGTAGTATTTTTACTTTTTTCCCCCTCTTTTTTCTTATTTTTTTATTTTTGTTTTTTTCATTTACCACACTCATCATTGTATTTTCTTTTGGTTGCTCATCCTCAACTTCACTTTACTATCTCTTGTGTTATTGTGCTTTCAATTTTTACTTATTCTTCTATTGCTATATCTTTAATTTCTCGTCTCGTTCTATTTATTTTTTTAGGATTTAGAAAAGAAAAAAATAGAGTTTTTTTACTAAAAAAATAAAATTACTCATTTAAACATATAAAATGATGTCATATTTATTTAATTTCACATATGTCACTTAATGTTAAAATTATGATATTGATATTTATGTCTAAAACTAAAATGTTTGATGAATATATATAAAAATCAAGATTAACTTAACATTTTAATAGTTTAGAGATTAAAATATCTCATGCTTGTTATCTTGGAACCAAAATGAGAGTTTAACAATTGTTTGTTAAATATTTGAAAATATAAGTATTTATAAAAATATAATTTATCTTTTATCATGTGTTATTGGGACCTATCGAAGTCATTTGAATGTTGAGACGGAGGTGTATTCCAAAACTCAGGTGGCTTGTTTGGTGCATTTGGGAGTGATAATTAAAGAGACAATTGCATCTGTAGTGTTTATAAAAGGTGGCAACGCCCATTATTGTCTTTGTAATTTTCTTTTTTGGTTGGCTTTTACATCAGTCGAGAAGTCTCTTTAAAGATTTTAAGGATTTCATTAGTACATTTTACACAATTCTAATTAATAATCATAACACTATATAATGGGTTCATAATTAAATTTTATTGACACGTGTGAGAAATGTGTAGGGACAAATGTTCTTTAGGAAAAATCATTCTAATATGAATATTGTCTATTCAATAGTGTTGAAACAATGATGAGAATGAATTATGCAAGTACTAATTATTGATGCTAATAAAATGTATTTGAATTTAATATAAGCTTTGTTATATTTTTTTATACATTTTTTTTATTTTTTTTTAAATTTAATAATAAAACAATTTTTTTTTATATTTTTATTTAATATTTACTTTATTTACATATAACATCAATTTTTAAAACTGATTTTAAACATATAAATTAGTGTATTTTATTGAAAAATAAACATTTATTATAATATCCAACATATAAAAAAATAATATATTTAAAAAATAAATATTTATTACATATAACATCAGTTTTTTAAAATGATTTTAAACATATAAATTATTATAATTTCATTGAAAAATAAACATTTATTATAATATCCAAAATAAAAATATAATAAATACTTTATTTTTAAAAAAAATATATATTTTCAATGCTTAAACATAGCCTTAAAAATTAATGTTAATAAAATATAAAGTAATAGACAAATTATTAACAAGATAAAAAAAGCCAATATCGCAAACCTCTTTAATAATAATATTGAAGCAATGATGAGAATCAGATATGGAAGTATTAATATCATTACTAACGTTTGTGATATACTACTAGCGGTATTAAAACTAACACAATTTAATGTGAAATAACGATCGAGCAAGAACAAAGCACAAAGAAAATCCAATTAATGATGCTTTTTTAAAAACTTTTAGATTAAAAGTTGTTAGGAAAATTTTCATTTCATTCTAATTTTTATATTATAATTGCTTCACTACTCAATCCGAGCTATATTTCCAAGCTTGATGAATGAACTACCTTGATTTATATAAGTCCAATTATTTGAAAAATGAATCCTTCTTCAATACTTTGGATTTAATTGATCTCAATCAAACTCTAAAGAAAGAAGGCAATCATATAGAGATTCAATTGAAAATTACAAAAATTCCTTATCTGTTACAATTTAGTGTTTTGTTCGAAGGTTAGTCATCGCATGCAAATTTCCCAATCCACACATGAACAATCAAAACTATGAATTAATGGAGACATAAAACATTCATTGAGGAAAAAAATACACATACTCATGAAATAACGCTTGAATAATAAATTACATGGTTCCTATTGAGTTACATCGATCAAAATCTTATTGAGGCAATGAAAAGAAATTTATGAGGTAAAAAATATATTCTCTTGTCCTCATTCCCTGTATATATCTTCAATCTTTTCTTGTTTAATTTTTCTAATTATATCACTTTAGTATGTACGCATGGTTAGAATCAACATCTCGAGAATCTAGAAAAATTGTTGCAAAATGTATACGCATATGAGCAATAGTAATATGACACTTGAGCCATTACAAAGAAAATTAAGTGGACAAAAAGAATAATCCTCAAAGCCTTCCCCACAAGAAAAAAGAAAAATATGACCACCCCAAAGGCCATGCATGTCCTCCTAAATTGTGTTGATAATCCTAAAGCCTTCGAGTTAACCTACAACAAAGCCTCTATTAAACACTAAGGCCTAAGCAATAGAATGTATATAACAAATAATATAAAATTTAATCGTCAACTAAAACTCATTTCACACTTCCGCTGCAAAAGAGACGTAATAATAAATTAAGCAAGCTTACCTAATTACTTATTATAAACGCTAAAATAAGGTAATATTTAAACATTATATCATATGAGTCCCTTGTGGCTAACAAATGACAGCATCAGATTCTTGCATCGTACGCACCCCCAAATGCTCTTTTGTGGCGGTAATTACTTTTGAAAATCTTATGAATTACAAAGTTTGAAATAAATTTTTTTTTATGAAATAAAATAATTAATTAAACACATGCTGCAAGATCCTTGGTATCCTTTTAGGTATTTAAGTATTACAAATTTTTACAGTATTTAAGTGTGTGTATAAATCTATGAATATAAAAGTATTTCAATCTATTTTGATTTTCTAATTAAGTAACTTCTTTTTATGACAATAAAATCTATATTTTAATAATTTTTTTCTTACAATTACTTATTAACATAAATTATTGTTATTATAATCGTATTTATTGTAATAGATTATACTCTCTTTATCTTATTTATAAGATTCTTTTAACTAATCATACATACTTAAAATTAATTCTTGTATTAATTTTTAAAAAATTATTTTATTTTCTAAATTTACGCTTATTTAAAGTCAAACTCTATAATAATAATAATAATAATAATCATATTTATCATAATATTTTTCTCTTTCTTTTTTATTTTATTTTTTGTGCTCATTTTACACCCTGTGTCAACAAATGATTTTCTTATATCTTTGTATGTGTGTGTATGTCGATGAGAGGGCTGCTTGTGTGAGACCCTTAATTGTACAAACCCATCTGAGCTGGAACACCTGTGCCATTGATCCATGACCCTTCCAAGAAGGCCTCTACAGTGTACTTGCTAGCCTCATCCTTGTTAATGACTTTGCGACCAGGCCAATTGACCCTAGCATTGGTGTTGGCACCAGCACCATTGTTGTTGTACTCACCATAATACAATGTGTTGAGTGCAAAGTCGCCATCCCAAGGTAACCACCCATCAGGGTGAATCAAGTCCCCAATCTCAGATTCCATTATGATGGTTCTTGAGTACTCCTTCCATGGTCTCCCAAGGTAGTTCTTGATCCTATCTTTCACTTGAACCAAATCATCATCAGCCTTGATCACACACTTTTGAAGTACAAAACCAGTGTTCGATAGCTTGTCAATTCTCCCTTGTGCAGTCACAATGTTTTGCTGATTGTCCAGTGGCTTTCTGACAACCATGGTGCAGTTTTGGAACACTGCAGCTGCATCACCAAAGATGAAATCAATGGTTCCAGAAATGACACAGTCACGGTAGAATTGTCTGTGGGTTTGGGCATATAGAGTGTCTTGGTAGCCCTCAAAGGCACAGTTTACAAACTCTACACGATCTGCTTGCACTCTTGCAGCCACAGCTTGGTGCTTCTCTGCACCGGCAGTGTTTCTAAATCCCATGTCTCTGCCCAAGAATCCATCTCCTAGTACCACTGCAGTGTGCATGGAAAAAAGCAGTTAAGTAACATATTCTCTGAAGCGTTTTATTTTTAACATACCTATTATTATTAATTAAAATTTATTGAGACTCATGGTGTAATTTTAGTCTCGCTTATTTAATGAGTCTGGCTCATTGATAATAAAAGAATGTGTTGCTAATACTTTTCATGTAAGCATGCTGTACTGCTGCAAATAATAATTGATATAGTACAAAATTGTATTTATTGAGGAGGGATTTTAAACATACCAAATGATGCAGTTTGGAAAGTCCTGACACCATCCACATAGTTTTTGTTGCCAGTGATGATGCTCTTTGTAGATCCATCCCCATACATGGTTAGATTTACCGTGTTTCTTTGCACTGTCACTGTCTCATCGTACACTCCTTCTTTAACATAAACCACGTACCTGCATTGTCACAATGGAAAAGGCATGGCTTGCAGTAGCATGCAAATTGAAATATACCACAAACTAAAATAATAACAAAAAATCAATGTGATTTGGTAACAAATTAACTCCAACTTATACATTTTTTAAAAACTAAGTTGGTTAATAGAAACATTAATCATTCCTTAAAATAAGTCACATAGCAACATACCTTCCTTCATATGTTTGTGGGATGGCTGCCAAAGCATCAGAGATGGTTTTAAAATTTCCGCTGCCATCTTTTGCCACAGTGACATTAGGTGTGGGTTTCTCATCTGATCCCTTCAACTCCGTAGGGCCAGCCCAAGTGGGAACTGAGCCAGTCCAAGTAGGAAGTGGGGCAGACCAATCAGGAACTGGGCCAGGAGCCGAACCAGGAGCGAGAACAGAAGCAGGATCAAGACCAGGAGCAGAAGCAGAACCATCATAACCAGAACCAGAACCAGTACCAGAACCAAGATCAAAAGAAGCAGGAGCAGGAGCAGGAGCATCATCAATGATCTCCCAAGGAAGGTGAATATTACCAGCTCCTTTGAATATAGAAAAGAATGAAGAGGCCTGTGATAAAACCGCAAGGGAATTGCTAACAAGTTCCTTCGATCCATTGAAAAGATTTTGGAGTTTATTCTTCAACTCCCCTTCAGGGAACCCATCAATGCAAGTTTCTTGGTAAGACATAACTGCACTGAGCCAGTTGTTGATTTCAGGAGCAGTTGCAGAAATCTTGGACATATCATTTGACTCAACTTCAGTAATAGAGAATCCAAGTTCTTTCTTGGCATCATCAAACAACTCCTTGCAATCTTCATAGGCACCCTTCTCTTCCTCTGATGCAAAGTTCATGGTGGTGGTTTTGTTGAAGGCACTGTCAATCTCAGTTTCAGCAAGAATCATCGATACCATGATAAGATCCTTGGGTTCAGCCAATTTGGGGTCCTTCTCCAATGCCTCACTCAGGGTGCTTTCACATTTGCTCTTATATTCTGCTGAGCCACATATCATTTTCACGAGCCTTGAATTTTGATCCACATGTGTGTTAGTGTTAGTGGCAGGTGCTAAGGGAGATGCATGCTTAGTTTTGGTATCAGGACCAGTCCTTTTTACCACAACAAATGCCGCAGCAGCTACCACACATGCAAGGAGAACGGCAGAAACAACACCAATGAGAATCTTTTTCTTAAGCCTTTCTCTTTGGTGGTTTTTTCGTCGTTCTGATATGAGATCAAAATCTTGAAAGGCCATCGCCAATGTTCTCTAAGGCAGAGGCGAGAGTTAAGGTTGAGGTATGATTTGATGATAGCTCTCACCTCTGCCTTGAGACTCAAACGATGGAAAATGTGAAAGAGGAAAAAGAACCTAAGATTTTTTGCTCGCTTAACGCTTGCTCTTTCCCCTTTACTTTCATGGTTTCTTCATTTCGAAATTTAATGTTGTTTGAACTAAGGATGTGTGGATTAGAGATGTTTTAGGTGTTACTATTTTTGAAAGTTGGTTAAGGTGCAAAGATTGATGGGTTGACGATGGTTTTGCTCTTATTTTCACCCGTTTATATTTTCTGGCCACTTTCTACCTTTCAGGGTCTACTCATTTTTCAAACGTTGGAGTTCCAAAAATAAGACAACAAACATGGGATTAAAATTAGAAAGCTGTTTATTTTTGTTTTTAAATTCATTATAATGATTCACTTTTCTCTTAATATAGCCGTTTGTTAGATAACTTTTCCTATATAGAAGTGAAACGGCCAATGTGTGCTTCGTTTAGCATTGATTAAGGATGATGTTAATCTAGCTGGGTTGAAAAACCTATACCCCACTTAGTCCACAAATTAAATGTAAAAAACTTAAAATTATCTATGTTTGGAACTACACTAGCTTAACTTTCTCTTCGCAAATAACAAAGATCAGATGGACCAAATTTTTAATGGAAAAAATAGAGATAAAATAATTTTTTTTTTATAAATTAAATAATAATAAGTTAAAAAATACATTGTTTTTGCTTGTAAATAAAGTTATACGTATCAATTTTTTAAAATTTACATGCTAATTTTTTAATAAAGTAAAATATAGAAATCATTTTTATTTATCAAAATAGTTTAATATAAATTTTTAATTCATGTTCTCATCCGAGTGCAAAGACTTAATGGACATAAAGTAATTATAACAGCTTATCTAAGTTCTTATTCTTAGGAACAACGATAATTAGCTAGCCGGGAAAGGTTATCATACAACTTACACAAGAAATCACAAACCAAGTCCTCTATGACATCCCAATGAGATCATGGGAAAAGATAAAGTCGAGTCCATCTATACCTGTCATTTAAAGGGTCCCATAAAAAATGTACTTTAATTACACAATTTAAGAAATATATCTAAAGTTGTATAGAATTCTTGAAGAAGTCAATTGTCAATCTTTTATCACCATCCTTTTTGGAGTAGTACAGTAAAAACATTGTTTTTCTTTCATGCAACTCCAACTAGTCGACCAAGCTTTCTATTGCCAACACATCTCTCTTCTTAGGCAAGAACAAAGTGATACTCCCTTTGAAGTCCCTTTTGTAGTTTTTAAAGATATATGTTAGGCCTCATATATATATATATAACAAGAGTTTCATCTTGTTAGCCTTTTAAGCAATCTTTTCCTATGGAAAATATTTTCATAGCTATTATAGTTACATTTTTGAAGCTTTCTCTTAGAATTTGGCAACTTCTTTTCAATCTCCCACGTGCCTCAAAGAATTAATAACTCTCTTCTTAAAAGATTTATCTACCAACCAACTTCCCGTGAACAAAAAGGGCTTGTTGATTCCACTAGTGTCATTTTCTTTCGAAGATTTGGTATATATTATTAGCTAAATTCCTTGTTTCATCCCATATACGATGACTTCTATTCTCCTTGTTTTCTCATCCATTTTAGATTAGCGTAAATTACATACCACAACGCTCTTCTCTCCCATTCTCATTGCAAAGTTTGTTAGTGGCAATAAATCTTTGAAAGAAAGAAGAGTTTAATTAAAACAAAAAATTAAGTGTGATTTTTTTTCCTTTAAGCTTTATCAGTCTCCACTAATAACAAAAGTTGAGTGCGAAGTATATTTGATGATGAATTTTCTTCGGGATACAATGAAAACTATTGAGTATATTTATACTTCCAAAAATGATTTTTATATAATGATAATTTACCTTTTACTTGTGCGACAAAGATAAAGGAAAATTTATTAAAAGAATAGAATGGAAATCAAGTGTGTATTGTGCTTGTAGAATGACATTAATATACACTAAGTATCTATTGACGAGGGTCACATTAATTCAATTAATGTTTAATGAAAAGTCACACTATTTTTATCGATATGTATTCAATGAATAGTTAAATCCTTTTACTTAATTATATGTAAGAAGAGTCACTATTATTCTAATTTGGATTCTCACTAATAAACATCTCAATTCAATTATATTTATTAATTTGTGAATAGTCACAAAAAAAATTTATGTTTATTCATAAAAAGACATTCTTTGATAAAACATATAATGCTTAAATTAATCAAGATAACTCTTCAAAATTGACTCAAGTAATACAACTTTTTTTTTTATATTTAAATGAATGATTGCAACTTTTTATATTTTTTTAAAAAATACTTTTTATGTTTTTAAAATTTCTCACAAATTTTAGTTGCATTGTAGAAATAAGATTAGAAAAAAATGATGATGAAAGGGTTGCAATAGTCCAGGGACTTTAGTGTGAATAAAAAAAAAAAATAGTGGGCTTGGGGTAAAACTTGACGAAATGGGCCTACCATGTCCCCAAAGTCAGGCCTTCAAACCCAACTCGATTTTGAACTTCCACTTCAATGCTGGTTATGCCTCAGAGCCTGTTTATTTTATATTTATGGGCTAATTCCATAATTAATTTATGAAATTTTGCTAGTATAAAAATTATAATTAAAAAAATAAAATTTACCTTTTAAATAATATTTAAACTTTCAGCTAATTTATAACTTAAGTCAACTATAATATGTAATAAGATCCCTACTAATTACGTCGAGCCATAACTCCATCATTCATGGCTTGATTCTCGTTTCAGCTTTTTCTTCGTTTTGCTTGCTTTCCTCAGCATTGGCATCTATGACTCACAGGTCTCGTCTTCTTCGTTATTGACTTCAATCGTGTTATTTGAAAAGACAAATTTGATGGAATGTAAAAGACTTAAATTATCTGTATTTAGAACCACCCTAACTTAAATTTCCTTTTATCATAAGTAGAAAATTAATGTGCTATTAAAAAATTGGACGTAACTCCTTTTGAAAAATTAACTCATATTCTGCTTATATTTTAAGCCTAATGTAAAACATATGCATCGTCTAAGATTCGAAGAAGACCAAGCGAATAACAAACCCAATTTCTGTTTATTAACTCGTTAAGATACCAATGTGAAGCCTTTTGAAAGCGTTTTTCTATGATAACAATTTAATGACAGTGTAAAATACTTACACGATCAACTGTAAATAAGTTTATCAAATGCTGAAAAATTACTAAACGACTCCTCTTCATGCTCTTTAGGAATTCAAGTCCACAATTGGTTTAAAATTTTGATTGTAGCAGAAAGAAGAAAATAATGATAAGACCCTCCATTTCATTTATCACTTTGAAATTAGCAACATGGCATGAAATAAACTTAGGTGCTCAGAACTTCTAACATTTTTAATGTTACATATAAGATACAATACATTGAATAGTACCCTAGTGTCATAAAATTTAACAGATCAGCTCTGTGTAATTAGCCTTTAACTTTTCTTATTTTACATTGTTACTGTAGTAACTACCATAGATGCCTTAAGCCAGAGCACAGGGAACAATAGTAATTAGCGTAACAAATTAAAGCTATTTTGTCTAATCAAATCCCATCATCATAAGGAAAGGAAGTAGACTCGAGCCAAGTATCTCCATTAATAAACTCTGAAACTGTGAAATTATAGGCATCATTGTAATCCATTGAATGGTACCCAAACCATTCTACACGATTATCTATGCTTGAACCGGGTCCATAATTCTCATACTCTCCATAATACAAAGTGTCTAAGCTTTGATCATTATTAGACCACTTTATCCAACCCTTTGGGTCAATGAAGTCATCAATGTAGGACTCAAGGAAAACAGTGCGAGAATAGACCCTCCATGGCCTTCCAAGGTAGCTCTTAAAGCCATTAGAATTGGAATACAAATCAGCGGTAGCTAGGATTTGGCAGTGTTGGATTGAGATGCCAGTTTCTTCATCAGGACTATCTCTGGATTGTGCTGTAATAACAGTGAATTGGCCAGGTAATGGCATTCTGGATATAATGTTACATTCCTGGAGAACCACTGCTGCATTACCAAATATGAAATCTATGGTACCATAAATGTCACACTCTCTATAGAACTGTCTAAAGGAGTGAACATACAAAGTGTCTTGGTAACCATAGATGGCACACCTGTAAAAAGCAGTTAAGTCTGCATTTACTCTCAAGGCCACTGCTTGATGCTTCCCTGGCCCTGCACTGTTCTCAACTGCTATGTCACGTGCCAGAAAGCCATCACCAGAGACCGCTGAAAAAATAAGGGAGAGCACAATCATGTAATTGCCTTTTTGACCATCTCTGAAAAAAAACATCATAGAAAAACTGACATACAAACAAGCAAGCACTAATCATTCTCACTAAACAAAAGCTCACCCAAAAATGCAAAGATACATTTTTCTTTTTCATTTTCTTTTCTATTGTTACTTCTCTGGTTGTACCAAGTGCCAACCCAATCCACAGCAAAAAGTTGATTGTACAGAATTAAGACCATTAATTTATAGTTTGATAAATGATATAACCAATTCTGAAGACTATAGGGCATGCCTGAATAAATATGATCCTTTCTATTAGCTGATAGATTATTTTGATATTAGTAGTTTAGATTTTGCATCTGTGTAACAAGGCACCCCTTGTGCCTTTTCGAAATATATAGCACAAAAAAAGCTAAAAGGGTGGAGACAGAATAAGAAAAGGGGTACGAAGGCTTCACCTAGAGTTGCAGATCTGAAAGTGGTCCAGCCATCACCAACGCTTCTGTTACCAGTTATGAAAGTGACATCACTTCCATCGCCAAGCATAACAATATTGGTTTTATAGCTTGGGATTTCTACATTTTCCTCGTAAACCCCTTCTTTGACATAGATCACTGTCCTAACAGTGCTGTTATTAGGAGCAAAGTTGATGGCTTCAGTGATGGTGGTAAAGTTACCAGTTCCATCAACAGCCACAACAAGCATTTCATCATATTCTTCTCCATCCAAGCCTTGAAAGAGGCTTTTGTCTTTGCTTGACAACCACTTTGGAGCACCCATTGAAGGCTGGTTCATGTGGCTTGCAGAAGACCCTATCCCAGGCTTAGAGAGCATTGAAAGAGAGTTACTCACATGTTTGTAAGTGTTGATCACTGATTTCACCAAAACTGGCTTCTGGGAACCAGAAGCAGAATCTAGGCCTTCTAAGCATGTGTTCTTGTTGGTGAGGGCTGCACTTAGGTAGGCTTTTGCATCAACAAAATTCTTGTAGTTGGAGGAACGAATTCCAGATAATGATCTTTCCAAAGAAGCCAAAGTAGAATGATGGAGTTCCTTGCAGTCTTGAACTGCTCCTCTTTGCTTCTCTATGATGTTTAAGTGTCCAGCATTGTGGAATAAATTTGACAGCTTTGTGGTTTCAGATATTGCTACTTGGAGGGACTGAAGGAGGTAGTTGATGATGTTTGGACTTATGTTTATAGAAATGGATAGCTTCAATGAATTGAAGCAAACTTCAGGGTGTGGGGTAGTTCTACAGAAATATCTTAAGGAAGAGAGTTTGGTATGAGAATGAGATGTCGTGGAAGCATTGGAGGAGGGGACAGCCAAAGCATGTGAGAAGAAGATTGCAATCAGCAAGAAGAAGAGTTTATGAGATGAAGAAGCCATGAAATGTTCATGAAAATAAGAAAAAGAAATTAATGAAAGGAAGAAAAGGTGAATATTTTGAGTATGAGAATTCCTTATATAAGACACTTGGTGTAGTGGAGTGATGGAACATTGATTAGAATCTAAATTTACACGGGCATTGAAGTTTTTATAAGATAGCTGGAATTAATATCTGCCACTGCCATATTGAATTTTCCTTTGTTAAGGTGGGGGCACCTTTTTTGTTTTTCTTGAAAGACAACTTTTTATTAGTATTCAGCCAAATGAAATAAGAGGCTAATTAATTATGAGGAAACAAAAAGTTACATAACTTTTTGAGTGAATTGGGAGCAAGTTGCCCTCGGAAGATAATGTAAAAAAAAATAAAAATATCGTGTATTAGTATCAGACAGGAAAACATTGGCTGCATGTTAGGTCATTTCTGTTTTCGTTTTGGAGCATAGCAGTGAAAATAATGCAAGCCATGGTGCTCCACAGCTACTCACTGTGACTTGACGGACCTAAAAGTACGTTGTACAATTATCAATTTAGGTTTCATTAATAACTTAATTTAATATTTATTTAATAAATTTTTGTTATATAAAAAGTTATATTATAACTTTAATAACAGCAAATTATATAAAAAATGATTAGATCGACTAAAAAGCTAATAAAAGTTTCAAGTTTTTTCATATATTCCGTGTAATCTTTTCTTAACACTCTCTGTCGCGAGTTAAAAGTTGAAAAATGATTTTAAATTATTAAAGATAATTAAAATCTGTGTTAACATTGAATTAAGTGATTATGTTTTTTAATTACATCATCACTCAAAATTTACAGGGTTCTGACACTGATCATATCAATATTGCATTGAACCATCTTCGGTGAATGATTGAATAATATTAATATGGCAACCCGTGAAGCAGCTTCAAAGATTGGATTACCCCACAAGCCATGGCCCATGGGGTTCGACTAAAAAAAGTTACCTGTGTTGTTTGGTTTGTTCCCTCTGTCTCTTCATCATAATTCTAAGTATCTGTCTAATTGATACTCTAATTTAGTACTTTTATAAAATTGCACGTAAATGTGTCATCATTCCTATGAAATCATTTAATTAATACTAAAGTTTGTGCAAAACATCTTACGCAATTTGACAGTAGCTGTCTCGTGAAATCACAAGTTCCAATACTCACGTAGTCAACCGTCATTTCATTTGTCCACAAATCTGCCAAGATCTCACGTGTAGAGAGATTCCTTTTAATATAAAATATTTATACGAAAAAACTTTTATTAAATTTTTGCTTCTGTAATATCGTTCAAATTAATATTTTAAAATTAATAATTATGAACTAATTTAATTTTTATCATAAAAAATGTTCAAATTAAATATAAAAAATGATTTATTACTTTACACGTCAAAGGATATAAAATAACGTTATTTTAAAATTTGTTAAATTATTTTTATTTTTTATTTTTAAGTAGCAATGTCACTTGTTTTTTTTTTCTTCGTCTTATTTTATGAATATTTTTTCTCAATAATAATCTTAATTTGAAACATACTCCTAACGTAGAATAATTATAGTAAATTTTTTCCATTTTAAAGTGTCAAGAAAATGCCACCTTAAGCATAGTTTTCTTTTAGTTTAATTTTAATTTTCTGCTGGGACCCATGGTGAGCAGAAAATGCATTTAGATATCTTGCGCATGTCTTACGCACGAGAATTTTCATGATTTTGTAGTGGAAATTCAGATGATACAAATGTCTTCATTTGAAAAACAATTTCCTTTGCCAATATAGCGTAAAGAATGGAACAAGGAATAATTTGTAAATGATTTTTAAGAGGAAAAATAGAATTCTAAAAAACTTGGAAATCAGAGATAAATGATTTTCATTAAAAAAATGGACTCAAAGATGTCTTTATTATTATTATTATTATATAAGCTACAAACTGGTTATTAAATTGATTGTCTCGTGAGTAAAGTGGGGATGAATAGATTGGTTGCTCCTACCCATGTAGCTTTGTCCGAGATGGGCACAGTGCACTTTCACCATTAACGAATATTCACAAAGTTATAGAGGTATAACGGGGTAGGAGAAGGACAACTCATAAGTAAATTGCAATATGAAATGTTCAAGTAATGTTCTTTCCTAAAAGGGGCCAAAATCTATAGAATCATAACTAAGTTTAAAGTCCTTGGGCCCAAAAGCAATAAATCCAAAGGGTAGCCCACCATATGCAAACTGCCACTTGAAGGCCATTAGTTAAGATGATTGGTTCCATTCATAGACCTGGGGAAGCCAATTGAGGTTGCACATGTTAGATTGAGGTCTTTTGAAAGAAGATAATTGCACCGATAAACTTTTATCCTAAACTAGAACTATTACCTGTGCAAATGTATGAGAAAAACAAACAAAAAAAGAACTTTCAAACTAAACTTTACTTTTTTTTAAGGAAACTATACAAATGTTATAGGTGGGAAAATTATCAAAAGCCTGTGTTTGAAAGATTGATAATGCTTTTTTGGACCCTTCTAGGGTGACCATAAGAGACAAACCGTTTGTGTCTCTCTATTTTAATTTTTGATGTGATGTTAAGTGAATAATATATATAAGTAATGTAACGGAGTATAATTATACAGTTTAGGTATTTCATGAATTTATTTTAAATAAAAGCCCCTGTCAAAACTGTCATTGGATGAGAAAAAGTTACACACTTGGCATCTATTTGTATAAAAGAAGAAAAAAAAGTTGTGCTTTTTAGATTTTTCACTTGAAAAGAGACATTTTATATATAAGACTACAGAGCAAAACAAGCAAAATGCATGAATGTAACTGTTGATGTGCAGCACTAACTCCCGGAGCAAACAAGGGACTGTTAAATAATAATATACTCATTGATTAACTATCATTTCTGCCATTGATTTATTATAATGGTTACTTTCTTCGTTGATACAAATTATCGACTGACAAAGATGTTGCAGTTTTTAATTCCCAAATCCAGGGATGAACCTTACACCCGTTGAAGGTAACCAAAGATCCCCAAGAATCAATTGGGTGACTGTGAAGTTACTAACTAAGCTAGAATCGTTAATCACATGGTACCCTGGCCATTTAACACGGTCATTTAGAAAAGCTCCCGGTCCATAATTATTGTACTCAGCATAGTACAATGTGTCCAAATATGCAGATCCATTCCACTCTAGCCAACCCTTTGACGATAACACCTCACTGATGTAGGATTGCATAAAAATTGTCCTCGAATAAGGCTTCCATGGTCTACCAAGGTATGTTAGGGTGGAATTAACAGCGGGCAGAAGGTCATCATCTGCTGAAATGTTACAAAATTGAATTGAGAAACCAGATGGGTCGGTTGAGTTTCTTTTCCCTTGAGCAGTGATAGTGTTTTTTTGTTTTGTTAAACCTTTTTTGACCAATATCTGGCAACTTTGGAACACTGCAGTGGCATATCCAAAGATGAAATCAACGGTGCCAGTGATTTTGCATTCTCTATAGAATTGGCGCAAGCCGTGGGCATAGAGGCTGTCTTGGTAACCGAAAATCCCACATCGGTAGAAGACAGAGAGGTCAGAGTCTGATCTTAAAGCAACAGCTTGGCCCCTTTCAGGCCCTGCAGTGTTCCTGAAGGAAATGTCTCGTGCTATGAATCCTCTGCCATTCACAGCTTCACAAAAGAAGTAAATTTGATAATTGGGTCAGACATTTCAGCAATTGAAGAAGACAAGAGCTTCAGGCCTAAGAATTGTTATTCCTTTTCTCTTGTTACTTTCAGGTTGTTGCAGTTGTGGACACGGATTAATGATTATGTTGGTCATGTTTTTCTTTTTTAAAATAATGTATCTTCGGGTTAAATCTACTTGATCATGATCATGTTGGTGTATTATGAGCTTGTTTTAAATAGTAATTTAGTAAACATGTTATTGTCACTAATGTTTTCTCTCTTACGCATGCACAAAAGTGAGTACACGTCACCCAACTAAAGTGCATGTAGTCAACTTAAGCCCGGAATAGAAGATTCTGTGAGACCACACACCCTAGTCCAATGCAACTTGTCATCATTCATGTCTTATAAAAATGTGGATTATTTTACTACTCTTTCACACACCTCTATATTTGTTAACCATTTTTGTTTTGTTAATATATGTTTTTAAGGTTCATTTGAAGTAATTAGAACTATTTTTTTTCTCAAAGATATTTATCATTATATATTTTTAATTTTATTAACATTTTAATAAAATATTTCATTTTTAAGTGTATGCTTGGATTTTTTTTATTTTAAATTACATGCAAAAGCTTAAAAGAGTACTGTTCGTTTTTGTTTGGTTTTGAAAAATCAGCTTATAATCTTTAATTATTTTACAAAAAATATTTCATTTACAATAAGCAAAATCTTAGAGCTTATGTTTAAAAATTTTCATGTTTATTTGCTACTTAAATTTTATTTTCTCATTTGTCCTCCATAAATTGATTACTTTGAATACACAACAAACTATTACAAATATTATTATAAAATTATTTCATACAATGAATTATTATTACAATAATTGATTATACATATAATTGATTGTTGAAATAATTTACACATTTTAACTCATCCAAATACTCATTAACATTTTGTTTGGATGAGAAGGGTGAACTTAAATAAAATAAAGTAATATTTAAATCGATTAAAAAATTAAATAAATTGAAATGTTAGTATATAAAGACTATATACTCCTACATCGATTGTCAAAAAATTGTTCGTAAGAGTAAAAGTATCTATAAAAATTTGGCCCATTTAAAACCCTTCATTTCACGATAGGCTGAAATTATTTTATATAGATATCACTGTAGTTTAAAAGATTTGACTCACTCTTTTTCACTTCAACCAAACCAATAAATGAGTTGAAATGTTACAGTTTCATTATTTCTGTTCCTAACATTTCAATATAAACAAACACAGCTTAAGTGTTTAAAATAACGTTAAGACTTAATGCTACTAAAATCAATTTTTTATTTATATTTTAAATGATTTGATTTTTACTGAAAAATAGAGTATCAAAGAAAACCGTGAAACAAATATTTTTTTATTATTATTAGTCTCTAAGCGCATAACAAGCATAAATAACTGAGTTGCTTAACTCATTTTTTAAAGGTTGTCTATCTACCTAAAAACCCGTTTGCTTACAGTGAAGAGAGAATTGCTCCTGTATGTATGCAATAGTTTCTTCTCGAAAATATTGGTTCCACTTTTTTTTATTTTTAGGCCCACTTTTACAGATTGAGATAAGAATCAGTTGCAAGGTTAAAGATGATGCTTTGAGACTAAGAATCTAAGATGCAGAAAATAAATAAAAACAAAAAGAGAAAGGAAAGGGAAGAGTCCATACCAAAGGTAGCTGTTCTGTATGTGGTCAAATTTTTACTATAACTGAGGTTACCAGTGATAACAGTAACATCCATGCCTTCTCCCATCAACACAATGTTCCACTTCTTCTTACCAATGTTAACGTTCTCCACATAAACACCCCTCTTTACGTAAATCACATAGCGCCTCATGCTATAATCACTTGCTGCGTGCACTGCATCCATCACCTTACTATAATTCCCACTCCCATCAGTAGCAACCACAGCATCCCAACTCACCCCATTTGTAAATAGCAGCTTTTTGTCCCATGATTCAACCCACGAAGGAAATTGACCCCTGTTGGTGAAGTGACTCGAAGCAGGGTGCATCTGGTTTAACAGGTTTTGCACCATCGAGTTCAAATGGTCAATTCTAGTGGATATTAGACCCTTCACATTCCAATTCGTGTCTTCAAAACCGTCCATGCATGTATCTGTATTCGCAAGTGCTGCATTTAGCCATGTACTCAAATCATTGCTTAGATTCCCAGTACCGTTGTGCTTCCCTACAATAATTAATTAATATAAGCCCATATGTATCATTATCATCACAAATACCAATCACACCATAAACAGCCTTACATTAAGGAATCGAACATGAAAATTTCCTATTTAAAAAAGTATGATAATACACCTCTTTAAACAAAATTTTATAATAATAATTTATTTTATTAAAAAACTAATAATACATTTTTCTAACGAAAATTTTAACAATTTATTTATTTATTTTAATTAATATATTAAGTGTATTAGTGAGAAATATTAATAATAATAATAATAAATGTTAATTTTAACTCTTAAGAGTGAGATTAAATATATTAAAATTGATAAATTTATATTGAAAAACTATTTGTCGCATTTCTATAAAAAGTATATTTTTAATAAAAGTTTAGTATTTGTAAGCGTTGAACTTAACAACAGTGGATGTGGTAATAGGAAAGTGACAAGGGAACAAACGAATACGACGAGTGTTTTATGAACATAATAAATATGCTTATTCACTTAGTTGAGAATGGATGTTTTATAGAAAATGCAAACAGAATGGGAAGCAAGTTAAGAGAACGATGATACCTTGGGGATTTTCAATAGCGGAAATGGACCAGCTGAGTTGATCAGCCGATAAGTCCAACAAGTCAAGACAAGCGGAAATGGCGTCAGAAAGACGAAAGTTGTGAACGTTATTATTGACATTGGTTAACTCAGAGAGGAGAGTTGAGTTAACATCTTGCAAAACGCCAACTACTGTTCTGGCGGAGTGAAGGAATTGAGAGGGAGAGACCCTGAGGCACTCGAAACCGGAGTGAACAAAGGGGGTGCACAGAGACACCAACAAGAAGGAGAAGACGAATGTGGGGGTGGACATTGGAAATTTGAGAAATGAGAGTGAGGGTATTTACACATTTAAAGGGGTGAAAGGACATTAGAATGGAATGAACTGGTCAGCACTAGCATGGGCAGGTAGGAATTTAATTCAGAGGATTCTTTGGAGGACGGTACGTCAGCGTCTCAAATCTCAATATACGCTGCAAAAGGAAATGCCTACGCACTATAGAAACTAGGAATAATACAAAATTAGCTTCTATTTTTTCTTTTACGTTTTTTTGTGTGATTACAATGCAATACGTCGACTGGATAATGTAGTCAAAATGCTACTTGTTTTTATACATTTTTAAAAGTATATATCACTTAATCAATTTTAATGCATATTGATAAGTTATAAAAAAATATTAAATAAATTAAAACGTTACCATCTTATTGATCCTTTGATGGTTAGAAACAAAAAAACTTAAAAGTATAAGGGGCCCACACGCTTGAAGGTGTTTGTGTGGAGGGACTTCATTTTCCACATTCTTTTCCAAAACTAAGGTTAGGGAATGTGTTTAGTAACGGATAGGGACGTACGCTAAATTGAGTTAAAATTAATGTCCTTTCAATTTTGTTTACGCGGATATATGGATTTTATATTTGTTTCAGTAATGCTATTGTGCATGCAAACTAGCATTTGGTTCAAGATAAATGCCACTGTACAGTTGCAAAGATGAAAAAGACAAAACAATACTCAACTGATAAAAATTAAATTAATTTCTTATAAAATATTTGTCACGATTAGGTAAAATGATTAAATTTGAAATATTTTCATCAATATTAAAGTGGTCTTTGAATCTGGTGATCTTGAAGGACCTACTAGAGTTTCCTCTTTGCGCTTAGGGTTTTCGCCGCTCACTCTGACTCTGCTCCTCTACTGGCGCTTTAGTGCTCTCTCTTAGGGTTTTTCGCCAAGAAACTGTCGTGATTAGGACATTTTGCTGTCATAAGGAAAGGAAGGAATTTGAGAAAGCTTTGACGGAGGAAGAATGGATCTGCTGATGCTTTAGGATGGGTGTGCCACAAACATGGAAGAAGAAAATACATTTGAACTTCCTGCGAACCACGTGACTTCTAATCTGTTTGGATATGATTTGATGTCCTATGAAGATAACTTTCTTACGTCTTAGCCCCTATATCGTATTTAAGGGGAAGATGATACTGTTAAATCGATGGAGGATTTTCATATTCATTTAGAGTCTGAAGATGATAAAATAAATAAATAGCATAAAGCATGTCTAGATTTAAAGTGTTCTTAGAAGATACATTAATTGCTAAACTTTTAGAGAAAAATATTAGTTTAAAATATGTGGATTATAAATTAAGTAATATTTAGCGGAAGAATGGAAATTGGAAAATCTTAGACATTGATGGATGACTTTATGGAAGAATACAGGTATATCTCTCTTTAAAAGTTTTTGGTTAATTTTAAATTATTATCTATTACTATAATGATAGAGGCTTCTTTTTGGGCCTAAACATCAAAATTTTAGAAAAATTATTACTTGAGCCACATAATATTTGTGGTTCGTGAAAAGTACATACAAAGACAAGAGAGAACATAATCCAGGTCTAAATAAATAAATGACAAGTGCATGTAGTGTTTCTAATCCTCATGATGGATCATTTATGGATAGGAACATTCCTAAGCGTATAGCAAAAAAAACTTGATAATGATCATAATTTATTTGGTCTTTAGATGTTAGTGAAATGACCTAAAAAAAAATGAAAAAAATGGGCCCTGATAAAAATTTAGAATATTCTCTTAGGAAAAGGTCAAAAAAAGATCTCAGCTCTCTATTATGTAAAAAATTCTAACCTCTTTAACAAAATAATAGAGTTGAAACAACACAAATTGAAGTGGAAGAATGACAAAAAATAAAAATTAAAATCGTTATTAGTGATTTACAAAAGAATGATTAAAAAAAGAATATTGTGTTAGGGCATTAATGACTTATTCTTCTTTCAACATAGATTGTGTTTAGTTGTTGTGTTCTATTATGTCGTATGAGTTAATGAGAAAGAGTTTTGTATTATAATGGTTATGTTCTGAAGAGTTGAAATAAAAATATAAGCCAGTGTTAAAATTTTGAAAAATTACATCTTAAAGTTTCCTTTACTGCTCTTTTAATAAATTAGAAACAATTCATTGTTATATTTTGTAAGGTACAGATAAGACTTAAATAGCTTTTCGAAAAACAACCATCTACTACAACTATTGGCCCACATCCATGTAAGGGACCCTCTTTGCAAGAGGGGAAAGCAAATACACATTCTTCCAAAATAGCCTTTCAAAATCAGGTGCTAGCCTATTCCAAGTTGAGTAGTATTTTTTATGTTTGAAAATTTCAACTCTTGACATGGTTGCTTGAGCTTTTAGCCATGCTCTGAATGCGTTTGCATGTGGCACATTCATGACATATGTCTCCTTGATATCTTTTATGATATTTACAATTTGAGATCTTGAAACATACCTTAAGAAAGGAATTAGTCTTGTTTTCAACCGCTTCGAAGATTCTTGAAAATTCTTCATGGATTTTGTGCAAATGTGTTGTGAAATAAATTGATGTCTTTAGCGCAAGAGTATAAAATTTCTAATCACAATCTATGCTTTTGGCCTTGCATGTGACTATTATTGTTAAAACACTTTATCACTATACCTTATATGGACTGTATAATCCAGAACAACCTTCTTAAGCACGGCCAAGTTGATAAACACCTCCCCCAACTTGAATTGTAGCACATCCATACTCAACCATTTCATTAAATTGTGTCCATTTCACTTTCTTATCAATTGGGTTGTCATTAACTTCTCTATCCTTGTCATCTTCAATGTGAGATTTAGCTTTGGTATCTGTTGCCTCTCTATATTCTGGTCATTTTACTTCATCTCGCACCGAAATACAACAAATCTGTAAAGTTAACGGGGTTTCAATTTTAAATAAATGAACTTGCGTAAGCACTGCCCTTTGACGTTAGTTTTGTTTAGTGATGGTTTCAAAGCTGGGATTTTACGTATTGGGGCTGAAGTTAAGGATTGAATTTCACGTTTTAAGGCTGCAGTTTAAGGTTCGAATTTCACTTAACGAGACACTAACAACAAATAGACGAGAAGGACTATATTATTTTAAAATGAAATGTAAAGTACCATAATTTCTTGCAATCACAAGTCACCATAAATAAATTTATACAAAGCAATCCCCACGGCACTCTCCTTTAAAGTTGGTTTTGTACCATGCAGCGCAATATGGCACTAATTGAACTCTATGTCCAAAATTGAGGAAAACCCAATTCCGAACCCAAAGGCAAAATTAAATATACGGAAGAATTTTTAAACAGCCACATGTAGAAATGAATGAAATTGAACACCCACCCACCATCATTTTTTATATTTCATATTGTCCTTCTTGTCCAAACGACCACTTGAACAAGCAAAGTACTACAAGGACAAAGCAAGATTTAGCACTGCTTTTATACATCCAATCCAGCAGTGAACGCTACCCCCGTTGAAGGCAACCATAAATTCCCCTCAATAAATTGTGTCACCGTGAAATTACTAGCTTCGCTAGAATCATTCATCACATGGTACCCCGGCCATTTCACTCGGTCACCTAGTCCAGCACCTGGCCCATGATTCATGTACTCTGCATAGTACAATGTGTCCAAAGCAAAGTCTCCATTCCACTCTAACCACCCTTCTGGCCTCAACACCTCACTTATGTAAGATTGCATGAAAATTGTTCTAGAATATGGTTTCCATGGTCTACCAAGGTATGTTTGGGTGGAATTAACCGAGGTAACAAGGTCAGAATCAGCAGAGATGTTGCAAAATTGGATGGAGAAACCGGTTGGTTCATCAGGGTCTTTTCTCCCATGTGCTGTGATCGTGTTCTTTTGGTTTGGTAAGCCTTTTTTAGCGAGTATTTGGCAGTTTTGAAATATAGCAGTGGCATCACCAAAGATGAAATCCACTGTGCCAGTGATTTTGCATTCTCTAAAAAATTGGCGCATGGTGTGGGTATAGAGGCTGTCTTGGTAACCCAAAATCCCACATCGGTAGAATACAGAGAGGTCAGAGTCAGATCTTAGTGCCACTGCTTGGTGCTTCTGGGCCCCCGCAGTGTTCCTGAAGGTAATGTCTCGTGCTATGAACCCTCTGCCACTCACAGCTGCACATGCAACCACACACTGAATAATTAAATAAATATACACATAATAAAATTATATCATAAATATCATTTTTAATTAAAATTTATGTAATATTTTATAATTTTTAATAAAAAATATCATGTTGTATATGTTTAAAATGGATTCTTAAGATTAATGTTAACAAAAAGGGATAAATAAAATAAGCAAACATGAAAATTGGGTAAGAGGTATAAGCTATTGAAGGAAAGAAGCAATTTAGGTCTTATACATGTAATAATTGCAGCACATGCTCATTTATTCTTCATTATCTGTGGCTGCATACGTGGATTATGTTATGCGGCTAAAGTTTAAAATTCAAAGGCCCAACTTTAGTTGACGTCTTTAGATTGAATGTTACAAATGAAAATTAGTTTCCAGTTAGAGCAAGTTTGGGCAATGGCATTTATTCTATGATGCAGTGTTTGGCTTCACATTTGCAATTATGATGAGATCTCATAAGTCATATCTGGTCATACACTAAAATAATAGAGGGTACAAATAACCTACCTCAGAAATAGGCAATTCAACTTTTGGTCTATAGTACCATTTCAAGCTCAATATAAATATTCACCTTATTAGAGGACTCCATCAATTTGTTCATGGGAAGATTAGCATGTCATTACATTATTTGTTAGTAAGTCATTACGTTATTTATCAAATTTTATTTTGTCACAAAAACTGTAAATCTATTCTTTTCTGCTGTTTTTACGGTAACTACTACATATATTTGAAAAGTTTATTAAAAATCTTTTAAAAAACTAATGCCCTGTCATGTTAACTTTTAAAGAACTAAATAATAATAATCGTCTTTTAAACAATTTTACTTTTCAAATTAATGCAGTTGATAAATAAAAAGGTTGTAATGTTTTTAAATATTTTTATCAATATATTATTCATTAATCATTAAGATTATCAAAATGTTCTTTTCAGTCCATGTTATTTGTATCATGCACGGTTTTTTTAATTATTAATTACACAATTTTTTATACTAACATTTTTTTGACAAAATTATCTTCGTTAAAAGAGTCAAAATCTAGCTATGAATTTATTTAAATATTTAAATAAGTATTAATAGTTCAAAATATAATAACAAAATAATTAATATTTTTAAACTTATAAAATGACATATATTTTGAGATAAACTACATCACTTTAAAGAGATACGAAAAATGATTAACTACATCACTTTTTTTTACCAAAAAAATCTTATTTTATCTTGTCGTTGTATTTTTATGATGTATATAAATAAAAATAGAAAAAATAAAAATAATTACACATGATTTTGCATATAATTAATATCAATTTTAATGATTTTAAATAACAGGAATATCTTTTAAAAGAAATAATTTTACTCACGTCAATAATAATTTCATTCACGTTGTAATGGTGTTAACTTATATGATAAAAACTTTTTATAGATATAAAATTAGAATCAAAATTTTACTTCAAAAAATTTAAACATACATGCTTAAACTAATTAGGCGCATAACTGGATAATGTTAGATAGAGAGAGTTTAAAAAGATAGTCTCTCACTTATAAGCATTTTTAGAGGTAAACTGGTAATAGTACTACTCACAAAGATGGAAAGAAAATCCCTTTAAAAGGGAAAAAAGAGGAATTAAGAGAAGTGTGTTCTTACCAAAGGTAGCTGACCGGAATGTGGTCCAACCATCAATGAAATTCCGTTTACCGGTGATAATAGTAGCATCCATGCCATCTCCAATCATCATGAGGTTCCACTTCTTCTTCTTGATCTCAACGTTCTCATGGTAAACACCCCTCTTTACGTGTATCACATAGCGTTTCATGCTATAATCAGGTGCTGCCATAATCGCATTCTTTATTTTAGTGTAGTTTCCACTCCCATCTGCAGCTACCACAGCGTCCACATGCACCCCATTTGCTTCAAGTAGCTTCCTCTCCCCTGGTTTGACCCACCAAGGAAATTGACCCTGATCGGGGGAAGAAAAGAAGTGATCCGAAACAGGGTTCACCTGTGTGAGAAGTTGCTGAAGCAATGACATCACTTGGCCTAGGCCTGTGGATACTAGACTCTTCACTATGCCATTGGTACCTTCAAATCCGTCCATGCATGTATCTTGATTCGACAGTGCAGCACTTAGCCATGTCCTCAAATCGGAACTCAGCTTCCCAGTACTGTTGTGATTTCCTGTAATGAATAAAACCCACTTTTACTTTAGTATTTTGCATCTAGATTTTCAGTGTAATAAATAACTTAAGCAAACATTATTTAATATATTTTTGTACGAAGACTAATATTATTTTCTCCTACACATGCAAGGAAAGCAGTCAAATAAACTATATATATATATATAAAAGTTACTGCAGTCTTAATTAAATTATTTTGTGGAGCTCTTCTGCAGCAAAGAAGAGGCATCACAAAACTAAAATGCTTTGCTAAATATGAATAGAGGTTTTACGAAAGAAAAAGGAAATAACGTTACCTCGGGGATTCTGGGTAGCAGACACAGTCCAATCGAGCTCATCAGAGGAAAGGTCAAGCAAATCAAGGCAATCAGAGATGGCGTTAGAAAGACGAAAATCACCAAAGCCAGAGGCAAACTCAGAGAGAATAGAGGAAACATCTTGCAAAACGTCAACAACAGTTTTCACTGTCCCCGCAAACACAGAGGGAGAAACCTTGAGCAGCTCCGAACCCACGGTCTGAGTTGGAGCAGCAGCAGCAAGTGTGGTGCACGCGCCAAGAAGCATCATCAAGGACAAGGAAATGAGCGTGATAGTGCATTTTGGTGTTACTATTTGGGTTGAATGAAGAGGCATTGTGAGAACAGAGATAGCATGTTACGCACTCAGGACTGCATATTTAAAGGGAAAAATGGGGAATAAATAAATAATAGAATTATTGGTTAGCTGGGCAGGTAAGGGACTTTAAGGCAAACTCCTCTCTTACCGTGTTAGCACTAGAAACTCTCCCTCACCACAAAACTAGTTTCATTTTATTTTTTATAAAATAATATAGTTTTATTAAATATATATTTATTATTTTTTCTGTACCCTATTAGATGTTACTTAAATATTTTATTTTTTTTTAAATTATTTATCACCTTATCGTATTAAAAAAAGAATTGATTCTTTTCTTTTAATAATATCTTAGTTTATCAGAGTTCTTTTTGTCAATTATTAAAATAGCTCTATAATAAGTATCACTTATTTATTGGAATGACTTCAGCTCTTTTCACTTGAGTATTTTAATGAAATTGATTTATCTTATCATGAATTTTTTTTTAAGATATATGTATTGGTTTTAAATGAAATTAAATATGAGATAGAAGAAATATATTTTTTAATTTTAAATATAATAAATATATTTTTAATATCTCTTGTATTTTAATTTGAAAATTTTATATTTATTTACTTTTCGTATTAAGCTCTTTCAATAATTTTATTTGTTTCAAAATTTATAGTTTTAAGAAATTAAAAGTATGAATTATTTTATTAATACTTTACCTTAATATTCAAATAAATTTATAATTATATTTTAAGTTTTTAATAGAAATATTGACTATATTTTAAAGATATTACCTAAAATTAATAAATGAAATATGAAAAAAATTATATTCACTCATATATTTTTTCAATGCACTCTATCATAATTTTTAATGTTTAAAGGCATTAATTAATATGTTTTTTTCTTGTTCTTCAAGCATTTTTAATTCTTCTTGTTAATTATCTTGTTATTTCATTTTTCAAAATATATATTGAAGAGTAAAATAATAAGATAATTAAGAAAATTAATATAAAAATATATGACAAAACTCATTTCTTCAATCAGCTTATTATTATCATCACTTTATCAGAGGCTGACTCACAACGGTCACCTGACTGCCCTCTTAAATTCGGATTATCTATTATATCCAAAAACAGCGCCATGAACTTTTTTAGAACATCATTTCACGTTATATATAATAAAACGGTGGGCACACGTTAAAAAAAAAAATTTTTTTAAAAAGATTATAACATTTAATATTACTAACGTATTAAATTTTAAAATAGTTTATTGTTTTTAATAAAAAAATATTGAATATAATTTTTTATGATATATATTTAAACGAATTTAATTTAATAAAAAAAAAAAGCTAGTGAATGCAAAGTAGAGGGATTAATTTCTTGGAGTGTCGGCGGGGACTAAGAAAGAATGCAAAGAGGATATCACTCTAATCTGAAAGGCATCTGATATTCTTCAGCCACTCACAGTGATCAATTCAATTTCGCCATCACTTAATTTCGTAAGATCAGAGAAGGGATCGCAATCTTCATTTTCGCACAAAAAACAAATAATCCACATATACTGTTGATGGCTCAGCTGCATTTATAGGACCCAAATACGATAATACTATTATTATGTAACATGAAATTAAGTAGTGATTAGGTTAATAACATGGCAACTAATTAAATGAATAGAATAAGTTGAAAATTTTAAAAGAGATGAAAAATATCTTTACTATCCATGTCTGAAAAAAAAAAAAAATATCGAACACAAAAACTATAACTAGTAGTGTTATTGAAGTAAATATGACTTTATGACCATTTAAACACGTATTAGGTGATTGATTAGCATATTATTTTTTTATAAATTGTGCGTTAAGTTTCAGTGAACAGGTTTACTGATACGTACAAAAGTTGTCATATATTAAATAACCTATCCCCGAAGACTGTATAAATGTACGGATTAACAGGTTTTTATCAGATTGATTAATTTAACTTAGAAAAATATTCTTCGTATGACTTGGGATATAGACATATTTAGATGTCTCTTTAATTTTTTAAGTATAGTTTAGGGATGCATGTATACAGAAAAATATATGTGGTTAAGTTTAATTTAATTAATCACATATATTAATTATATTTAATATGGGCTTTGAAGAAAGATAGGGTTGGAAATGGCAAAGCTCTAAAAGAAGGGAAATATTTCAAATTTGAAAGGTTTCAAGTGTAAAAGGAATGAAGCAAACTGCTGAAAAATCTTTTTGTAAAGGAACTAAGGCAAGGGTTTATTACTCTTTTTATTGCCCATTAACTCTCGTACGTGGTTAATGACATGATGACTCATAATTAATTTTGTGCATTAAAAAATGCAGAGACCAAGGATTATCAATCTCTAAAAATTAACGTGAAATCATTAAAGTAGATTACAACTCAATTTATATCAGTTTGATTTCTATTTTATCTTTTTATGCGACATAAAATATAAATCAAAAGATAAGATAAATAAGAATAATTTTAAATTAATCTAAATCAAATAAACTCATAAACATATTAAAATAATAAAATATAAATCCAAATAACCATAATAAGATGTTTTGATTTTTTTTTTCTAGTTAATTTAGATTTCAAATTTTCAATTCAATTTGTACAATTAATGATAGATTGAATCAGTTTGTGAACACTTCTTTAAAAAATGCAGCATGTGCCCCACTAGTGCCTCCATGAACAGCTAAAGAGTCAACTCAACCTAACAATTACTAAAGGTAGGATCAACAAGGGGCTGAAATAACTAGGGATAACAAAGAATCAAATTACTTGGGATCAGATTGCTGACTCCAAAAAAAGCCTCTAACGAGTGGCGATTAACTCTTTGAATAAGAAACAAAACATAAAAGTGGCAGTGACTCATCTTAGCATGCCTCCGGATCCATAGTTAGCATTCCAAATGGTGGGGGTATTGTTTCTTATCAATGTCAAAGGCCTAATCAACCTTGTGCCTACTAGACACGTATAAGACTCAAAAGGGTCAGGATAAACTTTGGATTGAGGGCCATTTGAAGCCCTTCAAGACCCCACTTCAAAAATTAGGAGATGCTCAATTCATGTTTACACCTCACACGTTGAGGATTCTAAAATTTGTAGCAATTAAAGAAACCTACTTTCTATCAAATTTATCTCATGGGCATGCTTGATTATTTTAGTTGTGCAACTGAATTTTATAAACAATACCTATATTATTTTGTGAATAACATTTTTTAAATTACATATTTTTTTAATTTTACTCTACTATTTTATTTTAATAAATCAGATGTTAATAAAAAACACTGAAAAAATATTTAAATAATATTAATTTAATGAAATAGAAGGAGAGAAATGAATATTTAAAGAGAAGCAATGATGATTAGATTGAGCAAACACATCAAAGTGCCTACATTATCTAATTGCTCCTCATGGTTATGAAAGTACTTTAGTAAGTTGTTAGCTTCCCCACATGACAATTCTAACATTCTTTTATCATGAAGATTTTTTTTTTAATCTTGTTTTGTAGATCCAATGACATTTATTTCCCAAGAGTTTGCAAAATATGGTCATGATTTGCTTTAAATTCATAAATTATATACTTTCTAATTTATCGATCTAACTTAATATCAATTTTTACTTCACAACTTGTTCTTGTTTTTGCTGAATGAATTTTGTTAGAAAATTTATTTGTTAGCTCCTCTAAAACCTTCTTTTTGCACATACAAATCTTATTTTATTCACATATTTGTCCACACAACTTTTATTTGCATATAATTGTCGAACATCAAAGTCTATTATTCCACCATATTTTGTTCAAAACCATCTAGTTTCTTCTATTATATTAAACTCCATACCTAATTTTGACATCTTTTTCACTTGTGATAGACTTACAAAAAATATTATACAAAAATAATTAATTGACATTAATTAACAAAGTGCAACGTATATATTAATTAAAGATATATTTGAAAATACTTTAGAGAGGAGTTGGACTCTTTGTTGAATAATTAGTTTGAATGAAAATATTCAATTTTTTGTGAAACTCATGGACAATTTTCTAATTGAGACAATAAATTTGCTTCAATATTTTTGTCATCATAAAATTTGTTATCGTCCATTAACAGAGTTCTATTGTTCATCGATTGAATTCTACACAAACACTTATCAATACAGTATAATTAACATTTCAACATGTTATGTCTCATAATATTTATTGTTTTTAGTGACCTTTTACGATTAGCTTAAAAAAAATGCACCTTGCAAAATTCCTGTGTTTGGTAAAAATGTTCTATTATTCGTCATCCAATTGCATAATCACAAAGTCATTTAATAATCTATCAATTTTTAAGTTGTTAGCATTAAGATAAATAAATTGGAAGTAATTCACATGTTAAAATTATTGTTATAGGATTTTTTTATATATATAAAAAATGTAGTTGTTGTTTTGATTTAAAGTTATTTTTTGTCAAGTGAAAGTTGTTTACTATCACAACTTAATTTTTTTTCTATAAATTTTTTTAAAATAAAAGTAGGACAACATGTGCACTATTCTTAAAATTAGTTTAAATCAGGTTTTTTATTTTTAAATTAATAAACATATGAGTTAGACTTATTATCCACCCTTAATCCTTATAAATGAATAAGATTATGCACTTTAGTCTCTAACATGTAAGTTGCAATTTAGAGGAGCCAAATCTTATTTATTGTTTTCTTACAAATATATAATAAGAATATTTCGATTTGGGAATTGTAAAACACGAAAAAAAGAATCTAATAATTATGACAAAGGATTTAGCCTGCAATATATGGGCATATGATTGATTTATATTTATATTTATTTTAAATTATGATATTTTAAAAATTTTCAATATTAATTAAATAAGTCTTTCTTTAAATTATATTGCTTCTATCAATTGCTATCTTTGTCTTTCTATGATAATTACTATCATTATTTTTTTATTGACGTAGTTAAACATGGTTATTAAAAATAATTTATTTGAATGACATATGAAAGTTGATCAACATAAAATGAAAAAAAAAAGTAAAAATCCTAGAATAAAACAAATTTTTCATAGTTCATTCATAATTGAAAATTAGTTTAATTAATTTTACCAAATATTATGCCCTCAAGATATTCTTAAAAGTTAGTAAATAAGGGAAGTTCAGGTTTATGATATCTAAATTCACCCAAAAAAAAAGAAGTTGATAGACAAAGTTTATCCAAAAGGAAAATCTCAATTTTTTTTATTAATAGAATTTAGAGAAATTATATATTCTCACTTGATTAAATTCTCTAATGTGAACTCTTTATTTATAACAATTGCATGACATGAAAGGAGTGTCAATATGAGAAAGCACAAGGAATTGAAGTAGAAAGAGACTTGCATTTAAAGACGCGGCGATGCCCCAACAATCAAAACGCGTTTACAGCTTGCTCTCATGCTAGTAGTACTGCCACTTGTTTTAGGATTGCAACTTTTTAATACAAAATTATTAATCTCTATATTTATAGCTAACATGAAGTGAATATGTATTTATGATTATATATTAAATTATATAAAGCAAATTTAATATTATTAAAATCGAACACTCATCAGTTTGAAAATTTAAATTCCTAATAATTAAACTGTCACTTCAATAACTTTTATCTTCTTTAAGAAATCAGCACTTGAAGTTGAAGCAAATTGCCTGTCAAAATTAAGTACTTAACAAATGGTTATTTTTTTTTATCGGTGGTCTACACTAATGTCCTACTATATAATATTTATATTCGATGAAAAGGTTTAAAGTGAAAAAAATAATCAATCTTTATATGAAAAATAAATTAAATGATTTTTTTCTTCTTAAATGTTTTTCTTTTATTAGTTTTTTTTAGTCAAATTTTGTGCCAGCAAATTACTGAAATATAAAATGAAATTTCATGTCAAAGTCTTACATGATATTTTTTGTGAAAAATTTATAATACATGCATACACACGAGATTTAACAATTAGGTGAAACAATGCTTTCATGTAATTATTTTAATAATTTTATTACATTATTTATATTTTATATTAAAGTTTTTTAAATAATAATTTTTGAGATTTTGATTTTAGTATTATTTTTTTTTAATTTTAGTTCATGATTTTTTAAAACTATATACTTTCAGTCCTTAACTATGACGTGATGTAAAAACATTGAACAGCTAACACCACAATATAATAAAGACAATTTTTCATTAAATTTTAAAAAATTAGAGACTAAAATAATAATAAAAAAACTAAAACCAAAGTATAAAAAAGGACAATAAATATGTTTAAATTAATTATTAAATGCACAACTTACCATGATAAAGTGAGTTTTTTTGTTAATTATAATTAAATTGTGTTAAATAAGTATTTTAAGATCATTAATTAATGATTAAAAAGTTAAAAAATTATTAAAAAAACATGTTAGAAGTACATTAAAATTTTGATAGGTGTACATTTGATCATTAAAGTATCCTCAGTACTCATATCTGTTATAAGTGCTATTCAGTATCAATATAAACGTCTTAAAAAAAAATAATTTTATTCAATTAATATGCTAAAAAAATATTTTTTTAATGCGTGCATAAAAAATTATAAATATCAGAAAATCTAATAAATGAATATGATTAGTAAAAAAATTTATTCTTTGATTATTTATTATAAAGAAAAGCGAGATAATAAGATTTTATACAGTTGGATGAAAGCACGGAATTTAATGTGTTGGTCAATTTATGTGTCCACAAATGACAATATGAAGCTGGCTACATTGATTTGTAACCAAGGCACCTATCATATCTATTTTAAGTCAAGGAATTTGGAATTTTTGTGGCGTTTTGGCACTTTCATGCACTTTCCCTCCATCCATTAAATGTATATTCCAAAGTTGGTGCAAAATCATGCTACTAGCATCGCTTTCTTTTTAAATTGTCTACACTTAATGAATTACAAAATCATGCGTTAACAAATGGACAACATGTAACAAAGTTGTTTGTTAAAGCAGATTTTATAATAATTAAAATTAAGATGTGTTCATGAGATAATGTGATTATAAAGGTCAAATAAACTATTTACAGGTTGATTCCTATTTATATGAACACGGGAAATGTTCATTATTGCGTTGTAAAGGATTAAGATCACAAGCCATATGAATAAAGCTTAAGACAATAGATTCACATCCAGATAACCAATTTGGTTCTATGCCAGACAAGTCAACCACGTAAGCATGATACCTTCTACAAAGTTTAATGGAAAAGTACCCTAAGGAAGCCTTAGTATCTCTATATGATTTTCATTTGTGCGATTTTCACGTATAATTGTGCCATTTTGAATATATAGAAAGATTTTCAAACTACTGTACCAACATATGGTGGAGTTAACATGGATTGCACTATATCGAAAATATTACATCAAGAGTGCTTTGAGCCTTAATGTTTATATGTGGGTTTTGGAAGAGCTTGTTAAGCATATACAAGATTCATGTTTTCTGTATCTTACTTAGTCGAGACTCGAGAGAAGGGATAGATGAAAAACTAGAATGTGACATAAAAATCTTTTAAAAGCACGTGTTCTAACAAAGCAAAAGTAAAACAAAATAAATGAAATGCAAGTTCAGCAAGATGCATGCAAACTCCAGCTTAGAGGTGAAAAAGGGATCATACTATCACCATTTTGGCTTCTTAGATCTACCATTCAAAGTACCCAGGAAAAAAGCCTTGCAAAATAGGATTCGTGTTAAGTAAATGGAACAAAGATTTTCTTCAGGACTTCAGGTGCAATTTGTTATTGAAAGATGCCTTTCAAGCTCAATTACTGTACAACCATAGAAATCTTTATGGTACTGAATAATGGGCAATACTGAGCGAACAAAAGTGTTGCAGAAATGATAGGAATTTGGGGCAAAATTAGCTACGCTTGTTTGAACAACTGTCCACTGTGTAAAGTGGTGCAAGAAGGGAGTTGTGCTCATAGGGAAAGGAGTTGTTGAAGACGAAGAAGAATAGAGGCTAATGTTTAGAAATTTAAATATATGAAGGGTATTTTGAGAAGAAAAGTTGTAAAAAAAACTTAAATGTGTGGTATATTAAGTAAAAAATGGATGCATAAAGCAACACCCTAAGAAGAGATCACATGGAGAATAGCCCAATAATTAGAGTTGAGGGGAAAAGAGAAAAACTACAAGAGAAACAGTTAAAGGACTTAAATTTAAATTTAAATTTAAACGGCCTTTTCGAAGGTTTGGCTTGTGAAAAACAAAACATAATGATTTCATTTGATCCTTGTAGCTAACCCCAACTAATGAGAAAAGACCTGAAATGCATCACCAAGATCCATCCAATATTAAAGAACTTGATGGTCCAGATTGCTTTGTCAGATAATGGCAGAACCCTATGATATGACTTTTACTTAAAAATCCATTAAGTGTGTAAACAAATCTTTGCCTAATTATCCATATAGGAAGGAATACAAGAGATTTTCCCCCACAATGAACAATTTCTATACAATCATGTAATTTATATTTTTTCAACTTGGGCTTAATAATCCCCAACTTTAGTCTCCTTGAAGCTGCTTCCCCTAATTTCACCTTTTCATGTATACATCAGATATCTCAGGCACAAGAACTAGTCCAGTACTCCATCTAAAAAGAGTGCTTTTCACAGATCCTTGCTGCAGGATTTAGTAACTACAATGCTATCAATGACATCAATTGTTGTTCAACTTCTTCCCAGTTCTTAACTTTGTACACCAGAGGATGCTCATCAGCAGACTCAGTCTTGCACCAAGGATATGAGTTTTCATAATCAAAAAGTAGGACTCTAATCCCGGCTTCTGCGCACTCTATGGCATATCTTGGGTTATCATCAATAAGAACCTTAGCATTTAAAGACCTAACAGGATAGAAACAATCTATCAACAACAAATCATTGGAATCAGTAAGCTTTCAGCTTTACCTACCAGAGTAGAGATCAAAATGTTGATAAGGAAACGATGGTTGAAGGCAAAAACGGAGAAATGAAGGTGAGCATGATTAAGTGGCATACCTACAAATCTCTGACTTTGGTCTGGAGACCCCATCAAGAGCAAAGTGGTTTCCAAAGTGAATCTCCTGAAACAATCCTGCATAATTCTTTTTTATCCATTCAATTGTGTGATCCTTGATTGCATTTTGCCGAGATCTGATCATTAACATATACAAATAGATGTTAGTTGATGCTGACCAGATTCTGCTATGAGTTCAAGTAAAATCAATACCAACATCATACGTTACAATTGATAGGTTACAAAATCTTGATAACTTCTGCAGCACTGCCTGAGCACCTGGGATAGGTTGGATCCCTGACTTGAAATATGACGTCTTAAAAAACTCATGAACTCGGCTATTAGCTGCACAACAAAAAGGTATTGATTTTCAATCAGTCTAGGAATCAACATGAAGCATAAATGAATTTCGTTAGGCATAAAATCCTCCTCATACTGGCTAGGGTTGCTCCCATTGGCATTATATTTTCTGGAAATAGAAATTTAGGTTGAAAAGTTCAAGAAACAAACAAATAACAAAAGCTATTATAACATGAAAATTATGTTTGGTCCATAATTTGACTCATTTTAGAATTTGATTTACAAACTACAAGTGACCTGATCTCATGAAATATGTCCAAATTTAGAACACAATAAACTTCAATCAGTAAATCTCCTAGTGAAAATGAAACAAACAAACAACAACAACCAAGTCTTATCTTAATAGGTGAGGTCGGCCAAATGGATCGCACATCGTTGTTGAGCTCAGTCAAAAACCAAAACTTTAGAAAATGAAACAAGAAAGGAAAATCATTTATATGTAATTATCCTACAAATTTTCATAAGAAAGGCAGAGGTAAGAATAATTCACAAAATGCATTATTTGTGACTGTCAGACATATATCTGTTTACCTTCATCACGTGAGCAGTTCCATATCTGTAACATAAAATGAAGGGTGCGTCAGACACATATATAAACAAACAAGCTCAAAAATCAATGCAATACAATGGTTAAATGAGTCATTAAAAGTTTGATTTATTTTTCCATCAGTGACATTTTCTATAATAGCACCAAGGGGAAAAGAAGCCAGATACATCTCATGCATACAGCAAGTTACAGTGCAAGACAAGATAATGTAAAAATACTCAGAAAGAAAGGGTACACAAAATAAACACCAAAGAAAGCCATTAAGGAACTGAATTAAGAGTTAACAGAAATGTATTCTTCCATAGATCCATTTATACAAGTAGTTATCTGCAGCAGGAGGAATGATTTGCACAAAATTTGGGTCCCCAAATAATAATCACTAATAGGTGCACATGTGAATGAATTTCTATGTCCCTGGCTGGATCTTTAATGTGGCACCATTAACTGTAAAACAGTATTACAGCTATGAAACCTTAATACAAATAAATCACTTAATGATAAAATTTCAAGGATCATATCACTTTGGTAGACAGGTTAAAATGGGGTGGAACATATCAAATGGGCGGTTTCTTCAATGCTTGGTCTATTTTAAAATGAAAACAGAATATGACATATGGTTAAGAAAGAAGTGGGACTATGTGCGGAACCAAGACAGACAAAACATACTATTTCATTCTGTTCTGTTTGTATGTCAAACGCTACCTTCGTGCAAAGGGAAGTTCCCTACTCATACTATGCAGGAAAATTGAAGAACAAAGATGAACATGAAAGACATTGCAAATTCCAACAGCCCCCAAGCTAGCAAACCTTTAAAATTAATAGTATATATGGTAGGTTAAACTTAAAATCACATCATGGAAGATCAATACCAAAGAAATTCAAATCATGCAAAATAAGCCTAATTTCATAAAAGTTGGGTTTTCCATGCAACTGTTTTACCAATAACTTCTAATAATACATCTGCTGTCAGAGTTTTTGTATAAATTGATTTTAAGGCTACGTTCTTTTATAGAGGATTAGTGAATACGGGGCAAAATGAACCTCTGAAAGAACATGCAAGTTGTTGTATTATGGTTAATGCAAAAGTTGTAAATTCCAAATTTCCAATTGCTTATCATGAGAAAAATAGAATTACTGAAGCAGCTAAAGGCGCACCTTGAAGAACTCATACACATGATACTCAGAAACTGAATAATTTGATGAGTACCGATCTGCTATGAAATCATTCAGAGCTGACACGAAGTTTCCTAATACTGTTTATATATATAAGATTATAAGAAAAAAAACAGATGAAAAAGACACATATTAGTGGATAATGCTAGAGTAAAGCTTACATTCTAGGAATTGCTAAGAACATTATCAGTTCACATTTAGTCATGCAGAAATGCTTCTACTCAAACATTGACCAAGTAATTCAGGAAACTACATCTAACATGCATTACTTTTGACTTAATTCCAGACTAAACTGACCGTTTCAAGCACCCAGGGACGGACTTTTGACTTAGGTTCTTAATCACTTAATAATATTTTTTAAAAACACACTAAAAATAAAAGGAAAGGAAATGCAACAAAGACACAAACTACTGAAAACAGCATCACGATTCTGCATAGTTTTATATATATATATATATAAAGAACTACAGCATATGCATACATTCACCTTCATCAACATCAACAGCAACAACAAGTTTCTGCGGTAAGTGTTGATCAGGGAAGCAAAAAGGTTCGGTTGGACTTCCACCTAGGGATCTATTTTCAACACTAACAAGAGTGGCATCATGGCCATCATCCCTGACAGAAATACCCTTCTCTAAATCCCCTAACAAGGGTGGATGAGGACGACATGCAAAACCACAAGAGCTTTTCTTTTCCTTCAGAAAGACCCTATTAACATTATCACTGCCATTGGCTTCAAAGCAGGCTTTAAGAGTGAATCCAATGCCTCTGTTAACCTCAAAAGAAGAAGAAGAAAGAGAAGGATAATGGGAAAATACTCTACTGAAGTGAGAACAAGGATTATAGCCTAACAAATAAGCCATATTAAGAAGAAGATGGTAACAGACTAACAATGCTGAAAGGGGAAGAGATTGCTGAAACAAGAAGCACACAGGGCCTTGCCCGGTTCTTCAACTTAAATATAAATATAATAACACCATAATCTTAGTAAAAAGCAATATTCTCTTCAAAAAGAGCCAAGACCTTTTGAATTGGCCATAAATAGAACAATTTAATTAAGCACCAAGGATCAAACTTTCAGCTAACATTCTCATGCGGCGACAGAAGGGTCTCTCCCAACCACAACCTTAACAGACAAAAACTCAAAATGGGAATGTCTGAATATAATAATGACTTTTGAGAATAAAAATAAAAACTTGGTACACCTCAGGTCCCAAAAACAAACACCCAGAAGAGAAAAGTTTGATGGGGAGAATCTATCAGCAAGGAATTGACGGAAAACATGAGAAAAAAAACAATGGCTTAGCTCGAGGAGAATTTCTAGAAGATGCTCCTAAGCACAAAACAGAATATGCATTAAATTAAAACAAGAAAGAATGAAGATAGCAGCACTTCTCAGATCTTGATTCTCAACTCCTCTCTTGTTGTTTCTCTCCCAACGTTATGCACAGAATCATGGCGGCACATATAGACACGGGTACCCTTTGAATCCATGTTAATTAATTAGTTAATAATTATTATAATATTTGCTGTTAGGGATAAAAGAAAAAGAAAAAGCACAACGTAAACGGGGATTTTTAAAACGCGTAAATTTGGGCTTGATAATCAGTTTTTGCTACTTGCTTGCTTGTGAATTTCCTTCTTTTTTTTTTTTTCTCTGTTAAGCTGAAAATGATTTACTGATTTAAGATTGTACACTATTATGTCAATTATCAAAACAATTTCTTCGGCCTCTCGGGTGTGTGAGTTAGTTTGCTTAATATAATTATTTTTTAAAATGTAAAGAACTAAATTAATTCAATTAAAAATAAGCACGATTGATCAAATTTGATGCATACATTTTACTTTATGGTTTAAATAATATTTTAATTTTTATAAAATTTTGTATTGAATTCTTACAAAAATTATAAATAAGTTTTTAAATGAAAATATTCTTAAAATTATTTCTAACATTAAATTTTAATAAAGAGTCATTATTTTATATTTATATTTTTTATATATAATATTTTAGTCTTTATATAAAAAGAAATTTACAAAGATAAAATTAAATTGTGTCATAAAGTTAATTGTGTTATTGTAGATGTTAATTTGTCATTTAATTAAGTAATTAAATTAAGAATAAGTTAGTTTAATAATTTAGAGATGTATATAAAATTATTTTATAATCTTGTTTTAAGAGAATCAATTTATTTTTATGTTTTATTTATTTTAAATAAATAAAAATTTTAAAGAAACAATTATATATATAATATTAATATCTGATGTTAAATTTACACACTTATAATATTTAATAATTTTTCTAAAACATCAATTTAATTAATTTAACCGTTGACTTGACATTTTTTTTATTAAATAAAATAATTTTATAAGTTTATAAAAAAATTATAAATACTTTATCGTATTTTTTTTATTTTAATATACATTATTACATAATTATAAATATAATATAAAAGAATTTAATAATTGAATAATTTATAAAAATTTATTATAAGACACTTGGTGTCAACTTTAATCATGTACTTTTCGTTAATTACAATACATGAATGAATTGAAGGGTACTTAATATCTTTGCTTAATTTTTGAATTCAAACTTTTTCCATCTGTTGCATACATCATGAATAAACAATATTTGGTATTTCCGACCTAAGAGCTTAAAATGGTATACACTTCATAGATACAACTACTGAAAATCTTTCAGACCAGAGCTCAGGTTTTTTCATGTACTGCACAAACAAATGGAGTCAATTGCAAACAAATACAGGGAGGTTGCATCAAAGCAAAGTAGAGAATATGAATATCATTATTCATAGTCATAGAATTGTTGTTTTCTTTCTTCCTACAGAACTGAGTACTGCACAAGACATACTTTTAAAGCTTTACACCAAAAGAAAATTGTATTTGTTGTTTCCTTTCCATTGAGAGTTGTAAAGAGCAATGCCCCGAAGAAAGTATCTCCAAAAATCCCAATAATGGCATTGTGGGATGGTTATGGTGAAAGAGCCACTGATTGTGCTTGGAAGTTGGAACAGATCACCAAGTGCTCCTCAAATTTCCAACTGATCAAATCGAAGGGATTGTTATTTAATCAAAAGCGGGCCTCTTTTGGTAGCAATTACAATTATATAAACTGAAAAGAAAAATTATATAACAAGGCTATAATATTTTGAATTTGGAACTGTGCCATGACAGTTCTCAATAACCTCTTGCGCATTATACACAGTCATAATTAACCATGTAAATGAAGCCACTAATTATCGTACAAACAATAAATTACCTGGTCAGTAAACAAGTTGTGAATTCTGAGGATTCTTCCGAAAATCTTGCTGTAAATACATGGTTCCAAGAACCTTCAAGATTAAGGTTAGAAATTATTACTTAAAAGAATTTCTAAAAAAGGAAAAAATACCGACGGGAATGAACATGAGATAATGAACTAAACCATGGTACCATCATAGTTGATAAGGAAGTTCTTTGATTAATGAAACCAATACATGCATAGTAGATTAACGTTTCCATGTACAGTAAAAACTTTCTAACAGTTCTCTAAAACACATGGCATCATTCAGTTCTTTGACAAGATAACTCTTTATAATGATGATGTATCAACACTAAATCCTTAATTTATTTATATACGCAACTATAATGATGATCAAGAACATTACACGCTACAAGGACATTGAACAGAATGCAGTTCCACTGTGAAACAGAATCAGGGCAGATGGACATTTCACTTTAACAATGTTAGGGACACATAACTTCTTTAAATATTAGAGATAATGAAAAAGATGCAGAAAATGATTTAAATGGGAAGTGCAGACAGACAAAATACCTGTTGCTGTTGGTAACCCCAAGTTCACGAAATCCATCTCCCATCAACCTGAATTCCACGGATGTGGGAAACTTTGGGCCAAATTTCATCGTGCTTCTCTTGACACCGTTTTCCCACCAAAGGGGTTTCATATATTTGGAGTTTTAACAGAGAGGGAGACAGCCTTTCTCCCACTATACTCTTCAGCTTGGAGCAGTTTGAGATGGTCAAAACTTGAAGGGAGGTGAGATGGGATAGGCCCTTGCAATCCAATGTCTCCATACTTTCAAATTTATACAGTTGCAGAGTGGTAAGAGAGGGAAGCTGTGGCAACAAAGGGAAAGACTTCCCACTCTCACATCTAATGCTAAGATTAGTGAGACCCTGAAGCCCACCCGTTGATGACAGACATCTCAGTAGTTTCTCACAATTATTGATAGTAAGCCGTGTCAGGTTTGGAGGCAGACCCCCTTCAGGAAATGCTTCAATTTCAGGGCAATCACTTACTGACAGATATTCCAACTTTGGAAGCAGAGTATTCATGTGACCAGGCAAGCACTTCAAGTTGTGGCAGTTGCGGACAACAAATCCAGTCAAGTTGGGTGCAGCAAACCCTTCTCTCGGGAACCACGCTAAATTGGAGCACCCACTAATGCTGAGATGGTGAAGATTAGAAACCTGTGACTGTGCCAACGACAGAGATTCCAGATTTTTACATTCGTAGATTCTCAGAAACCTGAGATCAGGAAACACTTCTAATGGGAAAGATGAGAGTGAATCAAAGCTGTTGGTGATTCCCAGCGATTCTAACAGCTCATGTTGTTGCTTCGGGAATTCTAGTTTTCCACAGTTCCTGATGCTCAGTTCTTTCAAACATTCTGGTAAACAATCCCCCACAAACGATACTGCAAGCGAACAATCAGAGATGCTTAAATAATGGAGACAATTAGGGTGGGATATGGCAAAGGCCCCAAACATGGATGCCATCAAGTCGCACCCATTAATTGACAAATCGTGCACTGACATTGGTAACTCTTCAAACCTTACTTTGTTGCTTTCAGATATGGTTAATTCACAAATTGAGGGAGCTCTAGGGAGAGAAGAAACAAGATCACCACATTTTTCAATCACTAGTCTTTCTAAAGCAGGAAGGTGCTCAGGCAATTGTCCCCTCAATTTTGGACAATCATTTATTCTAAGCACTTTAAGTTTAGGAAAAGCTTCAAATTTAAACAAATACCACTCCTCCCAACATGGAATTTTACAAAATGACAGATACTCCAAGGACAAAAAGGGTGTTTCTAAAGAATGACCATTATCATTCTTGTAAAATTCGGCACCAACAGTCTCAAGCCCATCAAAATTTTCAATCTTCAAGGTCTTCAGAGAGGATAGTTGTCCAAGTGAAGGAAGCATACAACAATTCCTACAAGAACTAAGACTTAATTCAGTCATACTGTGGTAGGAAGAATGTCCTACCCAATCTGGAAATCTCGTACCCCTGTAGTTCCTGATGGATAGATATTCTAGGCCGTTGTGAGGTTGTAACTGGTCATATACTTCTCTTTCAGCATGCGATGAGGTTGTATTCAGATCACTATCCCTGGAGCACTCCAAGTACAAACGTTTTATGAAAGTCTTATCCATCATTCTTGCCTCTGCTGCTTCACCACTGTCAGTAACATTTTCCAAGTTACTAATCAGCAATGATCCGTGAAGATTTGAAAGGTCTCCCAATTCCTTTATGCCATTATCTTCATGTTTGCCAACAATGAAGTTACTTAAAAACTGCAAATGTTTTAGTTTGCTCATTCCCCCAGGCATCTCTTTCAAAGCAGTTGCGGTTATATCAAGATGTCGCAAGTTTGCAAGATTTTGCATGCCACTTGGCAACATAGTTAGTTGTACACAAAGAAACAGCTTCAACGTTTGTAGATTGTACAATTTACTTAGTGATTCTGGCAGTGTTTTGATACCTGTCTCGGAGAGATCTAAGTAACGAAGATGGATCAATTCACCTATTGAATCAGGCAATGTATCAAGTTCCCGACAAACGATGAATGACAAAACTCTCAGGTAATTGAACTTCGATAGTATGATCGAAATGACACTTTCAAAGCTGAACGAAGGAGGTAAAAAATTGACTTGCAAAAAAGTTCTCAAATATTTTAATTCATCAATAGCATTGAAATTTTTTGAGATTGGATGACTCAACCTTCCATAAGACAGATGACGAGTATGAATCTTAATCTTGTCAACCGTCCCAAGTTCCTCTGACCTAAAATAGAAGTCTCCAGCAACAGATATTGCTAGGTCATGCATCAGATCATGCATCACGTAAAACAAGTAATCAATAGGTTCATAATACTTTTTGAAAAATAATCTGGAAGCTAATTCATCAAAATATTCAGCACCTACTTCTTCTAAAGTCTTTCCTTTCTTTGGCTGCTCTAAAAGATCTTCTGCCATCCACAATAAGATTAATTCATCTTTTTGAAATTTATAATCCTTGGGATACAGAGAACAATAAGCAAAACAACGTTTTAAAGGTGGAGGGAGATGGTAATAACTTATTCTCAATGCTGGAATGATCTTACTGTCATTAGCAGAAAACTCCCACATTTCATTGGTGAGTATAGCATTCCAATCCTTGATATTGTGTTTTGCTCGCAAAAGGCCTCCAAGTGTCTGTGCTGCTAAAGGTAATCCCTTGCACTTCTTAACAATCTCTCGACCAATGTTTTCTAGAATCAAATTCCCATTAGTTTTGGGAAAACACGCATGATCTGCAAACACTGACCAACACTGTTCATCGGACAAATGATTTACATGGTAAGGTGGGCAAGTTCGGACAACGGCAGCAACCTTTTCACTCCGAGTTGTCACGAGAATTTTACTTCCCTTAATCCCATATTGAAAAGGTGTTTTAAGACTACTCCAACCATCATAATCATCACTCCAAACATCATCCAGAACAAAAAAGAATTTCTTTCCTGCTATTCTTTCCTTCAAATCAAGTTGAAGTAAATCTAGATCCATCTTATTACAAACACCAGAGGTAAGTGACTCTATTATAGTCTTTGTAGTCTTAACAATATCAAATTCTTCAGAAACACAAACCCATGCTTTCAAATCGAACTCCTTCATCACATTCTCATTGTTATACACCCATTGGGCTAAAGTGGTTTTTCCAACACCACCCATGCCCACAATAGGGATCACTGATATTTGATCATGAGTATCATCTTTTAATATATGAATAATTGCATCTTGGTCGATCTCCCTGCCATATATATTCCCTTTGACGAGAGAAGTGGAGGGAGTCCTCCAAGAGAAGTTCTCCCTGGGAATGTGTTTAAGATCAAGGATATACTTGCGTTTTTCAGTATCTTCTATTCTTCTAACAACCTCTTCCATCTTATTCACAATCTCCCTATTATGGGAATGAAGAAAGCGAGGGAGAAAGTTACTGACCTTCTTCTGAGTTGCAGCTTGGGTGAAAACAAGATCTAACAAGTCATCAGCTACATAGACAGCATCCCTGAGATTATGGAGCCAGTTCTTGATACTTGGGTTATTGATTTGCTTTTGCTCAGCATCAATAAGCAGAACTTCAGCAGCACACAGAGCATTATTCAACCTTTGCAGCAAGTCTTGGTCAAGCTTCTTTCCTTGGATCAACTTCACAAACTCAGCTGAAGACACCCTCTCCAAAACAACGTTAATGAAAGCAGAGAGAAAAGCTCCACCAACAAGTGCTTCCGCCATGATTAATCAAATTAGAGGAGAGAAAATGGTAGCAATAGCAGACACTCATAATTTGTTAACATAAGGAAATTGACTTAAGATGGCGATGTGGTCAACGTCTACGTGATTAGACATAATTTTATAAAGTAATTGTTCGTGGAATTGCTGAATGGATCTGAGCCAATAATTGACATTTGTTGGAAAGATGCTGAGACATTTATCAGATAATTTTGCCGAAAGTTTCAAATTTTTTGCTTTGTATCACCCACTTATAATCTTTTATATAACGTTATACTATTTTCGCTCTTTTATATAAACTTTTCAATTAAATTACGCATATTAAAAATATTGATGGAAGTATTCAGTGTGTTAATTTTTAAAAATTAATTACATTATTTAAATTTTATTCTTGGTTAAAATCAAATTATATTGTAAATAGTGATGAGAAGTTATAAAAGTTTAATAACAAAAGATTATATATATATATATATATATAAAGATCTTCTTAAATTAGTATAAATGTAAAAACTCTTACATCTAATCTGAACCTTTCATTTAACTTAAATTTAATAACCAGTGAAATAATAAATTATAACTCGTTAAATTTAAGTTAAATAAAAGACTCAGATTAAATTTTTTAATTTAAATATAGAATTAAAATTATTGATCATTAAATTTTATTATCAACAACCAAAATTAAAATATACAAATTATGTGAATTTTTTGAAATGTTATATAGCTTTTTAAAATTATATGTGACATTTAAAACTTTGAATTTTAATATAACTATATATTCCATTATTTTTTTATTCTTATTTAAAAATCATTTTCTAAGTAGATACATCTTGTCTACAGATGTATTTAATAAAAATAGTTGTCATATTTATTGTTACCAGATTACTATTATTCGCGAAGGACTATTTTCATTTGAAATGATTTTCATATATTTGTGTTGAATATTTTAATCACAAATTGTCTTTTGAAAAAAAAAGAAGACAAAAGTTTAAAATTAAATTAAAAAAATTACTTTCCACGTACGGAAATGATGATGTTGTATTTGTACTATTATGCAAGCTACCTAGACAATCAAAGTTGTGGCTGTTAATGAGAGTGAAAAATATTTCAATGGTAAATATTTTGGGCTCTCACTGAACACAATCCAAAGGCAACCTGAATAAGGACTCCGCCAGGATTTGCAACCAAGCAGATCACTGCATGTGACGAAATAGTAAGAATATAAATTAACAAAGCAAAAGGATGAATTACTATGTTTTTCATATTCCTATTCCCCGTGAATCCACTAGAATAAAAACACTAATAAATTTTATTGAGGACTCCAAACTACAGCCTATGCCACAGGTACCATATGTAATACAGACAGTTTTCGCTTCTTCCTGTAACTTAAATTAGTTATCTTCATTGCAAGATTTTATGGTTTTAAAGAACACAAATTTGCTGGAAAGTAAATGATGTATAAATGAATTTGGTGTTACATTCAGTTTTGAACCATGAACGACTATGTGAATCTAGCAACCAAGTTAAATGGAAGGAATCTACTTAGACAAATTCATCCAGAATCTCAGGCGGTAATGTACAATAAACAGTTCAAATTCAAAATGCCAAAGCTAGCTACTTAGAAACATAACTGCATCTCAACCCATCACTTTGTCTTTGTGGTAGATCTGTTATACCTTAAAGCAAAGCTTATAAAGTAATTATCCAACTATTGAAATTGTTCAACCAGGAGTCTACCTCTTTTGATTCAATCATAAGAATTCAAGTGATCGATAGATGCAAATTCTCCAGATTGGTTTAACATAATTTACCTGCACAGAAACCAGATACCCAGTGACACAAATTCAAGTCAGAATTTCAATTCAATCAATCAAATTAAATCACATTGATCACGCACCCAATAACTTCTTCTAAATTAACATGGTAATAAATAATAGCCGGTGTTGACTGCTGACTTAGCTTCTTTAATTTGTTGCTGAGTTAGTTTATCTTAACTTATTTATGATTACTAGTTTTTGTATACCTAATATATGTATATGTTTTTTCCTGCATGCCAGAGGATGATATGAAATATTCTTGGACTTCTTAAAAAGCTAAAAAAATTCTCTGTAAAGAAAATTTTGCGGAAATGATTTTGTTGCAACTTTCAGTTCAGGTCATTATACCAATTCTGCTACCAAGTTAAATTTAGAAAGAAAATTACATCACACCTGTCCTTGACTCTGCTTGACATAACAAAAATGATGAAGAAACACCAATTCCTGAATGATGAATCACCTTTGTTTCGGAATGATTAATAAATTGGCTGCCTGAAAACTACTTTCATTCTTTAAATGATATGAGAAAAAGCTTGTGCAAAAAATGAATGAACTTGGGCAACAAGCATTCACTTTTGGAGGGTAGAAAAATAACCTGTTGGTAATCCAAAGTTTGGTAATCCAAAGTTCGAGTCCATCTCCCATCAATTGAGTTTAATAGATTTCAAGTTTTATTGAAGAGGGAAGCAACCATTTCCAGTTATGTTGCTTATCTTGGGGCTCTCACCAATTATTTGAACCTCAAGCAAGTTAAGAAGAAAAAGGCCCTTGCAGTCTAACGTTTCCACTGTTTCAACCCATTGAAATCCATGTTAGGACCAGAGTACCAATATAATAACACACAACTAAAATAAGAGATGAAAAATAAGAGCCAATAAAGACAATATAAAATTATCACAGAAGAAAAATTACACTACTCCTCACTCTAAAATTTACTCCTCAAAATAGGAGACTATTACTACCGAGTACAAGATCTCAGTGTAATACAAAGATGAGAGGGAAAGAAGATTTTAGAATGAAATGAATTGGTATACCCCTAGCCCTTATATAGACAAAGAAGGGGTCATGCCTTTGAAGTTCCCACCGATGTGGGACTTCTTACTTAACAATTCTCCCACTTGAAGATTATGATTAAGCTAATCATATCTTCACACACATTACTAATATATATATATTACAATTACATGTTGCTTATATTCCTAATAGGCCATACAAGGATCGACACCATGTAAACTTGTCATTGTTCACTGGCTTTGTCATTATGTCTGCTATGTTGTCTTTGGTGTGAATCTTTTGCATATCCACTCTACCTTCCTCTACTACTTCACGAACAAAGTGGTATTGTATACCTATGTGCTTTGTTCTAGAATGAAAGACTGGATTCTTTGCAATATGCAAAGCACTTTGACTGTCACAATACACAGTAGTAGTCTGCTGTTTGTGCCCAAGTTCCTCCAATAACCTTTGAATCCAGATTACTTTCTTGCATGCTTCAGTAGCTGCCTTGTATTCAGCTTCTGTAGTAGACAAAGCCACAACAATCTGCAACTTAGATAACCAGCTTACTGCCCCTCTAGCAAGTGTAAACACATAACCAGTAGTAGATTTTCTTTTATCCAGATCTCCTGCAAAATCTGAATCAACATAGCCTTTCACAATAAATTCTGATCCTTCAAAACATAATGCAACATTAAAGGTTCCTTTTATGTATCTAAGGATCCTCTTTACAACATTCCAATGCTCTCTACCAGGATTTGCCATATACCTACTGACTGCTCTCACTGCTTGTGCAATGTCTGGTCTAGTACAAATCATGGCATACATAAGGCTTCCCACTGCTGATGCATACGGTACTCGAGACATTTCCATCCTTTCTGCTTCATTGCTAGGACACATACTTGAGGATAATTTATAACTGACAGGAAGTGGGGTAGAGATTGGCTTACAGTCTTGCATATTGAAGCGCCGCAAGATTTTACGAAGATAATTCTTTTGAGAGAGCCAAATCTTCCTATCTTTTCTGTCTCGGTGTATTTGCATCCCTAAAATCTTGTTTGCTGGCCCCAAGTCCTTCATATCAAACTCCCTAGCTAATTGTGCCTTCAATTCTTGGATTCGATCTTTGCTGGGGCCTACCACTAGCATGTCATCCACATACAACAAAATGATGAAATCATTATCACCAAACCTCTTGTAATACGTACAATGGTCTGAACTCAGTCTGTTGTATCTGAGGCTAATAATGAAGGAATCAAATCTCTTGTACCAACACCTTGGCGCCTGTTTTAAACCGTACAGAGATTTGGTCAACCTGCAAACCAAGTCTTCCTTTCCTTATTCTTCAAAACCTTCTGGTTGGAGCATATATATCTTCTCTTCAAGAATATTCTGGTGTGAAGTGACTTGACCTCGTACAACTTGATCAGTGTGTCCCAAATCTCCTTTGCAGTCTTCTTCTCTGCAACACTGGATAACACTGAATCAGTCAATGCTAAGTGCAAATTGGCAACAACATTGTTATCCATTTCTCTCCATTTTTCTTCTGAAATATCTGCAGGTCTGCCTTCGATTGCATCAAGACAATTGTCTTTCCTCAAAATTGCTCTTATCTTCAATTTCCACAAGGAAAAATTACTCCCATAAAATTTCTCTATCTCATATTTTGCTGCCATAATTTCTCTTAATTATACCGATTTATGTAATTTTTACTGTGAATAGTACTACCTACTGGAACAATAATAATGGTAGACTGTGAATAAGTACACACTATATATGCACTTTTACACTACCAAAATTGTATATCCAGTAACAAGAATAATTCTTTTCTGATGTGGCAGATCAGACAATACTGCAACCACAGAGCATACTAAGAATTTTCTCTAGCACTATACCAATGTACACTACAGCGGAATAATATAAACAACCTAGTGGCTCTGATACCACTGTTAGGACCAGAGTACCAATATAATAACACACAACTAAAATAAGAGATGAAAAATAAGAGCCAATAAAGACAATATAAAATTATCACAGAAGAAAAATTACACTACTCCTCACTCTAAAATTTACTCCTCAAAATAAGAGACTATTACTACCGAGTACAAGATCTCAGTGTAATACAAAGATGAGAGGGAAAGAAGATTTTAGAATGAAATGAATTGGTATACCCCTAGCCCTTATATAGACAAAGAAGGGGTCATGCCTTTGAAGTTCCCACCG